CACCCCCAGCACCTGCACCCACAGCCCCCTCCCCGTCCTCCATGTCGAACAACCTCAACAGCGGATGATCTCGAATCGGAATCGGTGCACTCTCCTCCTCTCCTTCGCCTTCCTCCTCATCCCACTCCCTGACACTCCTCAGCGTATTGAACTCCCACCCTTCACCCATTTCCCTCCCATCAAACGCAAACGAGTCCCTGCTCCCCGCTTCGCCCCATTCAGCCGTCTCTGCGCCGATCAAACTCATCCGCATCCCGCCCGCCTTGGTCCACGCATTGTACGCCCGTATCACGTCTTTCAACACGCTCGACGGCGTCTTGGCAAACGTCTTGATCCACTTCAGCTTGTTCAGCTCCTCCGAAGTCGCCCTCTCCTTGGGCTCTTCGTTCAGACACGCGGCTACAAAGTCTCGCATCGCCGGCGAGAAATCGCCCTCTGCCGGCAACCTAGGTGGCTTGCTCTTGGGGATCAGCATGATAACCCGCATCTGCTCCACGTCGGCTAGCGGTGGATTGCCCGTAGCCATCTCGTAGATGGTGATGCCGAGACTCCAGACGTCTGCCTTTTGGTCGTATGTCTTGCCTTCGGTGATGACCTCGGGTGCCATCCAGTAAGGTGTTCCGACGAACGTGCTGCGCTTGCTATGGACGCTGTTGGAGGCCAACGATGCAGCGACACCAAAGTCGCACAGGAGAATGCGGCCGGTGCTGGTGAGCAGGATGTTGGCAGCCTTGATGTCGCGATGGATGATGCCCGACTTGTGCAGATAGTTGAGCGCGACCAACGTCTCCCTCACAATCACGGCACAGTACCGCTCGGCGATGGGTCCGGCTTTCATGAGCGTGCGAACACTGCCACCCTCGGCAAAGTCCATGACGATCCACAGCTCTGGACCTTTGAGCCAGCAGCCCCAATACCGAACGACGTTCTTCGATGCAGCTTCGCGAAGCTGACTAAGCAGAGCGACTTCGCGTTGGATGTCACTGACGTCGTCGTCCGGCGTGTCGAGGTTGACCACCTTGAGCGCGACTGCTGCGCCCGTTTCGACGTGGACGCCGCGGTAGACGGCTCCATAAGCTCCTCGTCCGACGAGCTCGAGTCGTCGGTAGACAGAGTTGACCGGTGGAGCTGCATCCGCAGCGCCGCTGCCTGCGCCACGAGGTGGACCGCCGCGACGATCCGGGGGCCCACCACCTCCATTGCCGCCGTTGAGCTGACCGGCGCCGCCCCCACCACCGCTGGTGTTTCCACCTCCTGTGCCATGCATGCCGTTGCTGCGACCGCCGCCGCTGTTGCCACCAGACGAGCCGCCAGACGCGCCTCCACCGGAAGACGTGCTTCTACCACCGTTGTCACCATGTGCAAGCACTCGAACCGGCTCGACGCCGCCGAGCGATGCTTGACGCCCACGCGATGGCGGCTTGGCGTCCTTGTGCAGCGTCGGATTGAGCAGGTCAATGAGGGCGGCGTAAGAACGCTTGGCGAGGCCATGACGGCGATCGCTCTCGGAACGGCTGGGAGACGTGGGTTGTGGTCGTGCGTGGTCCGGGACGATTGTCTGCTCCGATTTGGTGATCGGAGCTGGTCTTCCACGCTCCTCTTCCTCGATGCCGTCGGACGAGTTGAATCTACGCAGCTGCAGCTCCTGGTCGCTTTCAGAGGAAGGCGTGGTCTGCGTCGAGGACGGGATTTGCGGCAGTTCTTTGGAGAAGGACCTGTCTTCATCGTCCGCTTCGGTGATTTGGGAAAAGCGCGAAGATTGAATTTTCGTGCCTTCCCCGAGGAGGCCAAGACCATGCAGCTTTGGAGAATGCGTGACCGAAGTAGGGAGAGAAAGCGATGCCTGTAGACTTTTTTTAGGCGTGTCGAGCTGCGCTGCCTCGGGTACTTGGAGCTGGTACAACGTCTGAGAGCGCTGATGGCGAAGGTCGAGTCGGGGCACTAAACCAAGATTGGCAAAGAGAGAGGACGACGAGTTGGAGCGGGAACGATGACGGTCTTGCACCGTCTGAGCGGACGCTTTGGAACCTACGTCGAAACTGCCTGCTCTGCGGATGACGCGCAGACCCTTCTTTGTCGCCTGTGCAGCCGAGCGAGCTGCCACGTTGACGATCTCACCGGAGCGCCTGCGCAGCGTCTTGGAAGAGGTGCTCGATGCCATGATGGCTTGACGGTCCAGCGCATCCTGATCGTCGACCCTTCTCCAAGACGGCCGCAATACGTCGTGATCGTACCAGTCTTGCAACGTTTCCGACTCTGGCAAAGGCGAGCCCGGCGTGCCGATGCCGGACGCGCTTACGGTGTCCTCTTCGTCTTCATCCTTGACAAGGCTTAGACTGTGAGCACTGTTCTTGGATTGAGGTTTCTGGGCGCGGGTGTCCAAGAAAGCGTGCGAGAGAGAGTTGGATGACTGGGAACGGAACATGCGATGGCCACGCTTGTAGGAGGAAGAGTCGGGACCGATGTCGAGTCTGTAGCGCTGTGGGCCGTCCGACTTGCGACGCTGGTGTAGGAAGCGAGGCTGCTGAGATCCCTCTGAGCTGGCATCGAGATTTCGGCTGGAGTAGAGGAAGATGTCGCCACTGTTGGGATTCGAGAACTGAGAACCCTCGGTGTGGGATCGAAGGCGGCCACCGTCCTTCCTGGCCGAGTCAAAGGTTCGCAAGCTTCCGCCAGCCTTTGCGTCGTGTGAGCTGCGCTTGCTCTGCCTCTTTAGACCGCGACCCCAGCTGAGGCGATCGCTCATGGCCGAGCTGCCGAGCTCGGAGAGGGAGACGGAGACGGAGCTGAACGAATTGCGATGGGACGCAGATCTAGGATGACCTGCAGATGAGATGGAGGAAGAGGAAGGGTTGGAGAAGGTGGTGCGGTATTGTGTCGATGGCGAAAAGGCCGAGGTGGATTCGGCTGATGGGGATGACTGAGCCATGCCGCCGTAGGCGAAGGTGTGCAGGGACTTTGGCTCAACGTTGGCGAGGTCCTGCTCTGTGGCGGATCGAACCAGGAAAGTGGGGACGTGAGACTCGTGTTTGGAAGATGGCGCGAAGGAAGAGCCCGGCATCATGGGCATCTTGGTCGGCGAGGAGGCGCGTTGGGCGAAAGACTTGGTAGGCACGTACGGCGAGCGCGAAGGCCCAGCCTCGGCTGATGCTGACCAGAAGGACATGTCTGGGCCTGAGCCTCGGCCTGGACGCGGTGCAGACACGGTGGATTCGAGATGTTGCCGATGAGGCTGGACTTGTTATGAGGATTGAAGCATTGTGTAGTGCTGAAGGAAAGACGACGGCTGATTCAAAGATGTGAACCGATGAGTTGATTGCTGCACCGCGGTAGAGTGTACTATCGTCTAAGAACTGGTGTCGAGGCGACCGTCCGGGAATCGAGCCGAGTCGGTTGCTGCTACGTGGTGAAAGCGCCGTGTCGACAATGCAACGCTGTTGCGATCAATGAGCGTCGAAACGAGGGGACGGTGTTGGTTGTGACGATGAAGTTGAGATTGTTCAGCGCGTGGCTCCACAGAGTTTAGGCACTTTTCCTGTCTCGAAATAAAGCGTCAGGTGTTTTTGTGGCAGTGTCTCTCGTTTACGCCTTCAGAAAAACAAGCGCTGAAATTAGGGTTGCGAAAAGGGTCCAAAATCAACTCGGGTATCATGCGTTCACGTCGCCAACGAGTTCCAACAGATCATTTGTTTTGAGATTGCTTGTTGAGAATCTGGCAGTATGATGATGCCAAAATGACAAAGGGAACAGGAGATGCTGCGTTGGACGCTTTCCCAACGTGATCCGTTTCAAGCCTTGGCGAGCTTGCCTTGTCCAACTAGGTAGCGGCTCAGCTCGTTGTACAGCTCCATCTGATCCTCCAACGTGAGTTGCGTGACGACCGTCTGCAGCACTGTGCCCACAGTGACGTGGTGCTCTCGGATCAACGACGAGTAGTAGACGTAGGTGAACATCCCCATCAAGAATTGGCAGTCGAAGCGGTCGGTGAGACCACCGTGTCCCGGGATGCTGTCGCCAAAGTCCTTGATGTTGAAGGCGCGTTTGAAGCCGCTAGCGAAGAATCCGCCGAACGGAGCCACCAAGCTGGCAAAAGAAGCCAACACGAGAGAGTGCAGCTGGAACGCTGTCCAGGGAAGCGCAGAGACACGGTGTCCTGCGATCGAGGAGGCCAGCGACGCGATCGCGGGCGGCAACGAGAGGTAGTGCCAGTGGAACACCGGGTTGACCTCGCAGCTCACGTCCTTGAACGCATTCATGCCCAAGCTGACTGCAGGGCAGATCATGTAGTTGTATCGCTGGAAGAAGGTCGCCCAACCGTACGCGAACACCTCGGTCACGATGATCGCTCCCACAAATCCTTCCACCGTCTTCTTGGGGCTGAGATCGATCAGCGGCGTTCGACCGAACGTCATGCCGCAGATGTACGCAAACACGTCGTTGCACACCACCAGCGAGGCGGGCACCAACAGCCAGATGAGGCCCTCGAGGATGTTGTTGACGATAAAGTGGCTCGAAAACACGATGAGCAGCAGCGACATGTGCACCCAGCAGAACAGTCCGAACTGATGCTTGAGGTTGCGACGCTTGAGGTTCGAGACAAACGCCATGAAGCCGAACACGTACAACATGAACGACAGGAAGCGATGGTGTCGTGCGAACGGAATGAACCACGCATCTACAAAGACGATGTGCTTGAAGTAGTAGATGATCGACTCGCCGTACAAAAAGTAGTTGGCAGTAGCGAAAAAGTACCAACTGAGCGTCTTGCTCCAGAGCTGGTCGCGACGTCCTTCGAGCCGCCTCTGGACGCGCTCCTCTTCCTCGTCGTCATCCACCTCGCTGGTGGCGGCGCTCGTTGGGGCGGATGACATGCGGCTGGATCGTCCTCCTCCACCACTGCCGGTCACCGATGGTCGATTGGGGATGTTGAAGAGGGCCACAACCTCGCGGTATACGAGCGTCTGACACACCATCACTAGCAGAATCATGTACGGATGCCCGAGGAGCAGCAAACCGAGGAAGCCTCCAATCATGATGAGTGTGTACAACGTCCTCTCCCAGATCTTTTGCCACTTTGCCTTTGCGGCTGCAGCAGCATCCTCCTGGCTTTGTTGGGGTGGCTGCGACTGCGGCTGCTGTTTCAGCTGCTTTCCAGTCTGGTGCGGCTTGGGAACCTCGAGCTGAGCACGCGGCTGCGCAGCCTGGAACTTGATATCTGGAGCAGGCGCATTGCTCGTTGTCTTGGCTGAGGCATTGAGGATGGGTTCGGGACGAGCCGCCTCCGTCGATGCGGGCTTGGCAGGTTGAGCTGGAGCAGCCGCTGTCGCCTGGCTGGTGGGAGCGCTTTGCTTCGGAGCCGAGGTGGCAAACGGAGCAGAGGGTGTGGGGATGATCTTGCTCTGAGCGCCGATCTTATCCGCGAGAGAGTCGGCGAGTGGCTGAGCTGATTCTGCTCTGTCGTCTCCGTTGTAGCCGGCGGGAGCTACCACCTTTTCGCTGGTGTTGGTGGATCCGCTTTTCGAGGTGTCTTGCGCAGCTGACTTGGTCTGAGACTCGGACTTGTCAGCTTTGGTGTTGCCGGCCTTGGCGTTGCCATTGTCTTTTACCGGCGAAGCCTTGGCAGCTGGCTGAGCCGGCTTTGCAGGTTGCTCGACGACGACGCTCTCTTCCTCGTCGGATTCGATTTCTTCGACCTGGAGCGCCTCGAAGGCGGTGCGCGAGGCGAAGCGACCTCCGTTGTGAGATGAAGCCATTGCGATGCTTCGATCAGAATCAGCGAGCGGACTGCTGATGGCGAGCTCGGGATGGTTGAGCGGGGTGGTGGAAGAAAGCGATGTCCCACCAAGAACGCGAGAAGAAAGGGCTCTGATTTGGTCCAGCAACCGGTGACGAACGGGCCATTTTTTGGAATCACGAGGCATGCAAAGAGCGAGCTCACTCGCCTGGACGGCGTTTTTGGATTTGTTTGTCATGAACCAGGCCGCAGCGTGACAACGAATATTTGCTGGTGACAGAACTGTTTCTTCATATGATGTAACATCGCATTCCGGATTTGACGTGGGGGATTCACAAAAATTGTTACGTCCTCCCAAAACGGGGCAAAGAGTCGCCCCTTTTTCTCGTGCGAGTGATTATACCGCAAGAAACGTGTACAGGCGTGTCACACCGCGCAGAATAAGGCAAAGGTCAAAGCGCGAGACATGCCGCCGCTCGTCACTCGCAATGCACGAGGTAGGCTCCCGCACGAGGACGCCATCCTTGTCGAGAGGGATGACGACGTAGACGATGCAGACAAAGTACAACTCTTTCCGTCCGTCCCGTCCAGCCGAGAGATCAGTCGAAAACTCGATGGGATGGGCGAGAGCTTGGCTTTGCAGGCCAAGGAGCGACGACGCAAAGGTGAGGCTTCCTCTGCTGCGCATCCGGAGACGTTCTATTCAAGGCAGAGCGACCGCCCCACAACAAGGAACCATCGCCACCGTCCCGATGGGCCGATAGCACTCGAGGAGCCCAGCGACGGTCGAAGCAATGACCGAGAGGCATTGATTCTGGTGGTACGGAATAGCCCAGGTGTGGGCCCTGTCAATGGGTCAAGCCACAACACCAAGAACAAACCACCAGCCTCGTCTCGGACCAGGATGGTCGATCGCATGCATAAAAAAATGCCTTCGCCAATGGTAGCCAGCACTTCTCAGCGTCGATCTTTGTCATCCATGGCTCCCTCGACCTTGCCGACCTTGCCTGGAAGTCAGCTAGCAAGTCCCAATGATCTCTTTGGCTCGTCCCGCGGCGCCAAACGCATGAGGACCGAGGCCGGCACGACATCGTCCGTGTTGGACGATTCTTCCCACTCATCACCCCAGATATTGGAAGTGCGCCTGCAAGCCATCGTGGTCTCCGGCATGGGGAGATCTCGCGAACGCGATCACGCCGCCGTCTGGGTCAATGCGCATTCCTTACAGTGTGGTGTCGCTGCCAACCACCGAGCTACTATTCGATACAGCAATATCCGTGAGGTACTGACGAATACACCCGACGTCAAAGGGTGTGGCATCCTGTGCCTTACGTTGACGCCTGGTTGCAAGAGCGCAAGGGAGCTCCAGAAGACGTTTCCCGACGTTGATCCATGCGCCTCTGGTGATGCAGCTCAGATCCAGATGGTTGCTTGCGACTCCTCGGCGGATGACCTTAGCGTTTACACTCGCGCATCTGCCTCGATAATCAAAAAGCTACCGCAATGGATCGAATGGGCCTATCCGGACTCGATGGCTAGATGAGCCTGGAGGGAAGAGGTGAATCACTCTGTCGAATCATGTCAAGGAATCTCCATGGCCTGGCTCTATCCCTGTACCCGCGCAGGAGCCGCAAGAGCCACAGCCACGCAAGGTGCGCACCTTGATCACTCCAGGCTCACATCGTCCGTCCGAGTCTTTCACACGGGGTCTGAATCGTACCAACGTCACGTACGAGTCCTATGCACCAAGGAAGAAGACATTCGATCTTCAGCCACCGTCTCCGACGGCTTCGGCCACTTTGGGTCGCGCTCGCAATGCCTCACCGTCGCTTCCGTCCTTAACTATTCCAAAAGCTGAAATCGATCCAATCGCACCTCCGAAGGTTGAGGTCAGAAGACCACCCGTCTCGCACGAGAACGGCACAATCCTGCAATACCCATGCGAGGGCACCGGAGCCGTGTCATTGAGGATATCAGATTTCGACAAGCTCCTTGACGGCGGGCTCCTGAACGACATTGCGATCGACTTCGGCGTCAAGGTCATCCTCGCAGAGATTCGTGCGAGGGATCCGATGCTGGCCGACAGTATCTACGTCTTCAACACCTTTTTCTTCTCCATCCTCATGTCGGATTCGGTAGAGAACAGCTACGCCAAGCTACGCCGATGGACGGTCAAAGAGGATCTCTTTGCAGAGAAGTACGTCGTCATTCCCGTCAACGAAGACTATCACTGGTATCTCGCCTTGATCGTCCATCCGGCGTACATCTTCGCGGACCAACATAGGGACAGCAACAGCGAGAAGGACAAGGGTGAGGTGGCTGCATCGCTGATGTTGCCATCACCAAAGTCGAGACGGCAGTCCCCAGCGCTCGAGCAGATTGCAGACACGGAGCGAGATCCGCTCAAGGTCGAGCCACGTGTCGAAGATAAGCCCGCGGCCAGCTCAGAGCCCGGCGCGCCGCCTTTGCCGTCCACGAGTGTTTTACCGCAGACAGCCGACAAACAACCAGGCTCCGTGCTTGCCCCCATGGCCGTAGACGCCAAACCGTGCGCCGGTAGGCCGACGAAACGGCCGCACAAACCTTGATCATCACCCTTGAGAGTCTGGGTCAGTGACACGCGAAGCTGAGCAACAGGCTGTTCGAATATCTTTGACGCAAAGCTTTGGACGAGAAGAAGCCGCCTTTGTCAGCATCAGCAAGTCGGCCTAAGCCGGAAGCGAGAAGAGAGCCAAAACTCGAAGACGATGCCCAGGCGCCAGCCTCGAAAAGCGCTTCCAAGTTGTATCTCGCTGCAAGCTCCACCGATGCGTCCGAGATTCAAGCAAGGGAGTCGCCCGGGGATCCAGGCGGATCAAGAGAATCAGCAACCGTGGCAAAAGTGACGAACCTGCGCTCTGTACCCGTGCACGACAAACGACAGGCGAACGGAGCCGCAGCTGCCAAGCTCACAGAAGCGGAAGCGTCGAGCAAAAGCCTGTCCAAAGCCGCATACATCAACGCCTCGGTTTCGGAGCAGCCCGACTTTTGCGGCTGCAGGGTATATCTCGGGATCCGGAGAAGCTGCTCGCGTCGATAGTAGTGGATGCAAAGAGCAAGATCGCCGAAAACAACAAGGCCAACCCGGCGATGCGCAGGGAGGTGAGGAACAGGATTCAAAGTCGCATGCGAGCTGAATGGCAGGCAGGCGAGGAGTGCAAAGCTCTCAAGGCCGAAGCACTGCTCCCAGCACGTTCTGGGCACACTCGAGCAGGGTGTAGACTCTCTCACAAGGTTTCGGACGATGTGTATGTACAAAGCTAGCAACCCTTCAATTTCATCAGACAACCTACCCGGATACTTGCGTCCAAGATCCTGAGAAACGATAGCCGCGACGAATTGAAAGCAACTCTGCCATCGCTCGATTCAGCAACTAAACGAGACGGCCGAGTCGTTTGAGCTAGCGCTGGCAGAGGAGGTACGAGGCATCTTTCCAGAGCTTTGGCTGCTTGAGGACGGAAGTGTTAGAGCCGTGGGGTCTCAGAACCGCTTCCGCGGCCACGGCCGAGGTATTCCGGGGGCGGAGAGGTCGTAGAGGGGAGTAGTGTGAACGAGGAGCCTCGCGGATAACCGCGGAAGTGTCGCGGCACGTCACTGAGCTGCTATTGCTAGCGGAACTAAGTAATACATGCGACGAGGAGACGTGAGGCTACCTCGCGGATGGTTGCGGATGACATGATAAGAGCGGGGAGGCAACGCGAGGCCCCGCGGCGCCGGGGAACCGATCACCGATCAACCAGATCGGTCGTCGGGATCTGGCGGGCGCGTGGAGGTCCTAACAAAGAGCCATGCCCTGTTGTAAGGGGTGACTCGCTCGGGATAGGTGAGGTTACGCGCGATCGACTTGGGCACACCGACCTCATCGAGCTCGAGAGGCGGGTCTCCCGTGATGACGGTTCGCGCCGAGAAGTTGACACGCTTGCCCATCATATTTCCACCCAGACGGCCTTCCTTGCCCTTCAAACGCACGTGGATCGACTTGTTTGGCCTTCCACTCGACTGCATGGCTTGCGGCTGCCCTGCAATGTCGTTGTCCATGAAGGTGGCGCATTGGAATTGAAGCAGCTGGTCGAAGTCAGCCAAGATGTGCGCCGGCGTGCCTTCTTGTTCCATCTTCTTGAGCGTGGCGTTCGCACGAATGACGTCGGCGAGCTTGTACATCAAGTCGTCCTCTCCTCCATCTTGGACAGAAGGACGGACAGGGGGAGGTGGGACGGGCAGGACGGTCAGGACCATCCAATCGGGACGAGCGTTGTCTTCCGAGAGACCGAGAGTGGCTATATCTTCGCTCGACATCTTCTTGAGAATGGTGTGAGCGTCTGAAGCCGGCAAAGGTCGCTTCTCGGCCTGGGCAGTCGCGTTCTCCTTGCCGTCTTTGTCTTCGCCCTGGCCCTTCTTCCACTGAGTGAAGAGCTCGAGACCCTCACGACGGATGTTGGGTTGGATGCGACCGCATCTGCCGTGGTAGAGCCCATTGTTTCCTCAAAACCCATGTCATCGTCCTCCTTGGGCTCGTCGGCCTCGCAAATCATCTTCTTGGAGCAGTACTCTGTAACGCGCTGGAAAGGTCGCTTCCTGCTACCACGGGTCGCTACGACGATTTGGTCAAAGATAGAATCTGTGACCACGTCCGCCTTAAGGTTTTCGCAATGGAAACAGACGCACTTGAGGATCTCCTTGACCTTGCCTAGGTAGCCGATGTGGAAGACTAACTTTGCTAGGTCGATATGACCGAAATGATCCGGGCATTCTTGGTGGCCTTCACCGCAGGTCTGATAAGTCTGTCGAGCGTACCGAGGCGTGGGTCGGAGAGAAAACGATCCTTGCCAGCCTCATCCTTGATCTCGGGGACCTCGACTTTGCACACCGAGATGGCTCTCTGTGGAACACGACGGGCGACGAAAACAAAGCAAAGGGTGAGCAAACAGCATCAACGAAGAGGACGGGGAGAAGCAGGACAGATCAAATTCCGTCAGCATCGTGCAATCGTTGCAGGGGCGGCAGCATGTACGCAATACATCGTGATCGCCTTCTTCTCCGACCTACGATCGGAGAATGGAAAGGAGGCGAAGGGATGGGTGCCAACAAGATGCCTACCATCTCTTCTGGGCTCAAGATACCGAACTGCACCTCGCGCACAAGGCGGTTGGTTGCAGTCTTATGAGCGAAAGATTGTCCTGCCCGAGCGCTCGTGGTGAATTTCGGAACGGCGTCGTCGTTTTGTTCGGATGCTAGCCGACGTGCAAGCTGACGAAGACGGCGAGGTATCGGGCGGTGTACTGGCTGAACGTAGCGCAAAAAGGTCGGCGGATAACGCTTTGATCCGACCTCTTCCCGGCCCCCGCCGCGATGCCCACCGTCGTCCACCCCCTCCCGTTCCTGCAAGGCAACCGCGCCCTCCTCCGCCACCTCTACCTCCGCCACCTCCCGTTGCTCGAGCACCTCCACGTCCTGGTCGTCGTAATCGCTCAGTGCCCTTTGCTCTGAGCGCAAAGCGTCGTCGACGTCTTGACCGACAGGCAAGGGCAATTCGGTACAAGATGTCCAATCTCGTCACAGATCTTCACTGCCGCGTCGCTCATCATATGGCGCTCACCTCGGACGTCATCGTGATGCCGAGGATGGAGGTGAGGAACATGATTCGAAGGCGCGGGGCTCGACTTCACCGCAACACAAAGCGCAGGCTTATGGCGTGGGGTCACTGCGCCTTCCTCAACCGTCTCTCGATCAAATGCAGGGACATCGGAACTGATCAGCGATACGAGAAGCGTCAGACCGTGCTGCTCGTGCAACCAGAGCCGTACACATCCAACACGTGCGGTCAATGCGGCCATCTCAACGACCGTCTGGGCTCAAGTCGCACCTTTGCTTGCTCGGACCCGGAGTGTCAGTACGTAGCCGATCGTGATCGCAACGGCGCCTACAATATGGCCGTTCGAGCCATTTGTTCCGCCAGGTAGGCAACACCCCAAAAGGTAGCAAGGTCATCGTATTTATTGAATGGATTCTATACAGGAGAAATGCGTGCGGCAACACTTCAATATACCGCTCTGCTGTGGGGAGTATCTCGCTTATGAAGATGTTGAGCGCGGCGCTTCCCCGTTCTAGGGTCGCAAATCCTGTAGCAGCCAAGCTGTCGGATCTGTCCAATAAGCGCGTCCTAAATTTTTTCCCGACGTTCGGCATCAACATCATTTATGATATCCGACCTGCTTGGAACCCGACAGTACACGCCGCTTGATCCATTCGACACATGACGACAGAAACCTCCCGAATGCAAAGTTCATACAAGGAGGAGAAAGATTCAGAGGCGGAGCCCTGTCAGCTACAGGAGAACTACAAGGGAGTTAGCATGTTAAACGGACCGAAAACTCTAGAACAATAGCCTTTTTTTTCGGTTTCAATTTCGCGCATGTAGCCGAGACAGAGACCCTTTCTTTTTTTCTTTTTGGTTGTTTGGATCGTGATGTGTGTGTGTCTCTCTCGGACAATTTGTCCTGCCCCTGCACGAAACCCCTTACAGTCTTGTCGTGTCCGGCGTGAGGCTCGCTGCTCGCCTCTCGACTCTCTTTGCGTGGTGCCTCGCTCGGCCCGCCTTATCTCACTCCTGCAATTTGACCCCTTCCGAGGTGCGAGCGTGCCGTCTTTCGTCTGTGGCCGCGTGTGGTCTGTCTCGAGAGGGAGGGAAGAAGGTCGAATCATGGCATAGCACGGCATTCCTACAGCGTCTCTCGCACTCTCATAGGCAGCGTGCCAAGCTAGACGGCGCACTTCCGAACACATGCACACACTCTCTATCGGACAGAGCCTATCACGTTACGCGCAGTCGATTCATCGATCCTAGTCACACCGAACCAAACCTTGAGTTCACTTGCACGGCTTCGCCTTTCAAGCCGCTGAACGCACGCACGCGCATGCATGCTGCTGCTGCAGGCTCGTACTTCTGCGAACCTGCACTGTCGCCGGCTCCTCTATGCTTGCTTGCATGCGAATCACGATTCAGCTGTGATCAACCCACCACAGCACACCGTGTCCATTTGTTTGTGTGATTGTTCCCTTTGTGAGAGGTTGTTGCCGTCCGAACAGAAAGGGGCTGCCAGCAGCGTGCCTCGTCCTCATGAGCCTCGAGTACGCCACTGTCAAAGCAAAAGGCCAAAGAAACGCAACGAAACGAACCGAAAGCATACTTGCTGAGCAACACGGCCCACAAAAAAACTGTGCTGCGGATGTTCCGTCCGCCCGTCCTCAGCCTGATTCCGCACTATGCGCACGCTGCCTGTCTGCGAGTCTTGAGCCTCGTCCTTTATATACTTGACTCAGCCGCTGCGATCCTGCTTCCCTCTCCCCCTCTTATCTACACCCAACTTTTGTTCTCCTCGCCATCCACTACTACCACCGACAACTTCGTCGTATACCCCCCCTTTGATCTTTGTCATCTGCCGCATTTGATCTATACCCACCATGTCTGCTGCTCCCGAGACCACTCCCGCCGTCGCCGCTCCCGTCGAGCAGGTCGCCGCTCCTGCCGTTGAGGAGACACCCGCTGTCGCCGAGGCTGCTGCTCCTGCTGCTCCGGTTGAGGAGGCCGCTGCTCCTGTCGAGGCTGTAAGTATCAGCGATGGACAGACAACGACGCTGTCCCACTGTATGCTTTGTGTGCAGAGATAAGATTGCTGACCCCAACGACACCCGCATTCACCTGCTGCTGATCTGCTATCATCACAACAGGCTGCCCCTGCTGCCGTCACCGAGCCTGCCGCCGCTACCGAAGAGGCCGCCGCCGCTGCTCCCGCTACCGAGGCTGTCGTCGAGGAGGCCAAGCCCGAGGAGGCTGCTGCCACCGAGGAGGCCGCCAAGGAGGCCGCCCCCAAGAAGGAGAAGCGCCAGTCGTTCATCGGCAAGCTCATCGGTGCCTTCAAGGAGAAGACCGCCAAGAAGGAGAAGCCCGTCGCTGAGGACGCCCCTGCTGCTGCCGCCGCTCCTGCTGAGGAGGCCTCTGCCCCCGTCGAGGCTACTGAGACCGCTGCCGCTCCCGCCGCTGTCGAGGAGACCCCTGCTGCCGTCGAGGAAGCCGCTGCTCCCGCTGCCGCCGAGGCCGCCCCCGCTTCCGAGGAGGCCAAGGAGGTCAAGATCGACGAGTCCGCCAAGGGCGACTCTGCGGCCCCCGACGTCGCTGCCCAGAAGATCAAGCTCGGTCGTCGTCTCAGCGGCAAGTTTGGTGCACTCTTCCACAAGCAGCCCAAGAAGGCCGAAGAGAAGGCTGACGAGGCCGCCGAGGCCAGCCCCATCGAGGAGAAGGTCGCCGAGGACGTCATTGCTCCTCCCGCTGCTGCTGCTCCCGTCGTCGTCGAGGCTCCCAAGGCTGCTGCCCCCGTCGCTGCCGCTGCCTAAACCGCTCTGGTTTTGACGGTGTCTCGCTCTCGACTATTTCCGGATTCTCTTGCATGCCTCTGTCCGTCTTCCGGTCCGCGGCTCGTTGATTCTCTCTTGTCCCCTCCCTCGCTTTTCGCTTCTGCATCGTGCTGCACCGCTGCCACGATGTCGAAGCAAAGCATGGGCTATACCCCTCCGAACTCGACAAGGTTCGATCATGCACCATGATTCCCCTGACTCGCGCCTCTAGCGAACATACCACCCTGCAAATCACATTACTCACGCCTAATAGACGGCTGAGGCTCACGTACTCCACGTGATCCCTCTCGACAAAGCCACACGATGAATCTCTCTTCCTTCCTCACCTCGCTTCCCCAGTCGATCTCGATTGATAAGGTTGCTGTAACGATCCTCCTTTCCCACCCCTACGCTTGACTCTCGCGATCTTCCTTTCGGTTACGTAAATTGATACCTTCGCGAATGACATGCAACCCTTCTCATCTTTCTCGTCCGCACTGAACATGAGTCATTAAAGGTGTGTGTGTTTGTTTGCTCACTGACGCCGTTCTCATTGAGAAGGGATCTGTCATCATAAAGAGCTCACACGTTGCTGTCGTCAGCAGAGGGTCTGAGAATACAAGTAAGAATTTCCATCATTGGAGAGAAAGGAAAACGAAGGCAGTTGAAAAGCAGCGACAAGGTCGGTGAGAGGAAAGGCGCGACCGAGTCGAAAGTGTGTGAGAGAGGGAGGGAGGGAGAGGAAGGCAGTGAAAGGTATATCTATTCAGCGTACAAGCTTGGGTGAGGGTGTTCTAGGAGCCAGACTGAGGTGGTGGGAGTTGGAAGTCGGTCAGATCGCGCAAGCCTTCGGACGTTCGACGTTTGCGCGATCCCTCGCCGCCCAATTGCCCGAGCGCCGATGAGCTGTTGTTGCCGTCGTTGCCGTCATTGGCCTGAACAAGCGGAGTGAACGAGAACCACGTCGAGTCGGCTGGTGAAGGACCCTCCAGCCCGTTGCCAGAGGGGAACGGACTCGAACCAGGATAGCTGCCGCTGTATCCAGGAGTGACACCGCTGACGCTGCTGTTGCCGTTCGAACTGCTGCCATTGTTCTGGCCCTGCTGTTGTTGTTGCGACTGCGACTGCGGTGGCTGTTGCTGTTGCCGCTGTCCTGGGTGAGATTGCGACTGCTGGCCTTGCTGCGGAGATGGCTGACTCTGCTGCGACGGTAGAGATTGGGGCTGCTGCAAAGGTGTGCCCTGGAGCGAACTCTGATTCTGGTTCTGGTTCAAGTTGCGCTGTGGCTGACCAGGCATCTGCTGAGATCCTGGCTGAAAGCTCGCATAGAGGTTGGCCCCAAAGTTGGGATACCCGGCATTGTTGGCTTGACCCGGCTGTGGTTGCTGCTGTTGTTGTTGTTGCTGCTGCTGCTGCTGCTGCTGCTGCTGATTTTGCAGAAGCGTGTAGGCACCAGGAATGCTGCCACCGAATGGATGGTTGTTCTGCTCCATCTGATATGCGCCCATGCCCATGTTGACCTGACCATTGTTATTGGTATTGTTGGCAGCTGCGAAAGCATTGGCGTCAAAGCCCGGAATTCCGGCAAACAAGGCAGCGTAGTCGGCGTTGTTAAAGTCGGCAAACTGAGCCAGATTGGTGTCCGACATGTCCTGCCCCTGCGCCGGGAAGGGCATGGACTGCGGACCGCCGAGGTGCGGCACGCTTTGCGCGGTTCCGAGGGGCTGGGGAGCGTTGTTGTTCTGCATGAAGGCGAGATTGGCAAAGTTCTGAGTGGCCATGTTCGCCTGGGAGTTCTGCGCCTGATCTTGCATGGATGGAGCCGACGGTTGCTGGCCCCCTAAGCTCAGGTTCGTGTCGTCGCCGCCGCCCAGGCCAAAACTGCTTGGAAGGGCGCTGTTCTGAGCCGCTGCGCCGAGTGAGAGGGAATCGGCAAAGTTGAAGTTGTTGGCCAACGGGCTGCCGTAGCTGTTGGCTGCCTGGTTGAGACCAAGGCCAAGCGGAGAGGTGCGCTGACTGAGGTTCTGGTGAGTGTGTGGACCTTGAATGAGGTAAGGCGGGTTGGCCGCGTGGGACGAGGTTCCGAACTTGGAGCTGACGGTGCGGACTGGCGAGCCGTGGATGCTGCTGGGGCCAGCGCTCCCTGCGCGACTGTGTGCATTGTTCTTGACGACGTTGGCCACACGGCCCGTCTTCCAGGCCTCCTGCGCTTCGGGACTGAGCGTCCACCAACTGCCCTTTCCGGCGGCGCTGCTGGGTCTAGGAACTTTGACGAAGAGGTTTCCCTTGATGGAGAGGGTCGACTTGATACGGTTCTTTACCCGAGCCTCCCAATCCTTGCCGAAAGCCCACTCGCGGATCTCGGGGAACTTGGAGCACATGCCTTCGAAAAGGTCTTGGATGACCAGACGACCGCTCTCGCTCTCGGCGATGGTTTGGCAGATCATCTCGCTCCAGTTGAGCCTCTTGCCCGTGATGGCGCTCGCCGCGACACGCGAGTTGCCGCCTGGAGTCGATGTGCCGGTGCCTGGAAGGCGACGTGGAGTTGCGCCGGGTGAAGAGGCGGCCGAGTTGGGCAGACTGATCGAGTAGTCGGAGAGGGCAGAACTGAGCGCGTGAGGGTTGAGATGAGCGGGAAGGGCTGCAGAGCCTCCTGTGGATGCGTACTGCGATAGCTGAGCATTGGCGTAGGCGAGTGCCGAGGCTGTGTAGGCACCTGAGGGAGAGGCTGGCGCAGTCAAGGATGTGCCGACGATCGGATGTGAATATTGGCTGTTCGGGCCGTGACCGATGGCGGGGCTATTTGCGCCAGAGCCTTGGTAGGAGGACATGGTGGCATTCATGTCCATCTCCCCTGTTCTCGGATGCGATCCGAGTTCGAACGGAGCAAGGGATCCAGCGGTAGAGGCGAGAACGACGGACGTTCTTGACGCAAGCGAACGATTCTCGGGTCAATTCTCGAGACGACGACGAAGCTTCTTTGCTGGAGGACGTTGCTGACAAGAGTGACGAAGAAGAAGAAGAAGGCGCTAAATGATCTGTCCTTCGAGACGTGTTCGGCGTCAAAGCTCGCCGCGAAGGTGTGGACCGCACAAAGAGAAGGCCCGAGCGTTGTTTCTTGCAGCGGTCAGCTTGACTGCGAAAACCGGCGAATGGAAAGAAAGCCGAAAGCGAGCGCCGTTTCAGATGTCGATGCCGTGCGTGAAGGGTGACAGGGCGGATGTCAGAGCGGTTGGGGCGGCGTAATCGGTGCGTGATGAGCACTCGACTGGAATCGCTTCTGTTTCGGAGCTTTAAGGATGATAAGCGAGATAGAGACGGAATACGGATCGAACAACGTCGGTAGAAGGCTACGGTGGGTTCACCGAGCGTGGCGATGATGTGCTATGGTATGGTGTGGAAAGGAAAGGGTTGATGGGACGCGATGAAGCGATTCAATGATATCAGCGGCCTGTGAGCAAAGCAGGGAGGGCGGGCAAAGGCCACAGGGCGGAAGCGAAGGCGGAGGCGGAGGCTGCAGCGAACCAATTCAGTGTGAGGGGAAGGGAGAGAGAGGCCATCGACCGTGAGCCAGAGCCGAGGTCAGGACGCGGGGGCGAGTGGGCGAAGGTGCACAGCAGGCAGCAGCGTCACGGAAAATGGACCGACCGCAAATAAGTTGTGGAGCAAGGAGGGCCCAGCCTGCGGGCTTTGCCGTCGTGTCGTGCGTGCTTCCAGGCTAGCCGGCTGTGGTGATTAGTGGTGTGATGAATAACTCGAGTTGCAGCAGTTAATATTTAATCAGTTCAGGATACTTCTCCGTGCAGAGTCCAAGACTTGCTACAGCAGGTCACACTGCGATGCCGATACACTCCCGTTGCTTGCACTGACCCTTCCTGAGAACAAAGATGGTAGGACGAGTCATATGCAGCGTGGCAGGACACACTGGTGAGCGCGAGCGCGAGCTCAGCGATCACCGCTCCCTAGTCGAGCCTTTGCTCCTTGCGGAACATGCATCGTCTCGCGACATGGCAATTGAAGCTGAAAAGCACCTGTGCTGCTGAAGAGAGCATTTGACTTCAACACCCAATATTGACCGAAAAGGTCACTCTGCATGGCGTTGTATTGCATGACTACAAGACCAGCCCATGTCATTTGAATTGTTCAGAACCAGATGCAGCGGAGTAATTCCTTTCCCAGACCATTGGAACTGAGCCGCGGGCTCTTTGGACATAATGACCCTAGCAGAGAACGCTCTGAACGCAAGGCCGTGACACGACCCGGAAAGTCACTCTGTGCAGCACAAAACACAAGCATGGGCGAGAGCGTTGTCGCCGCGAGCAGCACTGAACAGAAGCGAGATCTCGATCTTGCCTTGACCAGGGTTTCTATCGGGACGATCGATTCGTGTCCAACGCAAAGGATTCATGTCTCTTGTGGAAAGGTTGCTTTTCGAGCTCTGTCCATACGTCTGAGGATGCTCTTATTGGATGCACGCACTCTGAGACCTCGCTTTGACTTGTTCTGTTTCGATTTCAGAGGGAGTGGTGTCATGAACACGGTCCTCTTGTAGTGTTGGTGGATGTCGTCTCTTCTGCCGTAGGTGGAGGCGTCAACACCAACACCGCAAGAAAAATGACGACGCAGCTGAGCACGGAAGAACTTTGCGGACCCTGAGACTTTGCCTCGCAACCTTGCTTTGGCCATACGTGTTTTCTACTCACCTTGGTCGATCTTTCACCTTTCGTCTTGCATTGCTCCATGCCATCACGATATCATAGGCTTGCGAAGTAGCTCCCCGCTTCGAGAGAAGCGTTCGTCAACATCCCGAGCGATCCGACTCGAAAGCGAAACCGTCTCTCCACAGCTCTTGGAACTCTCCTTCGGATGCGGATCAGCACTGTCCCCACTTGCCGGACTTACTCGCTAACAGGATAGGCCGCCTAATCTAGGAATGGGAACGTACCGCTTTGTTCTCGTCCAACCTGTGGCTAGGCCAGCCTATCCACTGTTCGGCGTGTCTCCGTTGCCAGCGACGTTGCCCGTCCAGGCACTGCTCGCGCTTGGTGCCGCAATCATCATCGCCATCGGCCTTGCCGTCTATACCGACATGCTCAAACCTGGCCTCTTAGCAGCGTCGCATCTTCATCCATATACCCCATCGGCATCGTCCGAAAAAGGCCATGCCTTGCGGCGCGCCCGATCCGCTCACCACTCCGCCTCTACCTCGAGAGCTTCATCTCTATCGTCGACAGCACCCAGAGCCCGTGTCGCAAACCCAAAGTACAAGGGCCTCCGAAATACAGGCAACACATGCTTCTTCAACTCCACCTTGCAGTCGATATCGTCCCTGACGCTATTTCGCAGATACCTCTACGTTCTTGTGCACGAAGCAGAACGATGGGATACGCCTACGCCCGTCATTGATGCGCTCCTCGAGCTCATAGAAGAGCTCGCCGAACCGGTGGACAGGAACGCAGCTATCAACCCGGTACAGCTTGTACGGGCACTACAGGACTTGCCGTCATCTTCAATACGAAGCCTCGTTGGGGCTCATCAACAACAGGATGCCCACGAGCTCTTTGCACTCCTCAACGAGGCGGTCGATGCCGAAGCACAAGCGATCCAGCGCGAGCGCTCCCTCGCCCTCGACACCGAACAAGCAGGGCTTCGTGCACTCATGGCACCATCGTTGCCTTGGAGCGGTCGTGGTGTCTATGCAGACCCAGCACAAGCAGGTTCCAGTCTGGCAGGCAACGGCACCTCGAATCCACTACAGATACTCGGCATCCCTCAGGACAACAAACAAGCTGCGAACCCGGACGTCGTCGGCACGAGCAGCGATCACACGCTCATGATCTCGCCCTTTGATGCGCTCTTGGCGCAGCGCACCATCTGCCTCGACTGCGGATACTGCGAGGCGATCCGCCACTTTTCTACTTCCGAGATCTCCTTATCCGTCCCAGCATTCAATGTACGCACACGCACCTCAGAGCTCACGGGCACTTCGGCCTGCTCGCTTCAAGAATGTCTCGCATTGTGGTCCGACTTGGAGCAGGTCGATTGGATCTGCTGGAACTGCACCCTGCGCAACACTTCGCAGGCAGTCAAGATCGACATCGCTGCCAAGGTCCCAACCCCAGCCGGTGCCAAGCCGAATGGAGCATCTGCCAACGGAGATGCACACTTGTCGTCCAACGGCAGCTTGACGCCGGCCAAAAAGAAACGCTTGGCCCAGCTCAGATCGAAAGAAGCCAAGCTGACACGCATACTGCAGTCAGGGCTTTCCGAGGACGAGCTGAAGCAGTCTTCCGACGACCCGGCCTCGCCGTGGCATAACGTGCTCAACAACCTCCAACTCAGGAAGACCATTAGCCGCCTGTCTACCAAGCAAATCATGATTTCGCGACCACCGCGCATACTGACGTTGCATCTCAACCGATCCTCCTACTCGGCCTCTTCCTGGGCACCGGCTAAGAACAACCGACACGTGCTGTTTCCGGAGTACCTCGACTTGAGCGCGTTCACCCTGCAAGGAAGCATCTCGTTGGATGGACGGCAGACGATGAACTCGAGCCAGATGCATCATGCGGAGGGCGGCGGGGAGGAAGCCAGAGCGGAATCGGTCTATCGGCTTGCTGCTATTGTGGTGCATTACGGCTCACACTCCTTCGGACACTATATCGCCTTCAAGCGTGTTACGAATGCGGATGCGAGGCACGAGGGTCTGAGCGAGGACAGTGGTGCGGAGGCAGACAGCTGGTTGAGAATCTCGGACGAAAGCGTCACGCGGGCTACGATTCAACAGGTCAAGCAGGAGAACCCGTATATGCTGTTCTACGAGTTGATGCCGCCACGATCTGGGATTCAGCAGCAGGCGAAGCAGGACAAGGTGGAGCTGCCGGACGGATCCGCTGATTATGCCACGTTGCAGAAAGCGATCGCCGGCGCGATGGCGACGGCCTCCAATGGGCATGCGCAAGGCAGTCTACACGAGGTCGTGGGCGCTGTGGATCAATCAGGGTCTTCCAGAGCGAGTCCCGCGCCGAGCTCGATCCGGATCAGACCGAGGACGGTGCATCGCTGGAGCACTCCTCCGGTCGCGTAAAGTTCTTAGCGAGGTGTTTGTGGCAGCAATGACAAGCACATCAGTTCGACGCCTCGTCGAGGATCTCAAAATCGTTTTCGTCTGTGATGAATCTGTATGTGTTGCAAACGAGTGAAACATCCGGTGACACAAAATGATGGTATTACGATGTAATAAGGCAGGCAATCACCAAGGTTGAGGAGGCTCCTTGTTCTGTGACTGCGACTTCTGCTCGCGTTCCTTGGAAGCCTTTGTGTCGACCTTGACAAAATCATCCGCAGGCGCATCCTTTCCATCCGCACCCGCGCCATCCTCCTTGTCCTTCTTGACACCCATGTAGATCTCACCGACGATGCCCAACGCCTGCGCTCTCAACCTCTGCGTCTCCTTACCGATATTGGTGTCGTACAGCACGGCCTCGCTGACCTCTCTGATGACGCTCTCCACTTCGAGCTTTGCCCCCTTGAACAAGGCGCGCATGCCCTTCTCGGCCGCCTGCTCTTCCAACTCCCTCTTTCTTTCCACTGTGATACCGGCTTCCTCGGCCTTGGCCAACTCCTCAAACACGTTTTTCAACTCCAACGCCGCTCGAACGGTCGACACGGTCTCTCTGACGACGTGGATGCTGGAAGCAGCCGAGTGGAATACGCCTCCGAAGGAACCGAGGAAACCCGTGCTGGCGAGGTAGTGTTTGCTTTTGGCGGAATAGACGAATCCGACCGAGTTGAGCAGCTCGACACCGTACGATTCGTGCTTGAGCTCTTCCGCTTCCAAGCGTGTGATCTCGCGGAACGATTTTTCGACCTCCTTCTCGAGTACGGGATCGTTGGCATTGCGAATGCTCTCGGTGTAGATGCTGAGTTTGCGGATGAGTTTCTCGACGAGCTTCGAGACGCGTTCCTGGCGTTGCTCTTCTCGTTCGGCTGCTTGTTTGCGTTCCTTTTCCTCTTTGGCTGCTTTTTGCTCGGGAGTCAGAGTCGGCTTTGTGGCAGCAGTGGATGTTTCTCCATCTTTGCCAGTGGCAGAGGGATCGTCGCCGTTGGCCTGTCGTTCCAGATCATCCGAATCCTGCTGCAACGCTTCCTTCATATCTTTACCGATCGAGATGGTCCCGATGATGTCGGCGAATCGCTCACCACCAAAGAGCGATCCAAACACTTCTTCCGGATCAACGAATCCATCTTCCGGCGTCAAACCGGGTGTGCTGGCACCGAACTCGTTGTACTTGTGTCTCAACTCTGCATCCGACAACACGTGGTAGGCGGTAGCTAACGCCTTGAACTTTTCCTCCACCTCGGGATCGTTCGGGTTCTTATCTGGATGAAGTTTGATCGCCAGCTTTCGATACGCTTTCTTGATCTCTTCCAACGTGGCAGTGGCGGGGACACCGAGGACGTCGTAGTAGGCCATGTCGAGCGGATTCTCGTCGGTGCCGATGCGTCGTTTGCGTGCGACATCTTTCCCGCCGGATTTGCGAGCCTCGCGGACCATCTTTGTGGCGTTGGGAGGCTCAAACTGCTTGTTGCAGCTGCAGCATGTGACGGTGAAGGAGGTTTCGTGCGAGGGTAGAGCGGCGAGATCGGCGTTGGAGGGTGGGAGGTACTCGATGGATGCGCGACATGTCGTGTATGGGCACGAAACCGAGACGTATGGCTGCTTCGGCCGTGAGGAGAGGTTGAGACTGGACATGCTGGACGATAGAAAGGGGAGTCTCTCCGATCCAAAGAGATTCCTGGTTGATGGTGGTATGGAGAGTGAATATCGCCTGCCTGGTGTCAAGGCGTACTGAAAAAGTCGAGTGTGAGTTTTGCTGTTGTCGCGTGAGTGCTGAGCCTGCAGGCGTTGAAACAGTCACCAAGCAGTGAGGCGCTTACAGAACGGCTGCAGTGCTGCAGCGTGCAATTTTGTGATAAGGAGGCAGTTCAGGCAAAATTGATTTGGAACTGCTGCTTCGGAAGGCGGAAGTGTCAATCTCGTGGAATTTTTTGCCCACAGAAGCGAGCGCAAGTGCGGATCTTCCGAAAGGGTCCTTTTTCTGCGCAGCATGACATTTCACTGATCGGCTATCCTTCGACCTTCACCCAAGCATCCGCTATCACCCTGTCTTGGTTCACCTGATGAGATCATTGCATCGCACTTCAACATAGATCGACGATGAAGCCGCCAAAAAGATCGCCTTTCCTCCACTCTCGCCAGCAAGACCTGCTCCAAGTCTACCGACATCTCTATCCCGACTCCCAAGGCAACATCTCCGTCGAGGACCGTCATGATGCCCTCTCCATCGTACAGCTATGGATCAACAGATCGACATGTCCATACGCCGTAGAAACAACCGCGCTGCTTGTCCAGAGCGTTGTGCTGGATGAGCACATGCAGCAGATCGCAGTAGCCACGTTGAAGCGCGACTATGCTTCCTCCTCTGGCCCTCGATACGCCTTGGAGCAGATCGGTGGAGGAGCTGAATTGGGCGTACGTCTCAACTACAGCTTGGCACTCACTCGCTTTGTCAATAGCGTCGTTGATTCGCATCAGACGGGTGGGTTTGCACAGTCCATCGCTGCGATCGCTGCTCGCATCGGCCTGCCGCTCTGGTTCGTCGAGGTCCGTCATGCGGTGACGCACGAAGAGCTGCCCAGCATCAGCGTCTGCCGAGAAGCCGCCGGATCCGCACTTGCATGGCTCCATCGACAGTTTTGGATCCCTCAGCTGTTCGAGGGTCCGAATGCGCTTCCCATAAGATCTACCTCGGACGGCCAGGATGCCAATGCAATGGATCTCGATGCTTCATTCACCGCCGAGGCATCCACATCCGCGCTTGGGGAGGGTTCTCTAACACCAACAGCAAATCAAGCAGAAAGCCAGGACGACCATACGAGAAGAAAAGAGCGCAGCAAAGCGCTTCAAGAACTGCGTCGAACTCTCAAGGATTACCGCGACCTCTCCAAGAAGGTCACGCGCGATCGCAGTCTCGTCAATGCATCCAAGAACGACTTTCGAAGGCTCTACAAGCAGTTCTCCATCTTTGTCTCGCGCATCCGCACGCTCGAACCGGACTTTGGTGCGCAGCTGATCGACAACGCAAAGAAGGACAAGGATGAAGAGGTGGACGTACGCGGGGCAGCGGTGATGGATCCGGACGATGTGGACGAATGCACAAAGTCAGCGCTCTCGGACCTGGTCAACCAGCTCATTCAGCCGGGAGGCATGATCCCGCTTGGCACGTCGAAACGCGTGCCAGCCACGGCGGTAGAGGACGACATCGTTCTTCCGGCTGAAGTGGTCAGTGTTTGGAGTCCGCTGCTCGGTCACCTGAGGGATACATACGGACCGATCTTTGGCCAGCTGCTAACGGAGGAGCTGGTGGATGCTTTCATTCGCGAGGTCGATTCGGGTGCAGGTGCCGAGACACCACGGATCCAAATGATCTCGACGGCTGTCGAAGACGCAGCCGAGGGAACAGATCCCAGCAGCCAATCGTGGAAGAGATCAGCCTACGCCAGCCCGAGCTACCGCAAGACAGCCGACGCGTGGATCCGATACCTGGTCACGACGGTGCCTCCTTCCAGTCCCGTCTCCACTGCAGCCAGTTCATCTACAAGCAGACCGCCGACGACGCTCATCGCTGACACGGAAGTCGCACAGATGTGTTTGGCATTCCGTACCTCTAGCTCGGTATCTATTCTGGACTTTTTGTGCCAGAGGAACGACGAGCTCAAGGCAAAGTTCGAGCCGCTAGTGGCGGTGCTGAAGGTGGCAGACTTTGTGTCGGCGGCAGCGATGGACGAAGATTCGTCGGACGACGATGTGGACATGGTGAGGGAAAGGGATGAGGACGTATCAGGGTTCGAGATGCAGCTGGAGGCTATGCAGAAACGGTTGCGCGACATGGATGCGCTTCCGAGGTCGGAGGCTAGTAGGACAGAAGTCGTCGAAGATGCGCAAACAGTCGAGCTGGCTCAGGCCGAGACAGCCGTGGAGGAAGAAGGGTCGGCAGCAGTGGTCGAGGTCGATCAGGGACAGATGCCGATGGGCTGGAGCATGGCAGGTGCTGATTGGAGGCCTACGCCGTTCGGCTGTCTCGATGGCAGGATACCTAACCTTGTCGTCTAATTCTGTCCGAAGTGCAACCTCGTATAATGCTGCAACTCTATGAATGTGAGGCGATGGAGTCGTTGACGACCTGCTCGACATTGCGTTTCGATGTCGTGTTGTTAGACCGCAGAAGCTGCTTCAATGCAACGGCGAGGCCGAATCGGGATCTGGAGATGGAGCATTCCAACCTGCTTCTGGCCGCTTCGATCCTGAACAATTGGGCAATATCTGGAATTCATCTTGTCACCTTGCATGGGATGCATGCGATGCGGTTAGAAGTTGAGCTTTTGCTGCTCCTGCTGCAGGACCAGCTTGCGATAAATTTGGAAATTTACAATCCATGCGTGCCTCGCAAAGGACAGGGAGGGTGGGTGAACCGCATCTGGTCAGTGCGCACGATTTCTTCTCATTCATCGCCGTGTCTTGCTCAGCCAAGTGGGAAAAAGACACCGAAAGCTTGGTGGGATCTCACTGTGTCAGCAGGCTTGGGCTGTAGCGTGACGCGTCCAGTTGGGCGCTCAGACCACACAAGCAAAGTGGCATCCCATCCTCTGTGTTTCTTCCTGCCTGCCAAATGCAATCCTCAAAGAAAGAGACAATAGACTCGGTGCTGTGCAGCGATTGCGATAATTTTCATTCTCGTCTTGGCTTCCTCCCGGGGTCTTGAGCAGGAGTGGGGGGGAAGAGAGGTTTCGAGGCGCGAGATGAGCCCAATGCTTCCCGCGTAGATGAGGGGCAAAGATGCCTGCTGAGCGGGAGCGAGAGATGTTCGCGTGTCTGGCTGGTTCCACAGAGGCGGGATGAGGGCTCACAAGTGCCAGATTGTGCGATCCCACCGCCGCCACCTCTTCTGTGCTGCTTGTCTCTGTGTCTCTCTCTCGTTGTGCCGCGGCCCTGGGAACCTGCATATTGTCAAAGTCGACTGCCTCCACCCCTCGCCATCCCTTCGTCGCCCCCCTTGACCCCGACAGCGCTTTCCCCCTTTCCCCCCTTCGTGTATCGACAACCTCTTCTTTCGCTTCTACCACGATCATCTACCATCCGCATTCAACCACACGCGCTGCCCTTTGCACCTTCTCCCTGCCGCTCCACACAATGACCGACTCCACCACCAAATCCACCACCTCCACCGAGGTTGGAGGCATCGAAGACTCTGTCAAGGACAACAAGCGTGATGCTGCCAAGGTGTCCGAGAAGAACGCAGCCGCCGAACTAGCCGACGAAGATGAGGACGACGAAGAGGACGAAGATTTTGTACGTTCCACCACCTTCTGCTTTCGGTAGAGAGAAAGAGGTAGTCTTGATGTACTGACCAATCTTGTTCTTTTCGTGACTGTTTGGGATCATAGGAGGAAGACGAAGATGATGACGAGGAGGGAGATTACGAGGAGGAAGAGGAAGATGACGAAGCGGCAGGTGTCGACGATGACGATGAGGACGACGCCGCGGTGGTAGAGGGTGACGACGACGAGGTGGACGAGGACGCCGAAGAGGAAGCACAAGAGTAAGTTTCTTCTCCAAACAACAGCAGTATCGCGCCTAAACACAAGCTAACCATAACCACGCCTCTCCTGATCACCACTTGTTCATACGTTTTCCACCCTAACAGTGAAGATGAAGAGGCCGGTGAAGACGACGAAGAAGACGAGGAGGAAGAGGAGGACGACGATGACGCAGCTGCAGGAAGCAAGCGAAAAGCCGACGACGAGGGCAACGACGACGACAGCAAGGCTGCCAAGACCTCGGACGAGTGAAAGCGCTGCTCCCTCTTTCTGTACAATCTCTCAATCAAACTCGCTTTTTCGAGATCAAGCATCCCTGCGGGAAAGCCCCTGTCCTTTGCCAAGAAGAACGAGGTCTCGTCGGACACTATTTAGCAAGAGAAACAAACCTTTTGCTGCATCTTCGGTTTCCTCCTGATCGGTTAATCAATCAAAAAGACAACCTTCTTTTTACGATCTTCCCCTTCTACGACAATGTGACAAACATTGGATCCGCGCTTTCAATGGTGTGTGGACGGGGACCACGTTGTCACCGTGATCAGAGAAGCTTGAAAGTCGAAGTGCTTACGCTCGACTTGAACGCAATCCTGCCGGTGTGCCGCGCAACGGCCGACCAGAACAGGTACTCACACGACTGTCATTGCCTGAAATGGATCGAGCAGCTGTTGAGACCGTAAATTCAGCGTCCGAGTCTTGAAATCATGGGGACAATGACGGGAACTTTGATCGTTGAGCATGGCCGTTTGTTGATTATGTCCACATTCTTCCTGCCCAAGTGCTTGCACTTACTAGACAGTGACGATGCTCTGAACATGTCAACAACATGACACCCTCTTCCTGTATCTGGAAGCTGACAAGGTTGCACACTGTCGGTGGCCAACTCACGTACATTCACTGGTTCTTCAAACCAACCTTGCTTCGTCTATACGATCCAAACAGTTCTCTCTGCAATCCTAATAGTAGTGTCGATTCGCGCTCCCCTCTTCAACATAATCGCACTAAAACACTCTCCCCCTCTTATTCTCCCCAACACTTGACCTCAAAAGAATACGTTTGACCATGCCATTTTGTCACATTGTACATCCTCCAACACTTGGCGCTCAACATACAGCAACCAGATCACCTGTCTCGATGGGGCTGTGTTTTGGCTGCTGTTCTACACATCACATTTGATCCTCCTTCACCGCTCTCCCCGAAAACTTCGGCCGTGAAAAAAAAAGAATGCTATTTTAAACCATGGAACTGAACATGTGTGTTTTGGTATATGAAATATGTATAAATCTCTGCGCTTCTGGAACTAAGCAAGGTTGGACCTCAACTCGTGTGGCATCGCCATCAACCCCTTGCCCACCAAAGCCGGGCTTTCGGGAGGAGTGTTGACCGCGCTACTCGTATGACTAGCGAAGCCGGGCGAGGGGGGAACCAACAGGGGCATCTGCGGATGCGGTGGCGGGTAGAACATCTGCTGCGGGGTGAACATCATCGAGGGAAACCCAGGCATGGACAGCTGCGGGTGGAAAGGCATCATGGGAAGATGCGATGCCGTATGCGGTGGTGGTGGTGGTGGAGGAAGCCACATGGAGGGGGAGGAGATGAAGTTGGTGTTCAGGCTGAGCATCGAATCGCGGTTTGCGGGGTGGAGGGAGGATCGCGAGCCTACCGAACGGAATCGTTGATCCGCGGCGACATCGGATGTCCATTCGGACGGCGCTTCGCTGCGTCTCCGAGATGCACGGATACGCGTAGTAGCATACGCGTTAGCAGCGTCCGAGTTGGTCCTAGCACGCAGCGAGTTGGTGTCCACGCGAAGGTCACCGATCGACTGACGCTGAGGGTTGAGCGGCGAAGAGAAGCTTGTCTGCTGACGCGATTGGGGAGGCAGAGACATTCGAACCGATCCGGCGGGCGAGGGTGTCAGCCCCTCCGATTCCGCAGCTCGATGCAGCGCTGGTCTCGGTGCCAACATGGATCCGACTTCCGACGGAGCAGTGGACAGCTGGATGAGCGGAGGTCGTGCAATGCTCATCCTCTGACTCTGTCGGCTGCTCGCTGGGATTCTGGCTGGCACGGCGTTGTTCTCTCGAACCGCCTTGAGGTCGTTCTTCGCATCCGATGATTCGAGGGATTGACTTCGCTGGCTCTGTGTTCCACCCGAAACCAACGTCATCTGCGATCGGTTTCCGGGCATCAAGAGACCTTCACCACCAGCATCCGTCCCGACCGTTCCCGCAGCATCCGTCTCGCCCGCACCTTGCACCGCCACCGGCACAAACTCAATATGCCTCGCCAACATCCTCGCGAGCTGCATGAAATTGTTCCCCCTGCCATCGTACTTGGGTCTCGCGCTGATCAGCTGTTTGCTCGCGACCAACACCTCGTGATCGTTCCAGATGGTCCAGCCCACGGCCATGCGACGCGTGATGCCGCTCCAGTACGGGCTCGAGGTGGGATGGAGTTGCGAGACCATCTTGTGGTCGGCCTGGACGGTGATGTCGACGATGGTGGGGTCGGTCTTTTGACCAGGAGCGGAATCGATCTTGAGTGCCCAGTGCTCGGTCTCGAGCCCGCGGTTGCGCATGGCGGCTTTGAGTCCGGAGGCGTCGACACCGACGAGATCGGCGGGGATGGAGCGCGGGTCGATCGGGGTGGAGACTAGCCAGACTCGTCTTGCGTCGGGGTGAGGGGCCGGGTTGAGGGGCGCCTCGACGGCCGTGGATGACATGCAGTTACCCATCGTGCCAAAGTTCTTGGAGTTTGGAACAGGGAAGAGTGTGCGGTTCGTCCGTATTTCAAAGGTTCAAATCGCCGAAAAAGGTGTAAAGACCGCTTGTGCTGGAGCCGATCGTGTGTAGGCTTGCGAAGCGTGCGAGAGACGAGGACCAATCGAGAGATTGACTTAGGCTGTTGCAACCATTGTGTGCAGCTGAGCACCAGGGTGAAAGGATTGAAGATCCAGCCGAAGCGTGATTCCGTGATGGCGTGGTAGAACCCGACGGTGCCGGTGGCCTTGTTCCCGCTGAAACAGTCTCCGCGTCGAAAGTCGGTACGCCGGACCTTAGCTCGCTACTTTCACGAGGCGGTGGAGACAGGCAAAGTGCTCGACGTCGATACGGAACAGAAGGATGGTGGCAGGGAAGGTGGCTTTGGTGATCCCCACCGCAAGCAAAGCACAGGACGGAGAGCTGCCTGGTGCGGCGAAATGAGAGGGTTGTGGGAGGGACGGGAAGTGCAAGAGACAGCGGTGGGACCAACGCTTGAGTATGGATGGGCACACGTCTCTGTCGCGCCTCCAAGGGTTGATGCACATGGAGATGCACACCTGCACGTCCAAGATGAGACTCCGACCGATCGTGGAACCGTTTCTCTGAAAAGTGTCGGAGAACCACGTACCCTTCCACTTTGCGGGCAGAGGCGGACAGGATCTGTAGCTGCAACACGACCTAGGCGCGGGCCGAAAGCGTCTCTTGACAAGCGAGATCTAGGCGCACATGACGAACAGGTGTCCGAAGCGAGAGCCAAGAAAACCAAAACCACGCTGCGCCCAACAAGCATCTGCCGTACTCTTTACTGACTGGACGCTTCCGTGCTCCCAGGTCGCCATGGTAAGCGAGCTTCGCCGTGAGGATCGCTGCCATCTCGCTCTAATGGCGTTTGGCACCCTTCTGGCAACGGTTGTCCGCGTACACGGGGAGTCGCGAGGATATGCCATCGGAGGCAAGATTCCGGGTGGGGACGAGAGAAGCGGTTGATGCTCGCTTATACAACGCGAGCCGACCCTGCAGATTTGTACGCCATTTTCGCGCATCACAGCTGCAAGAGAAAAAAAAAGAGGCAGCGCACTTCCGTGGAGTTGAATTGTCGACGCGGGACGAGATTGCGGCGGTGGTGGTCGACATGAGCTGATCCTGTCTCAGAAAACACACCTCGCTCTGACGTGCGTCGTGGATGCAGGTGTCGGAATCAGAGCGGCAGCAAATTCAGCAACTCGGCCAATGGCGACAATGTGCACTGAAGGTGAGCACGTTTTGCACGGCCCCGCTTGAAGTCATTTCGCTTGATGCAACTAGACTAGGCACGCACCTACACAAAGCGTACATTCTCCTTCTGTTTGCCGGATCTGATCGCAGAGCTGCAAGATCTGAATGGTCAACGTGCGACGCCTCTCCAGCTGGAAATGAAATCGGCGCCTCGTCCCTGCCAATCCCTACACACAATGTCTCGTCAAGGTGGAGCAATATGAAGCGCCACGTCGCACAGTTCGTCTTGTGCCCACTCGTACAAACTCAGCGATCCAACCACGTCGGTGCTGATCCAACAGCGCAGACAAGCCACCAGCACGCCAAGATCCGTACCGACCCTTTTTCTTTCCCTTTTTCTTTCCCTTTTCGCGTGTTGACAGCTCTCTCGGCTGGAGAGACAGAGAGACCCTTGTTTGTTCTTTTTCGGGAAAGAAAAATCGTACCTCAAAGCACCAAAAAGCCACTGTCTTCCGTCGCGTTGTTATGACAAAGGCAACGTTGAACCTCACTCACGATCTACAGAAGGATCTACGGGCCAACAACAATGGGATTTTGATTGTCCGCTCAGCCGCTGCTGTGTTTGGCTGTCAACAAGCAACCATCGCCGCACAATGACGCCCTTCTACATTCCACTTTCTCTTGTTTTGATGCAGCTGTTACAGTAGTCTGTGGACCCTGGTCGGCTATACACTGGAGACTGCTGTCGACGACTCTTCCCATTCCGACATGTCGATCCGCTGTATACTTGAGCTGATCGGGAAAGTCAGTGAGGGTAGATCGAGGTTGGCAAGGTACATCGACAGCACATGTTACGCATCAGAGGTGAAACGAGATCGTAGATTGCCCTTTGCCAGTCGAAATGGTGTGTGAGCTTGACGGGACCGCCGCTTCTACTTGCCCTTGCCCTTGCCCTTGCCCTTGCCCTGACCCTTGCCACCTCTCGACGACCCCGATCCAGTTTTCGACTTTCCGTTCACCTTTGAAATCTCCTGCGAAGAGAGCTTCAACATACCGCCCTGGAACTTTCCGATGCCCATGCCCAGTCCTCTCTGCCTCTTCCTGCTCTCCTTCTTCAACCCCATCTCTGTCGCCGTCGCCTGACTCGAATAGGCCTGCTTGAGTGAAGGATGCCAGGTGCCCAACTCTTTCGCCTTCTCCCTCTCCTTGTCCCTCCTCTCTCCCGCTGCTTTACGCATACCCTGTCGAATCGCTGCGGGTGCTTTGGCAAGCTGTTGACGCTTCAGTTCGTTTTCGCCCCAGCCTCGACCGATCGCTTGACCTTTGCGTTGCGAGTCGGTGGCGGACAGCTCCATGATCCGTGCGATGGTGTCGTTCGAGGAGAGATTGGATTTGCCTTTCGACGTATTGCCTGTTCCGGGCGCAAAGAGCGTGGTGGAAAGCAGCTCCGAGAGCAGACGATCGTTTGCCACAAGTTGCTTCTCTTCTTCCTCTTCCGCTGTGCTCAGCTTGGTGTTCGAAGCTTGATCTTCAGCGCCGATCTTGTCGATCTTGGAAGACATGAATGCTTTCCAGCCCTTTTTGGCCTCCTTTAGCTCGTCGGCGTCGGGACGTGCTTCACCACCGTACACTACGGTTTGCACCACTCTGGCTTTCGGCTGCTTTTTTGCCTTGCTGCTGTTCTGCCTTCTTTCTTGCGCGTCGGCACTCGTCGATGCATCTGTTGATCGGCCAGATGCCTTTGTTGATCCGAACAGGACATCCATCTCGTCTTGCTCCCTTGCCGGAGCATCCTCGATTTGTGCCGGGCTGACGTTCTGCTCTGCTAGACGTTTGCGCTTCTTGCTCGAGAGTTTCTTCCTTGAGGATGATTGTTCTTCTGAAGCCATATCTGCGGAAGGAAGATCGAATGATGATAGGAAGGCGTTACCCAACGCCTCGAGCTGGGCGAGCTGGGCCGCTCGTTCTTCTGGATCATTCTTGCCGGTCTGGAGTGTGCCTTGGTCGGCCTCACGCTTGCCCTTGGCGTCAGAGTTCCTTGTTGCGGTCGGGACCATGATGAAGATGTATGCGAGGGCACTTGTGAAGCCAAGGCCTGGTGGTGCCAGGTGAAAAGCAGCAAATCGCAAGAAGAAACCTCGAAAGCAAAACCTGAAATTTCAGGGTTTCCCGTCTTCCGAGACTCGGTCCAAGTGCCGATTTGCTGACCCTTTTTTTTGCTTTGCTTTTCTCTCTCTCTTTGCTCTTGACAAAATTTCAGGGTCGAACCTCCACTCTGTCGCTGTCTCTGTGTCGCACAAGGCATCACACGATCGTGCGTGCTTCCATCATACCACAGTATCGACCTCAACCGCAGCAACTTAGAAGCAGTTGCAATGAGCGGTCACTCAGCGCGCAATATGGCGTTGCTTTCAAGTCGACAACTCGCACGTCAGCTGTCGACTACGAGCCATGCTGCCGGTCTCTCGGCTCGTTTACGCAAGCAATGGCGCGTTTCACCACGTCCCGCCTCCTCCGCTGCTCCGTCATCGTCGGCAGCAGCACCAGCACCCGCCAGCGTATCTGCATCAACTTCTACATCCTCGAGCACAGCCAAGCATGACAAGCCGCAGAACAATGGCGCATCGCATCAACAGCACTCTTTCGCACAGCGCAAAGCTGCATTCCGTTCCCTTCGTCACACTTCTGCAGGATCCAGCTCCAACTCGGCATCATCGTCATCGTCGTCGCCATCGTCATCTTCATCGTCATCTTCATCGACAACGTCATCATCGTCATCGTTTAAATTCGTAGAGAGTGCAGATAAGGGAAAAGCACGAGAATCGTCATCCCATCCCCGAGCAGCTTCTTCAGCGGCAGATCACTCCGCGTCCCTATTGAAGGAGCTCAACTCGCTCGACGATCTGCTCGATTCTCTCCAAAGTCAAGCATTTTCCATCTCGCAGCGGCTCAGGAACCTGGAACTGCGGCGAAGGGACGGCTCACCTGATCGGCTTGAAAGTACTTGGGGTCCCGATCGACTTTCTCCTCCCGGCGCCGGCGACTCTGGACAAGCCAACGTAGATGCCTGGTCTGCGTCTCCCGCCGAAGCACCCACCTCATCCAGAAACACCGACAAACGCTCTTCCGAAGAACCCAAAACCAAACTTGTGCACGGCAACGACTTGCTGGCATCGTCCAACCTACGCTGGCGCGACGGGAAAGGAAAGATGGTCGAAAGCATCTCCTACAGCGGACCTTTCGCCGACGAGCAAAAGAAATGGACCGAATCCATCACCGGTTGCGTCACAGCAAAGGGCGTGCCCATCGACAAAGTTGATCCGCTACGCAAGATGGAAGTGGCTACCTTGGCGCATGGTCTGGATCGGGTGCTCTTCAACCCTGGAATCTATTGGCTGAGAGATCCGCGTTCCGGCATATACAACTTCGACCCTCGCATCAAGGACATCCTCGACGTCGACCTTTTCGACTACGCCGCGCTTCCACCGTACATCACCTCGAGCAAAGATCCGGAGCTGGCGACTCTGACGCAGAAACACCAGAAGAAGTACTGCGGAAGCACGTCGTCCATGACATCGCTGCTGAGCCAGTGTTACTTTTTGATCTCGGGATGGCGTCAACCGGACGTCTCTGGGTTTTCGTCGCCGTTTGCCGGCTTGCCGAATGGATTTAGCGTTGGTGCCAAACTGCCAGCGTCGATTCTCTTGCACTACAAGGATGGATACTATGCGATCGATGCAGACAAGACCGCTGCTGGCGAAGCCGAGAACAGCAACTACGTCCTCACCTCGCTCGGCAAGAGCATGGAAAAGATGCTCACAGCTACGCCGGAAGAGTACGCCAAGTACATGCGCATCAACTCGTGGAAGCTGACCGAAGAGGAGAAGACCAAACCGGAGGCGTACCACTACGCATCGACGGACAAGATCATGATGCGATCCCAACTCGACTGCCACGACGAGCGTCTGCCGCGCAAGACGTTCGACCTCAAGACGCGCGCCTCGATCGGCATAAGGAACGACCGCGCCAACTACGTCGAAGGTTCCGGCTACCAGATCCGCCGCAGCACGGGCGTGCTGGAGAGCTTCGAACGCGAGTACTTTGACATGATCCGTGCCGCTTTCCTCAAATACAACTTCCAGGCTAGGATCGGTCACATGGATGGCATCTTTGTAGCGTACCATACGACGAGTACGATCTTCGGCTTCCAGTATATCTCGGTGGAGGAGATGAACGAGAGGTTGTTCGGGACGCAGGAGATGGCGGATCAGGCGTTCAGGTTGAGCTTGGGGATGATGGAGAGGGTATTGGATGCGGCTACGGGTGTGTTCCCGGGGGAGAGTTTGAAGATTACGGTGGAGTCGAAGGAGAGGAAGGCGGAGGCGGTGGGGTTGGCGGGGATGAGTGTGTATGTTGAACCTGCCAACGCCTCCAGCAGCAGTACGGAAAGGGATGGTGAGGGTGGCGAAAAGACGAAACGTACCATCGCACAACTCGACATCACCGTAGACAGGTACCTCGACGGAGGACTGATGCTGGGTCCTGTCGACTTCACCCACCTACCCGGACGACGCATCGATCCTCTCTCGGACGATGAGATCGAACGACGCATGCGATCCTCCCTCCCGCCCGTACGCTGGGAGATCGACTACTCCATCTCTCCGCGACCCGATCTCACCGAAGCGAAAATTCGCTCCAACCTCGACGGCGTACGCGCCAAACAGGCGAGCCTCAACTCGCTCATCCTGCCCAACGTCGATGCGCTCAACGCGCGCGAGCAGTATCGGACCGACGAGCTGGCCAAGAACCCCGAGGCGTTGCAGAGGTTCTTGGAGGAGAGAAAGAGCGGTGTTGCTGCGGGCATGCCGTTGGCGCCCGGTCAGGTGTCTGCTGAAACAACCGTCGGGTCAACGAAGGGGAAGGAGGGGAAGAAGGAAAAGGATGTGTTGCCGGATGACGTGCTCAATCCGACCGCAGCGGGGGAGGATAAGTCGTCGAGGAGGAAACAGGCGGAATCAAGGTTCGTCAGGATGAGGAATGCAAGGACGTTGAGGCTGAGAGAGTTGGCCAGGTTGGGTGCCAAGGATGCCAAGGATAGCAGCAGGCTGGACAGGCTGGTCATGTATCAGCCTAGGTCGTAACCGTAGAGATTCAGGACGGTGCTGCGAGCATTGTGGCCATGGAGTCATTCTCGATCTAGGCAACGACCCCGCGACCTTCGCTTCCCTCGACAGCTTTCTCCTACCCATCATCACCGCCGCATCCTCGATCCAGCTTCCCCCCGATCTCACCCCACAATCCGTTCCTCCCCGTAGCACAGCATCATCCACTGCATCAATCACAATCATTCAGACCTTACAAACCAGATCATGGACGGAAATGCTCGAGTGTTTTTAGTATTGGGGCGCACAAGAGTCGCCTTTGGGCTCTGTGTTGAATATGAGTTACAAAATCTCATCCCGATCAGGACAGATTTGAGCGAGGTTGTGGGAGCAAGCTGTTCAAGGCTCGCCCTCATTTTTGGGTCTGGTCGAGAAAGGTGTGTGGGGGGGGAAAAGTCGGATGCACAAATGCGATCAGATGCAACACGACGGAACAAGATGCGAGGGAAAGAGATAAAAGGAAAAGCAATAGAAAAGAAAGAGAGGTACCGAGACGTGCAGAAAGCAACGCAGATGCATCCCAGGACAACGATGAGAAGAAGGACGGGTGGGACGATCGACATCGACCAGACCCAAGCCTGCGATCATCCGCCGTCGACTCACATCGTTTCCGAGGTTGCGTCTACGCTTCTAAGGTTGGATCTGCGTTGGCCTCGATGGTAGAAAGGGTATGCTGCGGAGGGAGCTAAGTGCTCTTGTGCAAGTTTAGAACTTGAGAGCGTGGGGCTTCTCACCCTTGGAGAGCGAGAAGGTGGCAGCGAGGTACTTGGCCATGGTGGGGCCGGCCTTCTTGACGGCGGCGATGACGGCCTTGTCAAGAGCCTTCTGGTCAGCGACCTTGGACTCGGGGTGAGCCTGCTTGTTGGCGGGGTCGGCGAAGAAGGCAGCCTCGGGCTTGGTCTTGGCGGCCTTGTCCTTCTTGAAGTACGAGTCGTTGATCTTGTCGTCGACCTTGACGTCCGAGATGTCGATCTTGGTCGAGGTGGCGATGACGTAGGCCTGGTTGACACGTCGGATGGGGACACCGTTCACCTTGAAGGGGCCGGTGACGAGCAAGAGACCAGAGTCGAGCTGCTTGAGGAACACGACGCGCTTGCCACGGAAGCGACCAGCGAGGAGGATGAGGACGGAACCGGGGGCAATGTTGGACTTGAGCTTGGTCTGCTTGTTGACCTTGCGGTTGGCCTTGGGGATGCGGGCCTCCTCGGCGGGGTAGAAGCGGGGGGCCTTCTGGGTGGGGACGAGACGCTTGCCGCCGTTCTTGGCGCCCTTGACGTCGACCTCCTTGTGGGCGGGGGTCTCCTCCTGCTTCTTGGGGGCACCCTGGCGCTGCTGGAACTTGTAGCCACCCTTCTTCTGGTAGGCCTTGGTGCGGCCGAGGCGAGCCACGTTAGGGGCAACTTGGTGACGGGCCATTTTTGTCGGATTATGTGCTGACGGTGGTGGAAGGGAGGGAAGAGTACGAAGGGGAAAATGTCAGCGAGATTGGATCTATGTTGGTGCTTCGAAACTGACGAAAGGTGATTCTCGAACAGCCGACTTCTCTCCTGGGGGCGCTGCGACTGGGATCCTGGTGCTAATGTGAGGTTGTGTCATCTTCGTTGCTGCATAACCAAATGTGGTCTTTGCTGAGTTCGTGCAACGCAAGCATATGATCGCCGTTCTTCCAACCGCTCTGTCCATCTCTGCGACATTATCTACGCCGATGTCCTGGTTGCTGCTGGTCCTGCAACAGTCCATTCCCGCGTCCGCTACGCTTTCCGCAGTCGCACCAAACTCGACGGCGTCGCTTTCGATGATGGTATCTTCGACGAGGACCGCCTTTGGGATGACGGTGTCTGCTGTCTTATCTGCTTTCCATCTCCTGGTATCATCTGCGATGCAGCACGGTGTCGCTATGGTCGATCCACCTGCAGGCTGGAGTTCGAATGCCTCGATATGATGAATGCAACTCCTTTGAATGTCCTCTCGATAACAACATACGGAACCACCAGCACAGTTGCTATCTGCGTTCCTGGCATCGTCATCAACGATGTACCTGCATCCAATGTCCTGGTCGATACTGCTCCATTAGGATGCTGCGTGCTCCAGAATATGCTGATCTTACTTCGTGAGTGTGTCGTTGTGCATTGTCGTCGATAACGTGAAGAGGAGGAGCGGCTGTTGTCGATATCACCCTTGCGATGGAGACTTACCTTTTCTTGATGGCTTGGAGGAAGAGAAGCAGTGTCGAGCAGCACAATCTCGAATGTCAACCCGAATCGCTTGCTCGCTCGCTAGCTCACTGGCTTGGCCTGGCTACTCTAGCTTCCGCACACTGTGTCACCCACCTCTAGTCGATCGGCTGAGGCTGCAGCTGTCACCGGCTCCGATTCGTGGTGCTCTGGGCGTGGAGTTGGATTCGGGCGAAATTCCAGTTGGGCAAAATTTTGGTGCTGTATTTTGAAAGCACGTGACTGATAGGAACAAGCTCGGCCGTGCCTCAGCCTGATCAAGAAGTGTATCGATCAAAATCGTGGGATCGGTGATTTCATGATAATTCGAGTTGCACAATTTTACAGCAGAACCGCGATCTGACATTGATCAACTCATATCTCCTGCCTTCTGCATGAAAGAGCAATTTGAAGAAGGAACAAGAAATAAAGAAGCCTCGGTCCGAGCGTGCTTCTCCGTAAAGCCCGTCGTCCTTCGAGATCCGCGCCTGATATTAAGGGTTGGGGGAGACAGAAGCAGCATTGCCGAGATCGAGAGACCCACTGACCCACTGTCCCGCATATTTCGACAGAGAGAATGAATCGGCTGGATAGGTGGCGAGCCGTCTCTCTGTTCCAGGGTCCTTCACCTTCATTGATCTTGTTATCAGAAGATGTGCTCGATGGCGAGCCAGTGCACGGAAAGGTCTCCGAGTTTTGTGCCGGCGGGCTACCTGTCGAGCTCCCCTTTCGTTCATACATTTTGAGTTCCCGAGCGGGTGCACTGACCATCGCGAATTCACGATTGCCGGTCTGCACTTGGGCTCGCCGTTTCCGCTTTGCAAAGATCGTGCGTGTCTCACGTAAGGATGCCGCGCAGCAGAGACTGTGAAGCTCTGGCTCATTCTTTCGTCAGAATCAAGATGAGGAGAGTGGTCGGGCTCGACGCTGCACACCGAGCTCACGTCGTCTCGTGATGTGGGAGTCGTGACTAGCAGGGTTGCCGAATGCATCACGGATGTTTCCGTCTGATCTCACGCTGCTGATTGTGCATAGTCGCTGCCATGCACGTTCTCTTCTTGCCGAAAGGACTCCTTCGAAGGACAGAACGACATCGTCGATGCTCGGAAGACCAGAGACGGACCCTGTTTCCCCTTTCTTCTCATTTTATGTTTTATTATTTTTTTTCTCCTAGACTTAAAATCATGTCCTTCTGACGGCTGTCATGAAGGTGCTGAATCGATTTCGTGGCTTCCGCTTGGCACCCATGGGAGCTGCTCCCCCGTTTGTTTAAAGTAGTGATGCTGGGTGTCAGCACACAAACGAGCACACAAACGATAGAGAAACGAGTCACACCGATCAGACTTCTCGCCAGAGCGAGATCGAGAGCGCAAGCCCAAGAGCGGGCCAGGGAGGAAGTTGCCGTTGTGAATGGGCGGCCCCCCAAGATCATCTTGCGCGCATCGCTTCTCGAGCTTAACTTCTCAATGCAGCTTGTGTTTCAACAGCGGCTAGTTGGTCAGTGCTCTCGCCCACCGGAACTCAATTCTGAGAAAGACGACTCGAGTTGATGAATGAGCTGCTCCGCGAATTGGACCGAGCAAGTGAGTGAAAGTGAAAGTGGATGCGATGTGTGGCCTGTGCTCATACTCTGCGTGCTCAAACGGTCGAGCCGAGTCCCTTTTGGTGGCCCTGGTTCCACCTTCGTCCGTCTGACTCAGAAGAATGTCCCTTCGTCAAGCTTCAGATGAAACTCGCCGAAGTCATTGTCAGCCGAGGCGCGAACCCTCTCCCAACACTAACAATGCCCTACTACCCGCAGCGGCATATCCGACGCACAGCACGGCGGTGCGTGACAACCACTTTCCAGAAATCACATCGATCATCGGCAATGAGGGTTGAGCTTCGACCAGAGTGAGAAGGTGGGCTTGTGGACCGCTACCTGTGACTTCGGCGCTGTTGCACTGGAATAGCGCTGTCTCGCAGCGCCTTGCCTGTGCAGCCGCCACGCCAGACAAGGACCACTCCCACGTGGGGCCGCTCATATATATAAGCCGACCTCCCTGTCCGTCGCTATTCGTCTCCTCCCTTTCTGTCACGCCTCTACATTTGTACCAACGAACGAAACGATCGCAAAGATGACTCCTCCCACCGCTTCCTTCGTCAACCCTGCCGTCGCTGAGCCCCAGCTGGGCAGCTTCAAGCCTACCAAGGGCAGCTTCCACCCCTCGTCGACCGCCACCCCGACCTACGAGCAGTATGTCCCCATCAAGACTGGCCAGGAGCCCATCGAGGACTTTGCCGGCAACTACCGATTCGCCGAGATCAAGGAGTCGCACACCTCCCGTGCCATGACTGCCCGCTACATGACCGACATGATGGACGCCGCCGTTTCCGACGTCGTCATCATCGGTGCCGGTTCCGCCGGTCTCACCTGCGCCTACACTCTGGCCAAGCAGCGTCCCGACCTTCGCATCACCATCCTCGAGGCTTCCGTCGCTCCCGGTGGCGGTGCCTGGCTGGGTGGTCAGCTCATGAGCGGAATGGTCATTCGAAAGCCCGCACACAACCTGCTCGTCGAGATCGGCGTCCCCTTTGACGACGAGGGTAGCTACGTCGTCGTCAAGCACGCCGCGCTCTTCACGTCGACCTTGATGAGCAAGCTGCTACTCATGCCCAACGTCAAGCTCTTCAACGCCACCTGCTGCGAGGACTTGATCATCAAGAAGGACCAGTCGGGCGCACAGAGGATCAACGGTGTCGTCACCAACTGGACTCTTGTCACCATGGCCCACGGTCTCCAGTCTTGCATGGACCCTCAGAGTGAGTTCCAGTACCAAAATACGTGCGATGAAAGGTGATTACGAACTGACCCAGAGATTTCCTCGATTTGTACCTTGCTCGCATCGCGTCGCCAGCCATCACCGCGCCCGTCGTCATCGGCGCCTGTGGCCACGACGGTCCCTTTGGCGCCTTCAGCGTCAAGCGTCTCAGCTCGGCCGGTCTCATCAAGCTCGGCGACATGCGTCCCATGGACATGAACAAGTCCGAAGGTCAGTTTGTGCTCGGCATTGCACCGCCTTTCGAGCATCACGATGACTTTCGCTGACACACGGAATCTCCTTTTTTTCCTTCCTCCTTTATTTGACCCTTTTTCTTGACCCTCTTTCGATTTTGGCACATCTCCTCTCCCTGCACAGGCCTGATCGTCAACAACACGCGCGAAGTCTTCCCCGGCCTCATCGTCTCCGGCATGGAGCTTTCGGAGCACGACGGACACCCGCGCATGGGCGCCTCCTTCGGCGGCATGATCGGCTCCGGTCAAAAGGCCGCCTACGAAGCCATCAAGCTATACGACAGTCTCGAAGTCGAGGATGGCGAGGTTGTCGGTCTCAAACACTGAGAAGCTCAAACCTCCCAAATTTTCGACAATTCGAATGATCGTTGTGCTTTCGCAGATGTCAAAAAACAAAGTTGATCCCATCAAGGCGTTTGCAGACTGTGCCGAGCGAGACAATGGCGACTCTGGTCCGAAGCGTCTCAGTGTGACCTGCTTGATGTTCTCGATCTGAGCCGACGTGGATCTGCAACAGCAGTCTGGCCCTTGACGGGATCTCTTTCCGTGCTTTCCGCGGCGACGTCAAGTTCATCGGGGAAAAATGCTGATTGATTTCGTATCGAATGAAATGAATGAACTTGAACTCTATCTTTCCCGCCTTGCGGGCCGGGCCTTGCTTCTCCTTCCCCCCCTTTAACTCTTCCGCTAACCGCCTCTGGATCTGACGATGAACTCCTGCAAAAACTTTTTGAACCGCTTAGCATCGCCTTGCTTCAAGTTCCCTACAAACTCCTCTGCCAGCTCTCTTGGACAGTTGATCCTGGGTAGGTAAACTTCCGACAGAAACCTCACCAGTTCCTCTCCTCTTTTGCTATAAATCGTCTTGGCCAGTGTCGCGATCTCGCCCAAGACGATCTGACTTTGAGCGTCTTGAAAGTCGAAAGTTTCCTTTGCAGGTGCTTCCAACACCAACCCTACCAAGTTCTCGTAGATGAATTGTTCGAATCCTGGTAGACCTCCTTCTTCGCCACCCCAGCTGGAAACCAATCGATGCAGGATCGAAAATGCCGTTCGTTGACACACGACATCCCCACTACCAGCGTAGAACACCACACTTTGCAGCACCCCCTCCAATCTACCCGCATTCTTGCCGCTCACAAAGACACCTTCCATCCCCACCCCTACCATCGACGAGATCAAGCCCATGTACGCCTTCTGCAACTCGCTCTTCTCCACCGCATCATCCGTTCCCCCCACCCCCTGATTCAGGAAGAAGAAAATCCTCTCGATCAACAGCAAAAACAGTTGGTCGACTATCTCCCTCACTTGGTCCTTGTACTTGTTGACGACGAGGGAGAGGAAGTTGACGAAATCGACGAGCTCCTGACTCGTCACTTCGCTCAACAGCGCATCAATGAGACCAGGGATGTAGGGTAGCACGGCGGCACCGCAGGTGGAAACCATGCGGGCGAACGCACCGCGAGCAGCTTCCCGTACCACGGAGAAAGAGTTCATCGAGGAGACGCTGACCAACACTTGCTCGGTGATGGTTTTGAATACCGAAACCCATTTCGGTTCTGGTGAAGTGCTGGTCGGGCTGATGTCGGGAAATCCTTTCGAGAGACTGCTGAGCGCCAGCATGAGGTGGTGTACCTGGAGCACGGAGGTCAGGTCGGAAGGGTTGGCTTGATACGCCGAGACGGCTTGTCGAAGTTGCTCGCTGAGCGGTTCCGAGATAGCTTTGAGCAGCACGACTTGGTCGTCCGGGGCGCTGTTGAGCAGCGAAACTAGGATGCCGCTCGTCTCGAAGAGGTACAGCTGACTGTCAAAGTAGCCCGCAGGTGCGGTGGCCTTGATCAGCGGATCTTCGTCCGGAGCCACTTCCGGCAGCTCGGCTCGCACCACCAACAGATCCTGCAGACCTTGCAGCAGTCGTTGCACGTAGTCCATAGGCACGGCGGAGACGGCGCGCAGATCGCGTACGAACCTGTACAGCAGATAATTGACGCGTTTGCGCACGCCGAGCTTCTCGTGGTGCACACCACGCCAGTCGAGAAAGGCGGGCAACGCATCCGACACGCATCCGCTTCGAGCTGCAAAGAAGTTGGAGTAGCGAACCAGACACTCGAAGAACTGCAGTTGGACGGCGGGATGAGGGAAGGACGAGACGTTGGACTGGACGAGCTTTTGCACCATCTCGCCGAGGTTGCTGAGCGGTAGAGTGGCGAGCGCTTCGTTGCTGAGCTTGGGAGCACGTCCCTTAGAGCCTGCTTCGGGGGTTTGAACGAACATGGCGGGCGACAGTCCCACCTTTGGCGCCGCCGCTGCTGTGGTCATGACGTCGCCGTAAAAGTGGATGACGTAGAGCGCAAGCTCGATCTGCTGCCAAGAAAGCTGTGCGCCTGAACCGGATGAGCTCGCTTCAAAGGATGCAAAAGTGGACAGCACGAGCTGTGCGACGCTTGTCGAGAAGAGCTTGTCGTCGATGGCGGCAATGGCACCGACGATGTTTTGCAGGTTTTTTCGCATCTCCAAAAACTTGGCGTCGTCCTCGTCCTCTTCCTCGTCGTCGTCTTCGGCTGCTCCGAAGCTGCTGGCAGGCCACTCGGCCTCGTCGTCAAACTTCATCTTTTGGAGCGCAACTCCGATGAGGCTGGAGAGGAATTCGACTCGGGCTCCCGTGAGTTCTGCACCTCGTCGACGTGCCTTTTTGTAGATGCCAAGGATCATGTTGACGCCCGGAAACATCTGCTCCGAGGCATCGTCGTATTCGTCCGAGAGGAAAGCCAGCACCAAGGGCAACAGCGAGTTGAGAAGGTCCTCTGCTGCGAGTTTGGTCGACTCCTCGGCTGCACCTTCCTCGAGGATCTTGCACATTTCGAGCACGAGGCCGTTGGTGAGGTGAGCGAGGTGTTCTCGAAACTCGATGTTGGAGTCGCTGGTGTCGCTCTGACCGTTCTGAGCGGAGGGACCGGTACGCGTGCGTGCCTCGAGCGGAGTGATGACGTGTGGGAGATTGAGCGCCTGAGCGAGCGAGAGCTTGTCGGCTGGTTTCATACCCTTGCTGATGATGCCGTGCAAAGCATCTGCGGCTGCGGTGCGGATTTTGGGGATGGGGTGATGCAAGACGTTGAAAAGCAATGGAACGGTTTGGTTTGTGACGACGAGGTTGATGTCGATCCAAGAGACGTAATCTTCGACGATCTTGGTGGCTGCTGCGGTGAGGTCGACGGCGTTGGTGAAAGTCATGCTGCGGACGCCAGAGGCAGAGTTGGTCTCGGACGAGTGCTCTCCTTGGTTGACACGGTTGAAACCCTCTTCTACGACGCGCCAGACGGATTCGGCAATGTCGGAGGCATGGCTGGCACGAATCTCGTCTCTGATGACGGCGTCTCTCTGCAGACGCTCTTTGGACCGAACGGCTCTCAAGGTGACGTCGGAGCCGAGGGTGACGGAGAGATCGTGCAGCACGCGCAAGACGAGGTCGCTGGTGAAGGGGTTGAGGGGCAGCTGCGAGGTCGATGGCTGTGATGGCGAGGCAGCAGGGTGGGCGCGGATCATCGAAAGTAGCGTAGGCAGAAGTGTGTACGGTGGTGGCAGGTTGTAGGTCTGCAGGAGCAAGACGGCGAGGACCTGGGCGAACTTGTTCTTGATGTATGGCACGGAACCGTCGCCCGAGCCAGCGACATACTCGTTCTGGACGTACTCGACCGCCGACTGCTGAAGGCTAGCTACGGCCGCGGCGGGATCGCTCGACATGCTGATACGATTCGCGAGAAAGTCGTCGACGAGCATGAGACCGAACATGCGGGCGTTCTGGCTGTACTTGGGACCATTGCCCTGTGTGTCGCGTGCGGACCATACGGACCAGCCTACGCTCCAGCTCTCGTGAGTGATGGTCTTGAGGTGTTCGAGAAATTGAAGCGCCTGGGAAGTGACGTCAGGACCAGCATTGGCGAGAGGGTTGGAGGCAATCTCCACGGCCTGGATGAGTTGCTCCTCCATGGCTGGGTAGCGTAGCTGCAACGAGTGTGGCCGCGACCTTTGCGCCAGGTCAGAAGCTCCTCTCGATGATGATGCTGCGCTCGATGATCGATGCTGTAGTCAAGAGACGGGGTTGGAGGCTATGCTGACATTGAGAATGCTGCTGGTGTTGCTGACGATGCTTTCTATAAAAGTGGAGCTCGAGTGTTGTGTGCAAGGAACGTTGCGATTATCTGGACCGGGGGTGTTTCCGACTGTTGGGCTTGGTTGACGTCTGAGACCGACTGGAGAGTAAGCCGAAGCGAGTGTATTACGAAGGTGAATGAGTCGGAGAAGGTGGTTGACTGCCACAAAGAAAGTGTCCACTGTGATCACACCACTGAGCAACACAACGAGCATGCGCTTTGCTTTGCTCTGCTTCGGTAGTGTGATCACTGACGCCAGAAGTTTTGTTTCTTCTCTTCAAAGTGACACAAAAAAGTGCGAGGTTGACATTTCGTGCGAGTATCGAATGACGCGTCTGTGATTTTGACAAGATTTGTGTTACGTCGCCTAAGTCGTGCTCGTTTAAAACCCGCTTGATACTCTACCAGAGGACTCACCTCTTGTCGACACAGATCAGCTCGATCGTACGCACAGTGCAGTGTTGCTGCAATCCACCACTCGAAAGCGTGTGTTTATGGTCCGACATCGAATACACCTCCAGTATCACTGCTTCTGTGCTTCTGAGGGGCACAATGGCCCGGGACTCTGTCTGCCCAATGATGTCGGATGAGATCCGATCCAAAATACCGGGAATGTCCTTGATTGGCTTACCCCGCAACTCGAAGATAGCTCTAAAATTTCGTGCATTGGGAAACTCGGGCCTTTGTCCCTGAACAATTCGACCATGGACAGCCTCTCTCATTCATCGGTGTCCATTGCTCTATCGCCTCATGGTTGCGATTGCGGCAATGTGTGTCGAGAGAAAATGGCTGTCTTGGCAACTGACTCTGCTCTCGTTGACTGTACCGAGTCAACTTTTGGACGACAGCTGGATGGCCAAACACTCGATGACGCTGCCGTTGATCCTACAGTGTGGCGATCCAAGACAATGTGCCACGACAAACACCGTAAGGCTCCGTGGTCACAAGATCCATCATGCTGTCGTTTCCAACCCCGTCACAAGGAACGCTCGGCTCTGGGTCTCGCACCAATGATCTCCGCATTCGTTGGAGTCTGAGTTATTTTTAATTTCGAATAATGGCCTCTCTTTGTCTGGGACACAGGATCAGGGTCCCTGTCGATCGGTGCTCGCGTCTCTCGGCAAAGCTTGAGTCTAGAATCCTAACCCTTCTACCGGTCCCGTGCCTGTGGCTGGGATGCTCAGTGCCACGCACTGTTGGCTATAGTACAAGCACTGAAGCGGCATCATCAACGCAGAGAGGGTGGATCAGTGTTGTCCTGCCACGAGATTCTCTTGGCTCGAGTGTGCTGGGACGAGGAAGCGAGGCAAAGAGGTTGGGTGGCGGCCGAACCCGAAACTGTCTCTCTTTCCCGGGGCCGTCTCGAGCCCGACTTCTCGATCAAGATACGATGACGTTGGCACGGGCAAAGGCTGTGCAGTTAGTTAGCGCTCTGCAGGCCAGTATCTTGACTCTCCACAGAATCCGGTGTGCGCGCGTATTTGACCGCAACTTGCCTCCCAAAACGGCGGAGTCTTGGCTGATCAGAATTCAATCGCGTCAGAGAACACGATGATACGATATTGCAGCATCGCGCGTGAGCTGGACTCGATCTGACGCAAGTCACAGCACCCGCCGAGTCACACACCCCTTAAGCATCCAAATCGGAAATACCGACGAGCAGCACCACACTGCCCTTGTGCCTCCGGACTCTTGCGCCCTGGGTTGATTGCAGTCTGCACGCCACTGCACCAGTGCACGCGCCAGTTCGACTCATTCGCGTTGGTATCCTTCCAACAGCCCCTTTCCCGCCATCGTGCGGCCCCTGGACGATAGCCGGATACGCCGCCCCCTTCTCGATGTCCAACCTTCCTCTCACCTGACAGCGGCCAGGACTGCGTAGTATCTCAACAGCTTTCTCGAGTCAAGATAACGCGACTCTAGCTGTGCACTGTCGCCCTTGCCTCCGTTGACCTCCTGTGAGCAAAGTTGTCAGCGTCAAGCGGTGCCGTGCAGGGTCATGAAGAGTCGACGCGCGACGATCTCAGTTCTTCTTGCAGCAAGTGCGCCGTGTGACGGAGAGCGAACAATCCGGCTGAGCTGAGTTGGCGGGCGACACTGGCCCAGTGCCTTGTGTCACTTTTTGGGTTGAGCTGCATTCAGCTGCAAGGTCGGCTGTTCCGCGAGCAGCAGCGCGTGTGTGCGTGCGAGTGCTTTCTTCGATCCTCAGTGTCTGCTGCGATCCGAGCTGCGACAGATCTCGAAGGTCGACTCAGCTGTCGCAGCCCTGGTGTGCCTTGGTGTTCCCGGCTTTGGCTTGGCTTGTTCCTTCTTGATCGCCCCACCAACGCCAACGTCAAACGCCATCCGTCCTTTCTTCCTCTCTTCATTCCTCCATCTCACCTTGGTCCCACCATCCAAACGCTTCGCATCGACTCAGCCTCTATACCAACCTCATCCTGCCTCTTTCGTGAAGAGCTTTCATTCCAGCGTCTCGCCATCGGCATCGGCCGTCTCGGCCCCCCACTTGATTTTTCGAAAGCCATCCAGGGCTAGCCGCTCTCATCTCCCGCAGCTCCTCGTCAGATTGCAGGCCAGCTACTACTACAACAGTCGGTCCACAGAGACCTTCGCTGTACCAAGGCCGGCTTCGACGCTCCGCATATAGCCACAACTCACACAATGTCGGTCGACACAGAGCCTCGCGCATCTCGCGCCAACGCACAGTCCTCTCCTACCTTCCGCCAAACCGGTTTCGCGGTCCCGACGGCTTCTGCGCCCGCAACCAACGATGTCAATGCTGTTGCCGTGGCTCAACAGGTGGTGTCGCCGAAAGTGCGATCCTCCAACTCGAGTCTCAACGCTGCTCTTCATGCGAGAACAGCTGCACTCTCCAAGGCTGGTCTCACAGACGACGGAGATGCCGATATGGCCGAGGCCCTGCCCATTCCCGGCTCCATCGCCAAGCTGGACCCGGTCGCCATGAACTCGCACGCCTCGCGTTCACCCAACGACCTCCCCACGCCACCCGATGTGCCTTCGGTCGCGTCGCACAAAGCCTCTCAGTCTCCTCACAGTGCCACCGTGCGATTGCCACCGCTCAACGCCAGCATGCTCTCGCCACGCTACTCGACCTTGCAAGGCTCCAGCATCTCGAGCGGTCCCACTTCCGTCACGTCCAGCAACTGGTCCCCGAGCAGGAGCACCGACCCGCACCTTTACTCGATCTCGGCTGGCAGAAAGTACAGCTACACCGCCTTCAACAAGCCTTCGCTCAGCACCTCGTTCAAGACATCGGCCATGCGCATGCGCGGCAACCATCTCGACGATGACGAAGACGAAGAGGATGACAGCTTCGGCAAGCCCATGCCAAGATACGCACGAGGCTCCACCGCCGCAACCGATCGCGCCACCGCAGAGTCAGGCATCGAGCTCGACGGAGACGAGGTCTTTGCCTTTTCGAGTCCCTGCTTCGGTCCCAAGGAGCTGCCGGATGATGGCGTCCCTTCGCCCGAGCTTCACGAGGCCATGCCTCCTTCCAAGGCGGCTGCAAACCCCAGTGCCATCATGAGCCCCAGCTGGGCCACCGCCTCGCTCGGAAAGCTCTCGCTTGGCGGCAACGAAGCCAGAGCGTCTCCGAGCTCCACCACTCCTCGCAGACCCTCACGTTCGCAGCACCACCACAGCAGCGGGGCACTCTCATCGTCGGCAGACGTCGCTGCTGCTGCTATGAAGCAGAGACGATACTCGTACAACAAGCATGGACGCCCTTCGTTTGCATCTCCTGGCCCCAGCAGCTACACTTACTCCTCCAGCTTCGGTCGCGATCACCCGTACGCGCGCACACCCACTTCCTCGAGCTTGACCACCACCCACCGCAAGGAGTCGAGGTCCAGATCCAGATCGCGTTACGGCGCCGAGGACGCGAGCAGTAGATCCGCTGCCATTGTCGACGACGATGAGACGGACGAAGAGATGCGCATGGACGACGATGATGCCACCGAGGACGAGGCGGACTACGCATACAGCGCCTCGTATCAGGCCCGAATGCGTCAGGGGCTCGTGCCGAGGGGCGATGCGGCGCTCGGCAGCACGCCTTCGAGCTTTGGCGCCAATCAGCCCAATGCAAGCTTGGGTCTCACCTTCCAGATGAGCCCAGGCAACCCTTCTACGCTCGCCAAAGGTCATCCGCTCGACGCCAGCCGCTCGCCCAACATGTCGAACTCCAACATCGCGGTCAGCCTCAGCCGTCAGTACAGCTCGGACCGTCAAACTGCGACTAGCGGCCTCGCACCGCTTCGACACCATCCCTATGCCACCAGCCCATCGGCCACCACCGGTCCGCTGAGTGCTTCCATGGGTCTCGCTTACTCGCCAGGATCCAACGCACCGCTTAACCGTCCAGCGCATCGACGCGGAAGCAGCCTCAGCAACGGCCTGGCGGCTCCTGCTTACTCTGCGGGGGTCCTGTCGACCTCACCACGATTTGGCAACGCTGCTGCTGCACGCAGTCCAGAAGATGGCAGCGGCGACCGACTGAGCCAGTCGCCTTACGGTGTCAGTTCTGGTTCACCCTACGGTGCCGGTGCACGTGGTCTCAACGGGACAGGAGGCTACTACGGTCCTGCTCAGGGCGGCGCGTACAGCCAGTCGCCTCGCTACTCGCAGAGCTACGGTGCACGCAAGGAGTCCGGTGCTTATGCCTCGACGCTCGCATCGCACTTTGAGGGCCACGAGCGATCCGAGAGCATGGCGAGCGAAGCGACCGAGATGGGCGATGCAGCTCCGACGACCATGCGCAAAGCTTCGCTCAGTGGCAAGGCAGCCGCGGCAGGCGCACGCGCCACCAGCAACACCAGCGCCACCGGCAACACGGACGAGACGGCACAGGTAGCCGCGATCCGCGACAGGCTCGGCGGCGCCGCCAGCTGCTCGGCCTTCATCTCCAAGCTGTGGCACCTCATGATCAACCCGGAGCAGTACAGCAGGTACATCCGTTGGGACGAGGCGGGCACCTCGATCATTCTGTCGAGCGAGCCAGACGTCGCCAACGAGTTTGCCGCCGACGTGCTCCCTCGACTCTTCAAGCACGGCAACAATGCCAGTTTCATCCGCCAGCTCAACCTGTACGGTTTCCAACGCATTCCATCTTCGCGCTTGCTGGACGCAGCAGAGATGAAGGTCGCTGCGGCCAAACGCGCCGAGTCGGGCGGCGGTGGATCGTCGTCGACGCTCAACACGGCTGTGCAGCTGTACGGAGCGCACTCGAGCTTTGCGCATCCCCGCTTCTTGCGCGGAAGGGAGGAGCTGCTACCTACGATGAAGCCGAGATCGAGCAAGAAACCCAAGAAGGCGTCGAACGGCGCGGGGCCCCGCTCGCTGGAGGCGGATACCTCTTTGGGTGCTGATGAGACCGATGAGGAGGATTTCGCTTTGTAAACTTTTGTCTCTTGTCAGTCGCTTCTTTGCACATTTGTCTTTTGTTTTTCGCTTTGTTCTTGTTCTGCATTTTGTTTCAGATTCGCAGCGTAATACCTTTGTTATACATTTGAGATTTCGCGAGTGTTCTGTGTGTGAAGATGAGGAGAAGGTTACTTCATGGGAGTGATTGCTTGTGCTACTAGGGGTAAGATCTGGGTTATGGGTTTGTTGAGGTTTTGGGGGTGTTTTTGTTTGGAAGGCCAGATGAGTCCGTGGGAGGGTTTGTTCTGGAGGACTAGATCGATAATTGCTTGTCTGTCTTCGGGAGATCCGTGTTGGAGTTCGAACTTGTAGGCGACGGCGTAGTGATCTCCGATGTGAGGGGCGGAATGAATGGCTCGAAGGAACCATTTTCGTGCCTGCGGGATTTTCGACTCCAGCCAAAACTGTTGTGCTACGGTGCAAAGGACGTAGCTGTCGTCGTAGGTTTTCTTGAGGGCGTCGGTCATCTTTGTTTTGCGCGAGGACCGCGGTTCGAGGGAGATGGCGAGCGACCAGAGAAGACCGGATGTAGGGAGGGTCTGGAGAGAACGAGAGAGGAGGGTTCGTGCTTGAGTGGGGTTGGGTGGAGTGGAGTGCAGCTCGGTGTTGATGGATTCGTACCAGATGGTGGGGGAGGAGGGGTTGAGGAGTCGGGCTCGTTCGAGGATGGCGCGGGAACGGATGGTGAGGCCGGCGGAGGATTCGAGTCGGGAGGAGAGGATCCAGAGTGGCGAAGAGGTGGGGCAGGATCGTGTTCCTCGAGACAGGTACTCTCGAGCTTTCTTGATGGCGTCTTCGGAGGTGTAGAGCATTTGCGAGACTTGTGCACCGATCATGTAAAGCTTGTCGAACTGCGGGAACTTGATCAAGGCTTCATCGACAAGCTTCAACGCCTTCTCGAGCGATCCGTGATCCCGTTCGAACACAGCGCTCTTCATCCATACCCTAGCGGTGTCGACTTCGACGCGTGCTCGCTCCAACAGCTTGCCCGCGGCGACGAGTTGACCGTTGGACGATTCGAGTTGTGCCGCAGCAAGAGAGATCTTCTCGCTTCCGATGTTGGCGTCGAACGCCCTGATGAGGACCTTCCGAGCGGAGGTGATGTCGTTCGCTTCGCTGTGGATGTTGGCGTAGGTGAGCCAGAGGTCCTCTGCTTTGGGACAGGACGTGACTGCTCGTTCGAGCAAGGATGTCGTGGAAGAAAGGTCCCCGTGTCGCTGTTCGAGTGCGATAGCTTGGGTCCAGATCGCTGGTCGATCCGGGAACACCCTCAGCGTGTACGCCAGGATGGATCTCGCCACTTCGATGCAACCCTTTTCCAATGCCGACTGTGCGTCTTCCACCCACACCGCCCTCTTGTCCTCCTCCTCCAGATCCAACTCTATCGTCGCCTTCACGATGGCACCACACACCATGGGACTACCTTCCTTCTCCACCCTCTCGGCCTCAGCCATCCACTGATCTCTGGACAACTCCACTCCCGCTTTCCTCAACGCCTTCACCGCCGCCGCCACCGTCTTTTCCACTTTGACCTCGTCGCGCTCCGTCTCCTCCAACAACCTCGCCGCGGCAATCCAGATCTCATGACTCGTAGGGATCGTCTTCCTCGCCTCGTTCAACACCTTCTTGGCGTCTTGCTCGCCGCTCAGCCTCGCCAACGCCAGCCACAAATCGATGCTCATCGGCACAGCTGCAACTGCGCCGCTCAACAGTATCCTCGCATCCTCCGGATTCTCTTCCAGATTGACCAACTCCTTCCAAAGCTTGACGCTCGCCGGAATGTACTCGAGACTCTTGCGTAGGACTCGCTTCTTGCTTTCGGTATCGGTCTCGAGCTCTACGGCTTTCAACCAGATATTGACCGACTGCGAAACGTACTGGATCGACCGCGCCAGAATCACTTTTGCGTTCTCCTTGGAGGAGAGTCGTGCGGCTTCCAGCCAGATGTCTTCCGATCGGGGACAGTGGTCGCATCCCTGTTGGATGATCTTGCGTGCGTTGGATAGTTTCCCGGCCACTTCTTCGACTCGGGCTGCTGCGATCCATCCTGGCGCATGGGATGGGTTGGTTTTGATGACGGAATCGAGGAGCGAGCGAGCTTTCTTGATGTCTCCTATCTCGGCATCGCTTTTGATGACGGTGGAGGAGAGTTCGGTGAGATACCCTTTCGGGTCGATTGAGGTGGATGTGCCGGAGTGGGAGGCTGCATCGAGTTGATGGGTGAAGATCTTGTTTCTGGCTTCCCCGATTTCGGCGAGGGAGGTGATGCCGCCTCCTGCGCTGTCTGCATCTTGCATCTGGTCGGTGCTGAGCGCTGACTCGACGGCATTCCTATCGCGGTTTCCGGTCAAGATTGTGTCCGATATCGCAAAAGATCTTGTGTTCCTCGCTTCTCGTTTCGCTGCTGCCTTGCGTTTCTTGCCTGTTACACTTCCCGACTCGGTCAGCGACGCCCACTGATCCTCAGTGACACTACTCAACCCCTTCTTGAGGTCCGCAAACTGACTGCTGATCTGTGGTTTCTCCGCTCTCGCCTTCTCCCTCTCCTCCTTTTCTCTTGCTTCGCGGAACTTCTTTCTCCTCAGGTCCATCTTGGCATCGACCGCGTCCCAAATTCTATCCGCCTCCTCATCGTCCTTCTCGTAAACCGCACCGGCAAACAAGCCAGTCTCGTTTTCTGGATCTTGAAATTGTCCCTCCTCCTCTCGTCCCGGTCCTCCATCGTCGTCATCGCCATCGTCTGCTTCATCTTCCTCGTTCTTAGATTTGGATGTGGAAGCGGCGAGACGGGCGGGACCGATATCGGCACGTGTGGTGAATCCGGAGGCACCACGACCTAGACCAGCGACGTAACCAGCCGGCGCTTGCATGGACAGGAAGGCGAGCTTGTTGGGTTTGTCCGCCATCGTGAGTAGCCGACGTCGAGCCAATGAAGGCTCGAGAGAGGACGATGGTCGGGAATCTGTGTTGTGATGGTGGTCAGGGCGGATGAAGCTGGAAGGATTGGGAAGAGAGAGAGAAGAACTGAGCAACCGAGACACACTTGGACCGAAATTTCTCCACTTCCACCCAGAACGGCGCGGATTTGGCAGCAGCAGAGCGCAGCCGCGAGATTCAGGGTCCAATTTACAGTGCAGCTTGTAACACACACTTTGGATGGAGGGGCGAATGGATGCAAAGACATGGTATCAGTGTTTTGCGGTGCGAATAGTAGTACAAATGTGGATGACTGGAACGAGACTGAACAAGCTACGGCCAATAAAGTCAGTGCGCTTCGATGGGCCCATCGAGCAGCCGGATGCTAAGGGAGTCAACGCAAGTGTGAAAGGGATCCAAAGTACGACAAAGGGCGTCAGTAATCTATCGGCTGTCAGGAAGGAAGCCTTCTACAGCATCAGCAACTTACAGAAAGTCAGGAGTGGCCAAGAGATTCCTGCCGCCGGATCTATACTCTCTTGGCCAGACGTCGACGAGAAAGTAGTCTGTGTCACCACAACGCAGCATCAACCCAGCGTCAGTAGACATGCGAGCATTCCGTCTCATCTCGTCCATACTTACAGAGATGCCCCACCGCAATGCCACTGATGTCCCCCATCACCGCCTTCAAGCTCCCATGCAACAGCCACCCAAAGATCACCAAGCTCCAGGGCAAATACGGTGCGTTGATCACCAGCAACCCAAACAGGCTTAACCTGACATGCCTGTTCCTCCTCGACCAGATGTATACCAGCACAAACGCCAACGGCGATCCCAAGAATGGCTGTGCTGTCAGAGGCGATAGTATGAGCAAGCAGGTCGCTGCGAATGCCAGCAGAACCACGTATGCGGCTCTCCCACCGCTTCGACCGCCGAACGAGTTCTCCTCGAGCATGCGTGAGTAGCGCATGAAGAAGAACAGGTGGAAGACAAAATCGAGACCTAGCGGACCGAAGTAGAGGAAGGTGGTGAGGAGACGCCACAGTTGGAACTTGCGGAAGACGAGCGAAGGTGTGTAGAAAAGCTGGTAGGACGAGATGGTGTGCGTGTGTTCGAGCAGCGCGGTCGCTAGGGTGAGGGCCCCCCAGGCGCCTGTGATCGGCGGTATGGATTCGAAGTCCATCGTTGCTGCCTTTAATGAGCGGTCACAGAGACCTCGGGGCAAGGTGGTGGATCGTCGTTGAAGGTAGTCGAGCAGCAAGCAGGAAAGGGTCCGTGCTCGTCGAGAAGAAAGTGTTCGACGTGGAGGTCCTTCAGATTTGAACTTAGATGTTAAATCGAGCGACGTCGGCTCGAGCGGCTGCTTTTCGAGCCGGACATCCGATCCCGCGCGTTTCGCCATCGCTGTGCGCTTTGGCCCTCCATCCACTTTCGACAACACCATCCGCTCTTCCACCATCATCGTCATCACCATCATCGCCACCTTCACCTTTCGACAAGATCGAAAATGTCGGCCACCGCTAATCCCTTCAACCTCAAGAAGCAGCTTGCCTTCTACGGCTCGTACCACACAGACCCAATCAATGTCGCCATTCACATTGTCGGTGTCCCTTCGATCATATTGTGAGTCTCTCCTTATACGCCTGTTCTCACTGTCACCTCTTCTGAGCTAACGTTTGTGTTCCTCTGTTGCCTGCTCTCCGACCGACTAATAGCGCCACCTCGGCACTCCTAGCCAAGCAGGGCTCCATCTTCCCCCTCATCCAAGACCATTCGCCTCTCGCTGCAGCCTATCTCTCTCAAGCCGGCTCCGTGCTCTCCTCCATCCTTCCCGCCCAAATCTTCCAATACGCTCAACTCAACTACGCTGCTTTGTTCATGGGAACCTACTGGCTCTACTATTCGGTTCTGGACGCCACCGCTGCCTTGATGCTGGCCCCCATCTGGTACGGCCTTTGGTACGGTTCCACTGTGCTCGCTCGCACCCACCCTGATGCTACCAAGATCGCCATCGGCATCAAGGCGCTGGGATGGATCAGTCAGTTCTACGGCCATGGCGTGCACGAGGGAAGGGCTCCCGCGCTTTTGGACAATCTGCTGGGCGCCGTGGTGCTGGCTCCGTTCTTTGTGTTTTTGGAGGTCATCTTCCACTTTGGATACAGGCCGGAGCTGCAGAAGGAGTTGAAGAACGAGGTGGGCAAGCTCGTGACCAAGCACAGGATGGATAAGGCTAAGAGTAAGAGGGCCAAGGCTCAGTAAGATGGAGAATACTGGGAAGCTGGAGCTAAGTTTTGATTCAGTTGATCGAAGTTTGCGCATTCCGACTTGTCGTCGTACTCTGCTATGTCTCGAAATGAAAGTACTCTTATTTGAAGCAGAGTGAAGCTGTACGAGATCTGGAAGCGGAATGAGTGAGTGAGTGAAGTGTTGGGCGATAGTTGGACCCTTGATGGAAGTCAAGCCTACCTATGCATGCACCTCTATGCGGGGATCTGCAGAGTTCAAGAATTTCCGCCGTCTGCGATTTGGCCATATTGCTGGTTGCCTATCTAATCCCACTTTGTGGTTGTACCAGTTTCGCTCGATCAGGATGATCCTTCTTCCCACCATCACGATCTGGTAGATGTAGGCGGTATCTGCCGGCCAAGCGCACGCTTGCACGGTATGAGCGGTCCAGCTCCGACATCAGAGACCAGCGCGATGTCGACAAGTGCATCTACTTCAAACCCGGTCCTCACCACCCCAACTAAGCAAGGCAGATCTTCAACCCAATCGCTTCGAGCGAAGATCTCACGATCGTTTCCATCCGACATCCCTCGTCTCTCCACCATCTCAACCAACAGCAGCGCTCAGAATGCACCGTCCTTCGCCTCCGCTCCCTCTTCCTCCTCCTCTCCACCTCTCGTCCCGCCAGCCATCACACCACCTCCGTTCCCTAGTCCCTCACTCTACACATCCTGCTATTGCGAGGAGAACGTCTACCACCTCACCTCTTACCTCCTCTCGCACCTTCCTTCTTCGTCGCTCTGGCAAGTCCACGTGGGTTTCATCAGCAACTCCAACCGCACCGTACTACTGTACTCTCAATCTGCATCTCAACTGCCCGATGCGGGATGGCCGGTGATCTGGGACTATCACGTGGTAGCTGTCGTCACATTTGCGGGTAAGCAGAGCTGGGTGTATGATTTCGATTCGACGTTGTCAGAGGCTGGGAACAGGGCGGTCCCGTGGGACGAGTACAATTCGCAAACATTTCGACCAGAGAGGATGGTACGGGAGGAGTTGAAGGCAAATTTCAGGTGTGTTGCGGGAAAGGATTTCTTAGATTGGTTCGCTAGCGATAGACGACACATGTTGGTGGAGGATGAGGAGGGAGGGAGGTGGAGTGCGAAGCCGCCAAGTTGGGAGAGGGTGGTGGGGGAGGAGGCGAGGAGAGAGGGAGTGGTGAACAATTTGATGGATAGGTATGTGGATATGAGGTGGGACCAGCAGGGAGATATGGATGAGGCGAGCAGGGGGAGGTATGGTAGGGTATGGGATTGGGAGACGTGGTTGGAGAGTGGATGCTTGCCCAGAACATCCCACGCGACGATAGTGGATCGGCAAAGCTCAACTCCATCAGCGCAAGGGAAAGATGCATCAGTACAAGAAACATCCAAGAAGGGAGGTCGCATCGTCTCGCCTCTCTTCCCTGCCTACTTGCACGCCTCTCAGCAACACCGCTCTCAACTTCCTCCTCCGCTCACACCGACATCCACAATCACGTCGTTCTCATCGCCGATGCCTCGATGAGGTTCACGCACAATTGATATCTTTTGACAGCCTGATTGCTAGCGAGGTTGAGTCTCTGCATGCTCGCTCCCCATCGTCTACTTGGCAGGCTTCTTCTTCCTCTTTACACTTAGCATGTTCGTCGGCCCACCCGACGGACCACCTCCTGCCACTCCGGCCGGGCCTTCTGCATCCTTCTTTTCCTCCACCTGCTTCTTGACTTTTTCCATCTGCTCCTCCGTCGGCGCCTTCAACACAAAGTCGTCCCAAATCGTTCCCTTGCCCACCAGTAATCCCTCCTGCGGCTGCTGTTCCTCATTCTCCTTCCAAAACTGCGCCAACCCACCTTTCCTCTTGACCTCGCGATCCACACCCTGAAACCACGCCTCGGTCAGCTGCCTCGCCAGCGTCACCTTGTTCCACTCGCACGTATCCTTCATTAACGACTTGAACACCAGATCCCCCAAAACCTTGTACGGTAGCGACAACGGTTGTCTTTCCATCGTCATCGTCGTCGCCGCATCCTCCTCGCCATTCGAAGGAGGATGACGAGTGAAAAGAATGACGAGCACACCGACGGCGTTTCCAGAGCAACACTCTTGACGGAATGCCATCCGTTCCCAGAACTCGTCGATGGGTAGATCGTCCATCGCCTGTCTTTCGCGCATGAGTGCACGCAGTGTGATCAGCGGAACTCCCGACCCGGACGTTGCGGTGGTGGAAGCGGCGGAAGATGCAGCGTCCGCCTTTGCCCGTTTCTCAGCCGTGTCGTTCGCGGAACTCTCTTCCGCAGCTCTCTTTTTGGTGTTGGTGTCTTGGGAGCGTTGCTCTTCACCCTTGAAGGTGGAAATGTCGACTTCTGATTCGATACCGTTCTCCTTTTCTTCGCCGGTCACCGCCGGTGCTTTGACATCTGACCCGTTGCCATTGCTGTTCGTTGCAGTGGAGGTGACGGTCTTCTTCTTCCAACCAGAGTGCTCGTGTGCGTCTCGTGCCATTTCGTCGAGGAATCGAGTTTTCGGATCGTCCGAAAAGTGCGGCATGAGCGTCGGTACTGTTCTGACTCTCTTTGGATCGTAGTCGCTTCGACTTGAGTCTGTTTGAATCTTGGGCTCGCTTTTGGTGCTCTGCAAAGCAAAGCTCGAGGTGCGCCAGTGGAGCGGTAGAGGCGGAAGGTCGGCTTCGCTGCAGTTGGCGCCGTCGGGACTGTATGGGTGGCCATATGTCCAATTCGCTTGCCTCAAAATCTGATCCGCTGTCCGTGGCTTTCCGGTCGAGCTGCCCGCAGCATCATCACGAACAAGCGGCACCAAGGGATGCGACTCCAACTTGTTATAGCCAGGAACGACGTAGTACGCTCTTGCATCGATCGCCTCGCCCTTGTTTGAGGCGATTGAACGTACAGGCGAAGTGTCGTCCCTAGTGGCAACGACAACGTCGGACATGACACCTCTCCACCACTTGATGAGCGCTCCGTCGGAAAGCACCTTCTTGTCCTTGTTTTCGGGACTCGAGGGAAACAGGTAGGCTCTTTGACTACGAGCAAGGATGTGGACGGAAAGATGCGAGATGGTGGAGGAAGAGCTGGCTTGTGCATTCGAGTCCCAGTGTCGAAAGGAGGTGAAGTGCTGGGTGACCGCCGATGTGAGAGTTGCCGTGAGAGTGTTGCCAAACTTTGTGGTCTTGTCGTTGAAGACGTGGTCTGAGAGTGCTTCTCTGAGCGGTGTGGGGATCGTTTTGGGGCCGTATCCGCTGGAATCGAGTTTGGAGACGTAGAGCACTGCTGAGCCGAGCTCGTGAATGGTGTAGAGGTAGAGTTCCACGGCTAAGATGAGGAGAGGTGCGCTGCGGTCTCTGGCAGTCTCCGTGGGCGGTCTGGTCTCGCCGCTCTGGTCGTTTTCGACGGCCTCTGCTGCCGATTCGACATTGTCGTGGGAATGTGGAGCCCAGCTGGCGGTGACAAAGATCTGCTCTTCTAGAGCGCCTATGGATGCAGCCTTCTTGTTGTACTCTAGATCAGTGGGGTGAATGTGTGCGAGAGGGTAGAGGGATTTGACCTGGCGTGGGATGGAGAAGAGGGTGTGGAGACGCAGAGTGCCCGGCTGCGCCACAGCGGGTGGAGATGCGTCCAACGCAGTGCGTATGGAGGAAAGTAGCGAGGATGAGCTGTCTAGCATGACAAGCAGTGTTTCTGAACAGCTCTTGTGTGCGCGTGTGTATGGGAGGACGAGGAGGAGACTGGAAAGTGTTTGCGACTTGGACCCTGGATCTTCTCAAACGCGCCTCGAGAGCTAAGCGCGACTGATTGGCAATTTGCGCGTCACGCCTACACCTTGTGTCGTTGATTTCACTGGACCGATCGCTGTAACCACCGATGATCCTGGTGTCTGCAATCTGCACGCAATCAATCGGTCGGACGACATGGCCGTTGATGTTGGCAACGCTCAAGATGGGCAACGGCTGGAACAGCTGCGCTTGCGCGAGGATCGAATCAAACGTCGCCAAGACAAGAAGCGGCCTACTGTATCTGACCACTTCCGCGCCGCAACGGCCATTGTCGTCCACCACCACCCTTCTCTGCGAAACCAAAAAGGCCTCCTCCGCCATCTCTGCCTCCTCTGCAACCTGCAGCCTCCTGTCGCTCGTGCGCCGCCACGTCCTGCGCACATTTTTTTCTTGCCACGCAATGTTAGATGCGATTCTCTGTGAGTGAGCTGCAAGTTGTTTTCAAAATGTAACATTCGAGGGCCGAAGTGAATCTGCAGCTAAGTCAACGTCACTCGACAGCCGAATCCTGCATCGGCTTGGGCGCCAAGACTTTTTCGAGGTGCATCAAGCCTCGTTGCGCACATTTCCCTCTGTCAGCTCGCTCGCTGCGTCTCCGTCTGAGTCTGACACATGGTTTGGACATTATCGGCATCTGCGGTCCGACTGTCCACACTATCGGCCTTGAGACGATCACCGCCGCCGCCGTCGGATCAATCCGAACACCATAAAGACGGTCAATTGTGAGAGTTCGGTTATATGGAGTACTATGACGGGGGTCGCTCGTTTCGGATCGGAGAAAATACGAATTCGACGCGGCGCCTTCTGGCTTACTGAGCCAATTTTGCGCTTCGCTTATCGCATCGCAGTGCAGCGGGCTGCATCCTTTCGTGCTGTCCCTGACCTTGGGCTTCGTCCGCCTACAATACAGGCTGTTAGGCAGCGTAGCCTCACCTCGCTCAATCCTCGACATTGGGAGTTGCCTCTCTCGTCGTTGATGCCTTTGGCATGAATGGTCACAGCTCGTATCCAGGCGGCGTCTTGCAGCGTGATGTGAGCATGCAGGGTCGGAACCTTTCAGCATTATTAATATTATTAAATATATATTTTGTGTCATGATGTTGATGCCGAGAAACGTGCTCGACTGTTGTGCACACCAGCGAATTGACTATCAACTCAATTCGAGATTTTTTCATTTTGTGCTTCGTCAAGGTTAACTTAGCAGATATCCACCATCCATTCTCCACAAACAACCTTGTGACCCACACCACCACCAAAACTGTCTCGTCGGACACCTTCTTCTCCCGACCTCAGCCCTAGCACCGCTGCTTCCGTCACTCGTCGACCGGGTCGGCTCGATCAGGTCGGTGTAACCTCGCCATCAAACTCGCTCCACGCCTCGCTCTCTGCAGCGTCCAGCAAGCGTAATCTGAACCGCGTCCCCAACACATTCTACAAGCTTTCCGCTACATTCGACAGCGCACGCAGCTTACGTCGACGCAAGCGCTTGATCCACCATCTCTCACTTCGCCGATATAGACCCCACCTCGCATCTCGTGTCGAATGTCCCGCATCATCCGAATGTCGTCCTCATCCTCTCTGCAACGTCCTACTAGAATCTAAGAGCCTTCAAGGCCCGACATCGAGTCGCTCCCTTCTCTACCACCGATAAGCCTCTTCCTTCGTCAACATGGTCGAGACGCACGGAGGTTTCAAACCTTTCGAGGTCACCCCTGTTCACATCGTCTATGTCGGGCTTGGCCTCTTCATCTGCATCTTTTCCTACCTCTCCCTCTTCATCAAAGAGCGCCTCTACCTCGGCGAAGCTCCCATCGCGGCTGCATTCGGTATCATTGTCGGTCCCGTCGCCATCGGTCTCTTTAATCCCTCAAAGTGGGGAGGCGAAGATGGCATCACTCCCGGAGGCGTCCACACCGACGAGATCACCCTCGAGATCATGCGCGTCACCATCGCTCTCTCCGTCTTTGCCATCGGTGTCGAGCTACCCAAAAAGTATCTTTTGCGTCACTGGAAGTCCATCGCCATTCTCCTCGGTCCCGTCATGGCTTGGGGCTGGCTCATCACCGCTTGCTTCATCTATGCGCTCGTTCCCGGTCTCGACTTTCTCAACTCGCTCGTCGTCGCCGCCTGCGTATCCCCCACCGATCCTATCTTGGCTCAAGCCGTCGTCGGTGGTCCATGGGCCGAGAAACACGTCCCCGCCCACGTTCGTCACATGCTCATGTGCGAGTCCGGATGCAACGACGGTGCCGCTTTTCCCTTCCTCTACCTCGCCCTCTACCTCACACAGAATCGCGACAACACGGGCTATGCAGTTGGTAAATGGTTCTACGAGACTTGGGCCTACGAGATCATCCTCGGTACTATCCTCGGTGCTTTGATCGGCTACCTCGCTCGCAAGTTCCTGCGCTTCTCCGAACGCAACAAGCTCATCGATCGTGAATCTTTCGTCGCCCAATACATCTCACTCGCCATCGCCAGTATGGGTGTCAACGTCTTGCTCGGCTCAGACGACCTCCTCGCCGCTTTCGCATGTGGTACCGCATTCGCCTGGGACGGTTGGTTCACAAAACAGACCGAAGACTCCAACTTTTCCAACATTGTCGATCTGCTGTTCAACATTGCCACCTTCATCTACATTGGCGCTCTCATCCCGTGGCACGACTTTGTTGACGCCGAAATCGGTCTCTCCTTATGGAGGCTCATCGTTCTCAGCATCTGTGTGCTGCTCACAAAGCGCATCCCCATCATCTTGGCCCTCTGGAAATTCATTCCAGACATCAAGACCTTCCGAGAAGCCATCTTCTGCGGTCACTTCGGCCCCATCGGCGTCGGTGCCATCTTCATCGCAACACTGGGTCGTACACTCATGCCAGAAGAGGTTGCTGAGCCGCCACAGACCAGCAACGACGTGCTGGCACTCACTATCCAACCCATTGTCTTCTTCTTTGTCCTCTGCTCCATTATCGTCCATGGCTTCACGATTCCATTTTTTGCTTTCGGCAAGAACGCACGTCGACGAGCTCACACTTTGACGCGCACGTGGAGTCGCAACCCTTCCATGCGAGACGACGAGCCCAGCTGGATGAATCGCGTTCGTCGCGTCAAGACGGGCGACGACATCGTCATCAACTACGACGACATCAGCGCCGACAAGATGTCGGCTCAGCAACTCGCACTCATCGGACGCGGCGCCATCGGCGGCTATCGCGAGGACGAGCTTCGTAGAGAGGATAGCAACGACGAAAATTCGGCCACAGCCGCAGCCGATTCCGCCACTAGCAGTCAAGATAGAGACCCTGGCTTCGTCGGCCTGCTCAACACGCGCACAGAGCGAGATCTTGAAAAGGCCGAAGGTAGCCTTGCTGGTGATTGGAACGAAAAGCATGGCGACGACGATGCCGATGCAAAGCACAGTCCCCAGAGCAAGGCAGCACAAAGAAGGCGGCGCTGCAGCGACATTGACGGCATCGAAGACTGGGAGGGCAGCGATGAGGACTCGAACCCTGCCGCCGACTATCTCGGAGACGACTGTGTCGAGATGCGTCGATACCGCGAAAGGATGCGTGCCAAGAAGGAAGAGAGGCAGGCTCGCGAAAGGAGCAAAAGACAGTCCATCGAAGAGCAGGAGAGACAGCGTGCGTCCAAAGAGGAGCAGGACCTCGGCGAGGCACCCATGGACCGCGATATCATCTGCGGCCGTGTCACAGCCGATGACGAGGATGAGGCCTGTCGAGAGGACCGCGAGGGCCAAGCGCACTTGCATCACGAACACGGCGGTACCACCACCGAGAAGACCGACAAGGACTGGCCAAAGGTACGCAGCTGGGTCGAAGGTCACAATCTCGTGCTCGAGAACCAGAAGAGCTACTCGGACGATCCGGAGGTGGAGGTCATCCCTCTCACCGACAGCGAGCGAGACGCACTCGAAGCGTCAGAGACACCTGCCCAAGACTGGGTGCGTCAGAATCAGGACGAGCTTGCTTGCTTCTTGGGGCACGACGAGCACACCTCTTGGACCTCTTCCGAGACCATTTCGAGGCTGCTCGAGAACAAGGTGCACAAATGGTGGCCGACCAAGAACAAGAAGCACTACGTCAAAGCGGAAGCACCCAAGGAGGAGACAGCGCAGGAACGCGAGGATCGCCTCAATTTGATGTACGGTGCCATGTCGTGGGCTCAGGATCGTCGAGGCCCGAAGAAGCAACAAGATTCGTCGACGAGGGCGTGGCGAGCTGGTGCGGCAGAGACCGAAGGCGAAGATGGTCGAGAACGGGACACAAACACCGATGTCGATCATGCACCCGCTGTGATCAGTGCGGCTCACAGCGAAAACGCAGGTGGTCGTCCTGCCGGTCCACAGGATTCGTCCGTGCCGGAAGGCAGCACCAGCGCGCAAGATACACAGCACGACATCTCGTCGCCTGCCCGATCGACATCTCAGGGAGAGACGTCTTACAAACCAGCGCCTACAGCAAGACGCACCGGTAGCACAGCGTCGAAACGCGGCAATCTGCGCAAGAAGGTGCTGGTGGGACAGATTGGCTTGTCGGGGCGCAGGAAGTCGACGACGAGCAGAGATTCCGAGGAAGAAGCTTCGGACGAAGAACAAGAGGTGATCGATGATGGTAAAACCCCTCAGGGGGCGGGAGCGCCGACGAGGACGACATCAGAGTCATCGACTGGACCACGAGTGATGATCTCAGAACCAGCGTCGCCGCGTCTCTCGCACAAGCTGAGTCCAGCCTCGAGCTTCCGCACCATGAGCCGCATCGACGACAAGGGCAAATCTAAAGACAAGGCCAAGGAAAAGTACTTCCCGCGTTCCTCGTCGGCGGGTGCAGGATTGGCCGCGCCATTCAAACCTTCTTCGAGCATCAGCAGCAGTCCGATCCTCAAAGCAACGCGATTCGGGAAGGATGCGGACGAGTCGAAAGAGATGGGTCGAAATGCGTCGTCCGTGCAGTGGCTCGACATTGCCGATTCGTCGCACGAGCGGAATTCGCGTCATCGGTCGGGACCGATCAACGAAGATGGTGCACAGGCGTTTTCGAAGCGATCTCGGACGTACAACGGATCGTCGTCTGGAAAGGAGATGAGTCGAGATGCACGAGTGTACAGCCTGGATGATGATGATTCGGAAGCGGACAGTGATGAGGAGGAGAGAAGAGGTGGGTTGGGGATCAGGGATGGTATGTCGAAGATCGGGGCGTTTTTCTCCAACTTTACCGCGCCAAAGGGAGAGGGTATGGGCAATCCGGGACCTACGTCCCATCCGCATTTGTTCCCGTCCAGAAAGCATGACAAGGAAGAGCAGCAGGAGAAGGAGGAGAAGGAGAAGGAACAGGCGGTGACGAGTCCGAAACGATCACCTGTGTCGAGCAGGTCGTTGAGGAGGGAGATGACGAGGGATGAGGGAGAAGAGATGGAGAGTTTGGCTCTGCCGCCTGCGAGTGTGGCGAGTGGGTCGGAGATGAGGAGGAGCGGAAGGGGAGGTGCAGGGAGTGCTAGTTCAGGCTTGTAAATCAAACTGAAGGATTGGAAGCGCGGAGGAAAAGTTGCGTCCATAATGCCATTGTTTTAACCGCGAATGATGATGATGACAGTGTACAAGTTCCCTACGACTAGACCGATGAGACTGCCGACGAGGAGGGGGAAAGGGTAGGTCTGGTAAGAGACGTTCCAGTCGAGCGCGAGGACGGCTGTTGCGAGGAACGTTGTGGCGAGCGAGAAGAGGGGTTGGTAGAAGAGGGGGAGGAGGTGGGGAGGGGAGGGCGAGAGGGTGAGGAGGGATTTCCAGTGGTTCGATGATGCGGATGACGGGTTGTCGGAGGGGAGGCCTAGGATGTGGAGTGGAGGGAGGAGGAGAAGTAGGGTTAGGTGGAAGGAGACGAGGGCGGTTTGTTTGAAGTGGGTGAGAGGTGCACCAAGAAGGATGAGGAGCGTGAAGACAAGGATGGAGAGGAAGGGGGTGGCTAGGAGGGTTAAAGAGACAGATTCGAGTTGGCGGATGAAGCTGCCGACCTTCTCCTCCTCCTCTTCATCGGCTTTGGTTTCTTGGGCGAATCTCGTATCTACTCCGACCTTTTTCCCAGCCTCCCTCTGCTCCTTCAAGGCTCTAACCAACCTCCCGTATACCAGTTCACTCCGCTCGAAGTATCCGCACATTCTCGCGGTAAACCACACCTGCACCACCCCGACTCCGAACAAGGCCCGAATTCCAGCAGACGTAAACCTCTCCCTCCACTCCCCCACCGGAATCGCAGACGGGTTGGCGGTCAACAGCGAAAAGTAGTCGAGCTTGTCGCGGAAGCGTGTCGTGTAGGACGGGTTGAGACACGGTTCGGTGAGCAAGATGAAGGCGAGGATGTGGAGGATGGAGTGCAAGAGGAGGATTGTGATGAGGGTCAGGGGTGAGTGGATGTATCGCTTGCGTTTGGTGGTGGGCGCGGTGGGTTGAGTGGATTGCGGGGTTCGATTTGCGGTGGTTGAGGAGGAAGAGGGGGGCGGACGCGGGATGGTGGTGCGCGGTTTGGGCGGCATTGCTTCCTGTTTCGATGGGCTTGAAGGTTGATGATGAGAAGATGGAGAGAGCAAGTACCTCCAAGGTGCGTTCCAGTAATGACACACACCAGAGAATGGTGTTGTGGTGGAAGAAGATCTAGAGCAATGATGGTGTTGGCTAACGGTAGCAACGCACAGACGCACCGTGTTTCTTCCATGTGTCTCCAAAAAAACGAAGCAGGGTTCTCCGACTTCCGCCAAGCTTGAAAACGTGAGCGACCCTGTAACGTCACGTTGCGCACCTGCGACCGCAACGTTGGAACAGGCACAAGACACTTCGCCATGCAATCATGATCCGATATCACAGACAGCCACATGCATTGCCGATCTGGTGAAAGCGAGACTTGGTATTGATTGACATTTCAAAAAGTTCCAACAGCATGCTGCTGGTGTCATTACAAAAAGGGGAGGCTTCTTGAAGCCGCCATTCACAGCAACGCGGGAGAGGAATTTACAAATGGGAAGTCTTAGTGCCGTCGTAGCGCGGAAGATTAGAACTCGTCCTTGGCACGAGCGGTGGCACTGGCAGCCGAAGCCGAAGCAGCGCTCGCAGCAGACGAAGCGCTGACGCTGGCGTGAGCAGCGCCCTGTTCGCCCTTGCCGAGGATGTCCTGGACGCCAAAGTAGGCCTGGCGAACGCCATCCTTAATGTAGCTGAAAATGCCGCGGTGACCCGTGTATCGGGCGCGCATCTCGCGCAGCAGCTGGTCGCGCTTCTTGGGGATGGCCTCGAGGGGCATGCCGCTGCTGCGCAGGTACTCGCGCAGACGGGCGTCGCTCCAAGAGATGTACTCCTTGGCCTCCTTGTTGATCTCATTGCCGTGCTTCTGAGCCTGCTTGATCAGCTCGTCTCGCTTGGCCTGCGCGTCCGACTTCATGTAGCCGTTCTGGATGAGCCAGCTGCGCAAGTCGCTGTCGGTCCAGCTCGACCAGACCTCGCTCTCGGCCGTGTTGTAGTTCTTGCGAACCAGGTCGAGGTAGTCGTCGCGCTTGGCCTGGTAGTCCGACTTGATCACGTTGTTCTTGATCAGCCAGCTGCGCAGATCCGACTCCTTCCACGTGTCGTAGACGTTTTCGGTGCCCGTGGTGTAGTAGTCCTTGGCGAGTGCAAGGTACTCGTCGCGCGTCTTTTCGGCGGGCGACTTGATGATGCCGTGGTCGACGAGCCAGTTGTGAAGGTAGCTGTTCGAGTAGGCCTCGTAGGGGGCGTTGACGGTGGTGGTGTAGGCGTCACGCATCTTGGTGAGCAGCTCGTCGCGAGTTGCCTGGGTCTTTGTCTTGATGATGCCGTGCGACTCGAGGAAGGATCGCAGGTCGTTGTCGTTCCAGGTCGAGTAGACGTAGTCGGTGCTATCGTCGATCGCACGGTTCACCGCCTGCGAAGCCTGAGCGTAGGCCGAGCTGCCGGACTTGGAAGCGGCGTTGTAGGCAGAGTTGCCCGACTTGCTGGCCTGCGATGCGGCGCTCTTGGCGCTCTTGGAGACGTCCGAGGCGCCGGGAGCATTCTTGCTAACGCTGGAAGCCGAAGCCTGAGCATCCTTGCCCAGGCTAGTGGCGGAAGCCGAGGCGGAAGCGGCGTAGACGGAAGCCTGTGAACCGACCGAGGCGGCGGATTTGGACACGGGATAGTAGAGATCGGTAAGTGCTACGCTCGAGGCCGATTTGCTGGCTTGGGCGGCGTAGAAGCTTACAGCAGACGAGACGGACGACGCGGCGCTCGAGGCGGCGCTCAGCTGCGAAGAAGCGGCCGTCTTGGCGGCAGCATTGCCCGAGGAAGCCGACGAGAGGAGCTTGTCGTAGTCCTGCACGGCCATCTGGCGGAGTTGCTCGCCAGTGGTGTAAGGAGCAATGATGCCTCGGTCGAGGAGGTAAGTGCGGAGATCAGATCTGCAGCCAATACAAGAAGAGTGGGAACAAGAAGGGAGCCGAGATGTCAGAATTCGCGTTACTAGTTGGGATCAACATCATAGTGCTGAAAAATACTCACTCGGACCAGGTTTTGAAGGCCGAGTCAAAGGCTTTGCTTCCGCCCTTGGTAAAGTCCTGAAGCCAGTCGCCGGCCACAGGCTGGGGAGCGGTGGCAAGGGCGATGCATAGCGCGAGCAAGCCAGCAGAGATGAAGCTAGCCTTGACCATGATGATGGTGTTGGGTGTTCGTGGGGAACAGATGTCGATGCGGAAAAGATGTCAAGACTTCGTGAAGAGGTTGAAAGCGCTGAGCCAGTATGGTATCGATGTGCGAGCCCGGGTATGATGGTGGATGGTCGGGAAAGACAACAAGCAGAGACAAGTCGAAGCTTAAAGAGCGGATGGAGGAAGAGGCAACGTGGCAGGGGCCAAAGGACAGGCAGGCAGAGCGAGAAGGCAGCAGACTGCGGAATGTGACGTGACAGAGACGGAGACGGAGTGGCGGAGTGAATGAGCATCATTGGAGCTGCACATTTCGTCACCACCATTCGAATGGCTCACTGTGCCAGTTGAGCCCACTCTCACTTGTCCGACTGTTGCTCACTCACTCACTCACGCTCGCTCACGGACCAGACTTTGCCCTTTACAAGCGTACAATCTGCTCACTCTCGCCTCTTCGTCACGCCGCATCAATCACGAACAGCACAGCCAGCAGCACCTAAACTGTGATTCGGAATATGAGAGATGCTTTTCCCCCGCCGTCCGCACCCTGTTCGGCACCCTGTCGACCGCGCTTGTTATTCAACAACCTCATTCTCCTACTGCTCCCTCCGCCTTGCTCATCTCAGATTCTTTCTCCGTTTGGTCCTCAATCCAAATCGAGCAATAATAAGCAGCGACAGCTTTCACAGGCCTGACCGTGCTTTCGAGTGACGTTCTCACCTGCACCGTGTCATCGGATCGCTGCTCTGAATGTTCTCCGCTGAGTGGGCCGTGCCAAGTGGAGGAGTCCGAAAAAATAAGAAAAATGATTCAACTGCGCATAGTCCGTGACACGTTGTCGCGACCATAAGCGAGTTTCGCTCTGTGTAGGGTGCCGTGGTATGCGACCCTGTTTGTGGGGTGACCGGAGTGGCTGTCAAACGACGTCATCTCTTTTCCGGAATCGCAGCCTATTCGACGGCGCACAATCGACTCGCCAATCGGATAGTATTCCTCGTGCAGAATCCTCAGAAATCCTTCCACAAGCTGACTCATATTGCAACCTGTCGAGACCGAGCGGCGGATCAGCAGGTCCTCACTTGGCATACCGTTGCCGAGGCACAACTCGACTCCATCCTAACAAGCAGAGCTGTATTGGATCGAGAACTTTATATTCTGATATGTGGACCATCTAGACCTAACAGCCCACATTCTCCGCAATATTCTGCCTTCGCATTCACAACTGCCGCTGCTGCTGTCGCTGCTGGGCGGTGTGGCTTTGCGACACGTTGCTTCTCCGGGTCTTGAGTGACACGAACTTGCTCTGCAAACGGCGTGCAGTTCGGCGTGTTGCGAAGAAGATATATCTTACAGCTACCGGTCAGCTTTTGTCGGCGATGAAGGTGGAAGCCCCTGGGTATACAGTTTATCATCGTTGAAGGGGGATTTGACGGTATACATCACGTTGTCTCAGCAGCGTTCCTGGCGGCAATCACCGAGCCGATCGTGGTACCTTCAACCTCCTCTGTCGTGTGAGCAAGAGTCAACGTGAGCGTGAACGTCAGTGGAAGCTCCGGCGTTATCTACACTCTGACCGGTTCGGACTTACCCCACGGTCGACGACACGATGGACATCCGTCGTTGTCTTGGAGCCACTTCATGATGCAATGAAGGTGGAACTCGTGACTGCACTTGCCAAACACTGTTAACGAATTAAACAGACAGCCTCTCAGCATAAGGTAGCAGTGATCGTTGAAGCAGACGTGTGCTATTGCGGGCACGTCTGAAACGTGTACTCACGCAGCGGACAGCTGTCGCCCGGCTCCTTGCAACTTGCGCAGCAGCCATCAAAGTTGCTCTGGCAGATGCCGCAAATATCGTCTGGATCCTTGACATCCCATACTGCAAGAGCAAGCGATCGATTTGGGTGCAATGGAAGTCGTGTTAGCGCTGTTTTCCCGTAGCGGGTCGGAGAAGACGAGGCCGATTGCAAACTTACGCCAATACGCTACGGCATTCCACGATTTGACCTTGACCTTCATATTGACGATGGCATCGGGGCTATATGAGTCGCCATACACTGCCGATGAACCGAGCCGCTGTTTGTGATCGACAATCGATGCGCCGTGATACGGTGTTGTGGTGGAGACGAGCGTGTTTGGACATGTTTAGAAAAAAGAGAGATGCAGGCAGGACCCTTGATTGACCGAAAGGGACTACACAGGTTCAAAAGTCACGCACAGACGCGTCCCTATCTGGCAGCTCAGCTCGAGCAGCACATCCGGCTCCTTTCAAAGTTGGACCCTGAATTGGCAGGCGCGCCCTGGCCATCCGCTCCGCATGCCACTCGAGCCGCATACTGTAGCATTGCGTCGGTGCGTTGAGAGTACTAGTACACTCCCTCTCTTGTCTCATTCCAACGATCATCCCCGAGCACTTTCGTCGGAGCATCCGTCGTAGCATCATCCTTCGGCGAAAGTCCGAATAACGATAGCACCGCTTCGACTCTGTATCGCCTTGAAGCGTCAGCGATTCCCTCCCGCGACAATCGTAGCCGCCAACCAATGTCGAGTCCCGTCTACGCATCGTCGCCGTCTTCGGCTGTCGGAGACACTCGTCTTCGCTCTTCGTCCTTCGGCGGACCGCGTCTCGATCTTGTTTTGCGCCCCTCCTACGCCCTCGGTCCATTCAAGCTAGGCCACTCTCTCTGGCATGTCCTCAACTACCTTCGATCCAATCAGTCCCTTTACCCTCAGATCAACATCACGTATGAAGACGGTGCGCCGAGGCTTTCGCCCATCGTCGTGGTCATACAGCCCAACCTACACCTCATCTTCGATGGCCTTACGCAGCGTCTCGTCATGATCACTCTTGAGAATCTAGATTCGCAGCAAGTAGGCGCTCCGCAGCCCATTTTCACGGCAGCCGCCTCAGCAGCAACGTCCGAACCTAGTCATCGTCCCGTCAATCTCATCTACAATGGCAAGCTCATCTTCTCAAAGGGATCCGCGAGGTCACCCTCCGTCGCTCTCAACCGCTCCACGCTGCATCAGATTCTCGGTCCAACATACCCGGGACGGCCAGATTCCTCCTTCAGCTCCCCCGACAGCCTCGTTGCATCTGGTTCCGGCAGCAAGATCGAGGCAGCGAACGAGAAGCGCAACGAATTCGTACTCACTTACCCTGGTGTAGCGTTTTGCTTCGCGCTCAAGTCGAACGCAGCAAAGGATGCGGATGTTGATAAGCACCAACCAGTCTCGGCGATGCACATATTTGCGGGCGCGGATCCACATCATCCGGAAGATGTTTTGGCCGTTCCGACGCTCAGTACACCCAGTGAAGCAGCTCGACCAGGATCAAGGTCTTCCAAAAACACACTTTCGCCTACCGCAGCCGTGGGCGACTATCAACAGCTCAACAGCGAACGCGATCGCGCGGCGCTCGACGTCGACGCCATTCAGGTCCGATGTCCTACCCTCCTAGAAGCCGAGATTGCGCCTGGACGAACTGTGTCCTTGCGCTTTGCCAAGAATGGCGCCTCTCAGGCCACTTCACCTCCAATGGACCCTTCCAACGTACAAGCGACGTCGCATATCGTCGAACTGCTACTCGGAGTCACCACGCCGCAAGACGCAATGTGCGATCTGGGACAACCGCAGCGCATATTCTACAAGGAAGACGACCGTATGCGTATCCATGGTACTGCTGCCGGACACGCCAACGGACGTGGAGGCAGAGACCGCGCCTCTCCGAACGGCAGCTCGAACGACGACTCGCTATCTGGTTCGCACGACATGGACGATTCTGCTTTCTTCTACAACTACTTTGACCTGGGCATCGACTTGCTTTTCTCAACAAACACACTGCGCATGCCGTCGATCGCTGAGGCGTACGATGCTGCCGCTACGGGACAGGCGCGATTGGAAAAGGTCATCTGCCACACCAACGTACCTGGAGATGCTCTGTTTCAACGATACAATCGGTGCCCGTGGAGAGTGTCCCCCCAAGCCGCGCAAGACGGCTTGACAGCGGGTGTCACTGCCGATGCCAGCAAGGCGACAAGCAAACCTACCAAAGCGACCAAATCCGGGGCAGCAGCGTTCTCATTCGAAAATCACTTTGACAGCACGCTCAGTGCGGGACAGGACGATCGTGGGATGGAGTTGGATCGTGGCACGTGTGCAGAGTTCAAGGGTAGCGGCGGTTTCAGCGGCGCAAGAAGCGACGCGATGGGACGACAGCAGGGTGCAACCAAGCGAGATGGGGCTGGTAGCAGCCCTGAGAGGGAGCACAACCCTTCGAGCGAAGTGATTGTCGATCTGAGCACGAGGTTGATCGGTCGCGAGGGGATGGTGCTGGAGGTGGGAAAGGATGGGTCCATGGTGGGTGTTGTTGTGTTTTGATGGAGAACAGTCGTAAGCGGGATGCGCTCAAATGGCATGGAGAGGCTTTGCAATTGATCGTGCTTTCAGAGTAGAGAAGAGTTCATGATTGGAGCTAGCGATCTACTGCATGTACTTTGTGGGACGAGGAAGGTCGAGGAGCTGCTTTTTAACGTCGAGCACTTCGTCGTGAATGCCGTCGACGATCCTCTTCATCTCGAGTCTGTTCTTCTCGTATTCGGCCTTGGAGGCGGATTGCGAGGTGAGTGATTTGAGGTCTGCCTCGAGTTTGTTGAGCCTCTGCAAGTGACCGGTGATCTGTTGTTCAGCAAAGGGTCAGAATGTCGGTCAGTTGGACTCTTGCTTCTTGGTTGTCATGGCTCTTGATTGCTTACCTTTTCCGTGGAACCCTGCAGCTCTTCAACACTGGCAAGCATCAAATTGGAAGCAGCGTTGTACTCCTTGAGCAAGTAGTAGTATCCGTAGGCGGACGCGATACCGAAGCCGAACAGAAATCCGAGCACGCCTCCCCTTACTGAGCCTACGGGACGACGGATGGTTGGGCTACCGACGACGATGGGCTGAGGAGGTGGAGAAGGGATGGATGCTTTTGCTTGTTGAGCGGCACCCTTGACGCTACCTTCGGCATGCTTGATGGCACCCTTTGCTTCCGCGATGTTTTCCTTGGCGGCAGCACGTGCCGTCGAGGCGGTTTCTTCGACGATGGCACCAGCTTGCGAAGAGGCGAAGCGTCGGGATGAGGCGAGGAGACTGCGTTGAGCTGTACGAAGAGCGATCATTGTGCGGATGTCGTGGGAGATGAGACGATGATGGAAGAGCAAAGGACTAGAGCGGAGAGTGCAGAGTGCAGAGTGCAGAAAGGATGATGGCACGAGCGTCGAGATTTCTTCGCAGAGTGCCGCCGACCGAAATCCCGATTTCCACCGTCGTCGTTCGATCATGATTTTCCCGACAGGAATCGAGTGATTGTTTGGCTGGCTTAACATACTTCCGGATTCGGAATCATCAACCTGTTGGTCTGGCTCAGTCGATATCGGAATCGCCGGCGGATAACAGAGTCCGACGACGGCAATGCAACTGCGCTGCCGATTACCTTTCCTTGTCTTTCCCTCCTCCTCCATCATCCATCTATAGAGCCAGTCCACGATTCGTTCCCCTTCCTACGGCTACTTGGCCGTGTTCCGGCCTCGCTATGGCATCCGCAAGACCCTCCCACAGACCTTCGAGTCTTCGCTCCACTACCACCTCCGAAGCAGGATCCATCGAACCCATTCAAGAAGAAGTCGTCTCCAACGATGGCCAGATCTCTGCAGCAACCATGCCGACACCAACAGAATCATCTCCGCTCCTCCCACCTCACCGACATCGCTCATCACACCTTCTTCCGCCACCATCATCGTCCAAATCTAGATCCAAAACCATCTGCAACTCCATCCTCGTCCTCTTGGCCATCTTCACCTTCGCCATCACCACATCCATCGTCCTCAAAAACCTTCTCGGAGAGTTCGACGACCCACCTTCCTCCACCGATCCGTCTCTACCCACGAACCCTCCACCAGGCTCCGACCCACGCGGACGACGTCATCCAGCCGTGCTCGCAACAGGTCGCAAGGCGGGCGTAGCAACCGAGAACGAGCTTTGCAGCAAGATCGGTATGGATGTGCTCTTGGACAAGGGAACGGCTGCAGATGCTGCTGTAGCTTCGACGTTCTGCGTGGGGGTGCTCAACATGTTCAGCTCGGGTATCGGCGGTGGAGGATTCATGATCGTTCGCGATCCCACTCCTTGTTTCGGCAAAGGGGGCAAGTCCAACTCAGGGTGTGTGGAACATACCACCATCGATTTCAGAGAAACAGCTCCGGCTGCGGCCAACAAGACGATGTACGTCGGTCGTGTGCCCAAGGCCCAGTTCGGCGGACTGGCCGTAGGCGTTCCTGGTGAACTGCGCGGCTTACAAGAGCTTCACAAGCGATACGGAAGGCTGTCGTGGAAGAGGTTGGTGGAGCCATCGGTTGAGCTGGCAAAATCTGCCAGAGTGAGCAAGGAGCTGGCGAGGAGGTTGGCCTACTTTGGCGGGTTCATGAAGGATGATGCTGTTTGGAGGGACATCTTCATCGATGAAAGCACCGGCGAGGTCAAGAAGGAAGGCGACACATTCCACCGCACCGCTTATGCAAAGACGTTGCAGAAGATCGCGGATCACGGTCCGGATGTCTTTTACACGGGCGCAATCGCGCAAGCTATGGTCGACACGACGCAGGCGCACGGCGGCATCCTCACCATGCAAGATCTGCACGACTACAAAGTGGTCGTTCGACCCGCTCTCGAAGGTTCATGGTTGGGCAAGAAGGTTTTCACCACCCACGCTCCCACCTCTGGACCTATCCTGCTGTCCGTTCTCAACATCCTCTCCCTCGTCCCCGACTTCACCTCGGTTGGACAGATCACGTCTCTCAACATGCACCGATTCGTCGAAGCGCTCAAATTCGGATTCGGTCAACGAACCGAGCTCGCCGATCCATCCTTCATGTCTGGCGCCGACCTCGATCGCATCTCCCAAATCCCGACCCTCTCGGAAGCTCTCTCGATCGTACCCAACATCACCGACGACAAGACCCATCCGCTCGACTACTACCACCCCAAATTCGACATTATTGACGATCACGGAACCATGCATCTCTCCATCGTCGACCAGAACGGCATGGCCATCGCGGTCACCTCCACCGTCAACCTCATCTTTGGTTCACGCGTCATGGATCCTTCCACCGGAATCATCCTCAACGACGAGATGGACGACACCTCCACGCCTGGCGTACCTAACGCCTTCGGTCTCGCGCCTTCTCCCTTCAACTACCCTGAAGCCGGCAAAAGACCGCTCTCGTCGACGTGTCCTACGATCGTCGAGTCCGCCGAAGGAGAGGTCGAGTTGGTGTTGGGTGGAAGTGGTGGAAGTCGGATTTTCAGCTCGGTTCTGCAGACGATCTTCAACTTTTACCTTTGGGGTATGGACTTGAGTCAGGCGATCGAGGCTCCGAGGCTGCACCATCAGCTGCTGCCGACGCAGTTGAGCGTCGAGACTGGCTACAGCGACAAGGTGTTGAGCGGGTTGCTCGGCAGAGGGCACGAGGTGAGCTGGATCGATATTGATCTGGGGATTGCAGAGGTGCAGGCAGTCGCGGTGGAGGGTCAGGGCAAGAGGTGGCAGAAGGTTTGGGCTGCGAGTGATTCCAGGAAAGGTGGTGTGGCTGTGGCCGTGTAGAGGCGATGTATGCAGCAATGGACAATGCCGACAATGTTTCTCATTTCATATGGCTCGGACAAACGAAGTGTGTCTGCTTTAGTCAGCGGGACTTGAGATACTTGCCACGCCACACGCGCTCACGGCAGATGAGAAGACAAGGATATCGATGGGGAGACGTCCCGTCAATGCATTAACGACACGTAATCCTTGACAGCTCGTTCGCCTCACGATCGACGTTGCAACATGGCTCGAAAGCGATCCTGGCCGGTTAGCTGCTCGCTGCTGGCAGGCTCTACATCCATATCCTCACCAGGGTGTGCCTGCGACGCTGGCGCACCTCCCTCTTGCTGTTGACTTTGACCGCTGGTATGAGCCGAATGCGCAAGCCCGAACGCTCTTCCCCTACCCCTTCCCCTTCCGCCTCTCGACGATCTCGGCATGAACGCCAAGGCCGCTGGCGCTGCCTCTCCCTGACCGCTACCCGTCGTCTCTGTTGCAACTTGTGTCTTGGGCGCATCCCCCGCAGCACCTCCCTCCTCCACCGCGGTGACACTCAACACCCTCTCCCCATACCTAACACCCCCCGCCCCTCCCACCAACACCGCCTTGCCCGCATCCTTCTCATTCCAAAACTCCACCGTCGCCCTGCCACCCGTACCATCCGCTTTCCACGCGACCTGCTTAACACTCCCCAACCCCACCTCCCTCTCCACCGCCTGCTGGATCAACGCCTCCTGAGCATCTATCGGCAACCCATCCACCCTCACACTCTTCTTCCTCTTCTCCTCCGCCCCCTCCTTCCTCTCCACGTGCGATCTGCTGTCGGCGATGGTAACGGAAATCGTCTTGCCTCTCCACTTAGTCGAGTTCAACTCCTTCATCGCCCTCGCCGCCTCCAACTGCGTCTCGAAATCCACAAACCCAATCCCCCTCAACCCTCCGTCTGCATTCCTCAACAACCTGACACCCTTGACGCTGCCGTACGCCTCAAAGTACACCTTGAGCTCGTCCTCGCTGATGTTGCGCGGGAATCCGGACACGAACAGCTCCTTCCCATCCTCCTGCGCATCACTCCTCTGCTTCCTTCGACTTGGATCGGAAAGTGCAACGTTGAGTTTTCGTCCAGGCGCGACTTCGGTCTTATCCAATGCGGCCACCGCCGCCGCGGCTGACTCGGGCGTCGTGTACTGGACGTAGCAAAATCGTCGTTTTGCACTGAATCGCTTGCTAGGCCATCGAACGGTGAAGACGAGGCCGTAGGGTGAGAAGGCGGATCTGACCGACGAGTCCTCCCAGTCCTCGGGAAAGTTGGTGACAAAGAGTGTGCACTTCCATCCGATGTGGATCGAGACCGGGCTTGAATCGATGAGCTTGTTGTGGCGCGTGAGTGCGGATGATGCGCCGGTCGCGTCGGCAAATTCGACGAGCGCGGCTGCGGATGATCTGCCCTCGGAGGAGGTGAGGACCGTCGGACCCGTCAGCTCGATAATACGTCCACATCCACGCAACAGGTGTCGTATCGCCGAAGCATCGGTGGCGGGATCAAGATCGGAGATCAGTACGGAACAGTGCTCGCGATCGCGAGACTGTGCAGTATCGGCGTCGTGAGTACGTGTCTTTTTGGGTTGCTCGATGCTTGTGTCGGCAGTAACAGCTGCGTTCTCGGGACGTACCGACATGGTTGCGTCCGCGATCTGCAATTCGGCCTCTTCCGAATCGTCGTCCGCTTTCCTCTTTCCAGCACTCGTATGCTCGATGTGATTGGACGGCACTTCCACTTGCATCGCCGTGCTTCCATCGCCGTTCGTGTGTGCAGAAGGCTGAGACTCAGCTCCAGCCTCGGCTGAGTACGCGTACTGAGAATACTGCGCGTACCAAGCCTCCAATGCACGCTTTCGTTCCGCTCTAGCCTTTGCTTCCGCATACTCAATCTCCTCGATAGACCCATGCTGGTGCTCGAACTGCACCCAGTCCTGCAACAGCGCCTGATACTCTTGCGTCGACTCCTGCGCCTGCCTGCGTTCCAGCTTCGACACACTAGCCTTGAACCATCCACGTGCTTTCCTCGCATCGAAACGCCGCGTCCAGTATCCGGCGGCTTCGTGATACACGCGCGCGTTATCAGGTTGCTGCACCACAGCCGTCTGCCACACCGACTCTGCGAGCTCGTTCAACCCTGCCCCACCTTCCGACGTCGGACCGCCCATTGCAAACACAGCTCTTTCCACCCAGTTGACAGTCGCCTTCTCGAGACGCAAGCTCGGATCGCGCTGATCGTCACCCAGCTCAGCCAGCTTACCCAAAGAGTAGCTCAACAGCGCATAGATCTCGGTGAACTTTTCCATGTCTTGTGACGGATCCACATCGAATCCCGCACCTGCTTTGACAGCCAAATCAAAGCTAGCCAGCTCGCGCTCGCAGTCGATACGTGTCAGACAGAGATCCGTCAGCTCTGAAGCTTTGAGATCCAGCGCACCGGGGGTAATGACCTTTTCGAAGAATTGCTCGATCTGAGGGCGCGAACGTCGGAAGCGCGCCGAGTTGCGCATCAGCATGCAATACAAGCTGGTCGTTGTTGGGAGACATTGCACCGCTCGCGCGCACACATCCATGGTGAGCGAAGCGTCCGGACGAGGTGAAGATGTGAGCACCGAGATGTAGTCGAGCCACAGATCTTCGGCCAACGAAAGCCGTTCCGTGCACAGCTGCTGCTCCTGCTGAGTACGCGCCTCACGCTCTTCGTGGCTGAGACGTTTGAGTTGTCGGGAATAGCGCTCGGAGCCGCTTACGTCGTCCGAGTAGTAGACGAGCTCGTGCTTGTAGGTAGTTGGAGGGTGCAAACCAAAGTGCGGGATGAGCCTATCGAAGAGGGCACAAGTAAGGTCGAGCTCCGTCTGAGCAGCTGCCTTGTCCTTGGATCGCACAGCTCGTGTGGCGCGACCGCACTGCCATCGGAGGTAAGGTTTGCAAATCGCAGCAAAGCTATCGAGATCGTGCCTTGATCCGGGAGCATGAAGCTTTCCGCTCCGTAACAACGAAGTCAAAGCATCTTCATGCTGTTCCCTCTGCCGCACGATGGCTTTCGACTCGGCGACGAGCACGTTCGCAGCTGACATTTCGTCTTCGTATTGCTGCGGCGGCAGGTATTGAGTGACGAAGCTCGAGAAAGCCTGGAATGTAATATCGATGGCAATGTGCGGAACTTTGAGTCGGGCGAGATAGACATGGCGGATGGCTTCGAGTTGCTGCTCGCGATCAGCCAAGTTGGAGGCGAGCACGGCTTCTTCGAAAGCGAGGTAGAGTTTCCAGACATCTTGGCTCTCGAGCAGCTGGTAGGCGTAGCGCGTGTAGGCCTCTCGAATCCGCCAGCGCGTCGCTTCGAGGCCGCATACTGCCTCCCATGCGGCTGCTCCCGCGGTGTCTCGTGCGAGTGGCGGCAGAGATGATGGTTCGTACGTCGAGTGCTGTACGTTGATGAGCGGACATGAGTCGAGACTTGTCCACTTTACAGCGGGATCTGTTGTCGAGCTCGGGGATGCACTTTCAGAGGTATGCAGAGCGGAGAGGGGATCGTCCACACGATAAAGCTGTGAAAAGTATGTGACCAGAAGACCTAAGTATCTCTTGATGAGGGTCACCGACGTCAAATAAGCACTTGCATCCTTGTGCAGCTCGAATATGGCTCGCAGCGAGTCGGGTGAGAGTGGACTTGTCGCAGCAGCCAAACGAGTCTCGAGGGCAAGAAAGATGTCCCAATCGTGTAGCAGCAATGAAGGAAGGGCGGCTGAATCCTTGTACGCTTCCAGCAGGGCCAATATACTATCCAATTGGGCCGTCGGATTGGAAGCACCGGCGAATCGAGCCGAGGTCTGAAGATGCAAGAAGCGGTCGCGGTGCGCAGTTGGTTGCAGAGTCGATAGTTTCGAGTCCGATCGCGAGCTCGACGGAGCAGCGACGTCCAGCTGATCAACCTCCATCCTGCGCAGAGTCTCGTAGACGGCGTGCTTGCCTGATGTGGGTGAGAATGAGGCGGAAGAAGAAAGTAACGAGGATGAGGCAAGTGATGGATGCAAAGCATTCTGAAATCTTTCTTCCGATTTCCGTGTTTCTTAGCAAGCCAAAGAAAATCCCACACGTCAAACAAGGCCAACGCTCTCGGCCAAAGACGTTGCACAGGATTATATACCTACCAAGTCGCCTGGATGTTGGGTCCTGAGCCTTTCTAGCACGTTGCCATCATGACTGTTGAATGCCGTGACCGTATCAGGGAGACTTTACAACGCCACCCGGAAGTTGTTCCGCCTGGTTGTCAGAGGATGTCCCACCGGTTGCGCGGTTGACGATGCAGCAACCGGGAAGCTTTTCCTTCATTGTTTTTCAAAGGTCCTCATTTTGCGTCAAGTTCTGTGAGTGACGCTCGAATCTAAGCCCTGCTTGTCTCTACCATGTCCATCTAAGCCGCACCTCGAAATGCGAGTATGGATGAGACGCCATCTCCTTGGTTCGATCGCCTTCCTCTGCACGGCAGCTTCGATGGCTTGGAGTGTAGATGAGGATCAACAGACAAGCTCTAGCGTGACACAGGGGCGCTTTGCCCACTCGAAATCAAGCTTTGCCGCACAGTTCGGGTTCCGCGACCCCAACTTTGGTATTCCAATGCCCAATCGAGACTATCGACTTTTGTCGAGAGACGCATACTACAAGCTGCAAGGCATCTATGCGTCGACAAATCGATTTCTGAGGCTCGCCGGCATCCGACAACTGCTTTCTCAGGGAAGCATTTCCTCCCCTTCTCTGCTGCGGCGACATCCTAGCTTTGTCAACTCCTTCGATGGCACGACCTTCACTCCGACAGTCTATGTCAGGATCGCCGACGTGATGCCCAACAATCCTATGGGCCGATTCAATCCGGATGTAGCCATATTCATGCAGGCCGTCAAAGTTCTTCAGCCGACAGTCTTTCTCACTTGGCTGGAGCTCAAGCACATCATCAGAGGCCCCTACGACTCCGCCTCTGACCCTAATGGTCCCGACTTTTACAAAGTCTGGGTTCGACATCGACGATTCAGTGACAAAGTCTGGCTTGACGAGTTTCCTGAAGTCTACAAATGGCCCGTCTTTGCCGATGTGGAGCGCCTCGGGTTCAATCCAAGCACGATAGATCGTGAGATAGCCGTCTACAGCCAAGAGCGAGCGATCGAGACATACCCGGCGACCAGATCACATGCGCTTGCCACGTTTCTCGCAGCCGCTCGTCGGTACATGTTGCAATTTGATACACCAACAGGCGAAGCCCTTTTCAACTCCTATGCATTGATGCTGGCCCCAGTTGATGCGTCGACCGGGCCTGAGCCATGGTTCCAGGCTCCGGTCTTCGAAGCATTCCATCCGGGGCACAATACAATCAAGTTGAAGACATACGATTTCGACGGAGGCGCCTCTCCCATCCTTGACCGTATTCAATACACGGCTTCGACAGACGCCTTTGGTCATTCTGTGCTGACTCCGATTGCCATTGTCAGACCGCTTCAAGTAGTTCCAACAGTACGATTTGGCACGGTCTACGTGGTACCGCAACGTTTGAGGGCAACATCGAGCATCGTGTTACAAACTTTGAGAGCAGTCAAATTTCGGCTCGTTCCAGACCCAGAATACTCACAAGGAACGGGACATCTGGGACCAGACGCCAACTTCCTTGGCGAACGACGCCCAATTGGACATCCTCTCGCCTTGATCACTGCCTCATCCCTCGAACGTTCGAGATCTCTGGCCGTCAAGGGCAGCAATTCTTCTCAGGCTATCCCAAGCGATTCATTGACGAAAGACGAGCTTGCTGGTCAGCGAAGCCTTGTGCCGGACTCGCGTGGACTTCCTTCGATCGCCAGCACTTCACGCCGAGGCGAGAGCCCTCTCTCATTCCCAATCACCCCACAAATAAAACATGCTGAGCAACGCTCGATCTTCGACTCTCGTAACGACATGTTGATCAGGCCAGAGGAAACTGCCGGGGCATTTCCGCCGACTCCTGCGGGTCGACGTCGCTGGTACTTGCAGCTACTCCAGCATGCCGAGTCCGGCCTGACTAGCTCCAGCTTCGCTCCGGCTCAAAACGACGACAAAAAGACTGGAGAATTTGAAACTCATGGACACTCAGTATCGACATCCGATCAGAGATCACACTATGGGCTCAAGAGCGGGCAGACACACTCGTCCAAAGCTTCAAGAAGACCTACCACGCGGCGGAGCCAGTCCCAGTGAAGGGGTCCAGCCAAATCAGTCTACAGCGCACAGTAACACCGAGGATTTGGCTCTGAACGCCTTGCAGGAACATTTGGAGCCTGGTCTCGATATTTGGCGTTACCACATGCCAAAATGATCGAAATGACTTTTCGTCGGCTGTTCTGATCCGCATTTGATTCTTTCATGACCAAAGGCTGTGGCTCTCGAAGCGTATAAAACAATTGTAGATTGCAGACTTCGCTTGTGGCAAAGCAGGTATCTATAGAAGACAGTGTGCTGATGCCGTCACGCAGTCAGGCGATTCGACATCCGTTTCCTCTTCCTCGCAGCCATTTTCGGTCGATGATCGAAGCTCGACCCTGATCGACCCTTTTCGATCGTCACGTAGAACTTCGTTGGCGGGTCAAAAGTATCAAGTGATAAAGCTCGTCTCGCAACGGCTTCGCCCTCCTCAACTTCTGAAAACATCGACCGTCCTATTTCGATATCCGGCAAGACGCTCGTCTCAGTCGCTAAGAGACCGATGCTGCTTCTCACTGTCTTTCTCGCGATTATCTCGGGGGTGACCTGCTCGAGCTTGAGCACGACAAGCCTTGAACGACTCCTGGATGAGGACTGGTCATACATTCGAGCTGTCGCGGACCGTCTCGAAGCAAGCTCTCCTCGCCTTCCTTCTGCGACCGAGCATCTCGCGTCGGCTTCACAGGACAGTCAAGCCTTGAGTCACACGGGACCGGCCAGAAGAACGGGCCCGACGAACACCTCTCCACCGTCTACGCTTCAGTCGCAGCTGGACATCATCTTTCCGAGCTTGTTTGCAGATCGTCTTCCCGTCAGCGTTCCTCACTCCGTACCAGTGCTTCAGCAAGAGGAAAGAATGGAAGAACTCCAGGCTCTTTCTCAACTCATTCGTTCTCACAGATATGGATACCTCAAGCCGCGACTCGTCATGCCTCTGAGAATCAACAACATGTCACCATGGACGTACAGAGTCTTGTACGAGCAGTACTTTAGCCACATACCGAAACTACGCGTTCTCTGGACTCCTTCAGCTGTTACGTACATGCTGTACAAGCCTGACAAGGATGATTACATGATCAAAGAGATCTTTGGTGGCGACGTGACCGCAAATCAGCAAGTCATGGTTGTGTGGAAGCACGAGGTCCATGGCGAAGCAAGAATCTGGCGCCTCCTCGGGATGCTTGAGTTGCCTTCCCACACAAGGGCGCACAGCTTCATCAATCAGCATATGCAGAAAATATCCAAGTCTTACGGTATCCCGCTCAGGTATTTGAACGATGGGTCTCACCTCGATCCAAGCCAGGTAGAAGCGCAGTCTGGAACATCCAAATCGGAGACGTTACACGATTGAATCGTCTCTGACTATGACCGTTGACTTATTATTTGTTGGGCAAGCCGGAGCATGATGTTTATAAGCATCAGGCAGAACGGAGTCACTCCAAAGTACTCAGGTACATCGAAGAAATCAGTTGCCCGCGTCCAAGGTTTGCGCCGCACTTGTGAGCAATGGGTATGAAGGTACTGACCCACTTCTGATGACGTCTCCACCGGTCACACGACCTGCAAGCTCCTGGTTTTCGTGTCATATATTGAGATTGTACGTGTTCCGCTTGATCGTGCGCAGCAAAACGTTCCAGCAAATTACGATCTTGAAGCAGCTCAATTCCCCAACTTCACCAATTCCATTACTCTCAGAGGTCCTTCTAAGCTCTCGGCCTCAATACAGACAATACAAGCATCCCATGGCCGCAATGATGCGATTTGCGGCGGTTCTAATCTTCATGACCTCACTACTGCGAATTCGAGCCTCGGATCTTCACATCAATGATCTCGATCGTCTTCTTCAGGAGGACTGGTCCGTCATCGAGAGACTCACTGCCCCGCAAGCCGCTTCGGTCCCCTCCCGAGGTGTCGCGATGCTACATGGCGCTATGGTGGTTGGAGCTCCAGGTAGAGGTTCCAAGCGTCTGCGGTACGGCGAACAGCACCAAATAACTACGTCGGGATCTTCAACCCCGTTCGTTATTACACAAGACAACCAAGTATTGGGGCCTCTGTTTGACCGTATACAGAGTCCGGTCCATCTACCAAGAGTCATCGAACCACTTTCCGTAGAGGCTCGAGAAAGGGAGCTGACTAGGCTCTCAAGTGTTTTGCGAAAGTCCTTGACGAGAAGTCACAAAGAGAGATGGGTTGCCCCATTGTCCCTGACAAACCTCGACGCTCAAGAATACATGGTTCTGTGCAGACAGTACCTGTATCGAGAGACCAGAGCGCGCTACTTCTGGGAGTCAGAAGGTTCGACGTACATGCTGTACAAGCCGATCAAACTGAAGGGTGGTCTTGAGGCTCTGTTTGGCCTGACTTTGCAGGCCTGGGTGAATGGCTGGGCCATCTGGCGGCAGGAGATACATGGAGGGGCAAGACTTTGGCATCTACTTGGCATGATGGAGATGCCTTCCTACGAGGTTACCAAGAGATTCTTGGAAGGAAGCACGGAATCGATCCCTCCTCCTCACAAGCTGCCTGATCAATTTTTCAATGATGGAGCTCATCTGGACGAGATGCAGGGGGAGCTTCGGCCGAAGCTTTCGGGCGTCGAGTCGCAGGATGAAAGCCCGGAAAGCTCCGGGCATCCGACTGAGCTTACATAAGGTACTCGAGTCTCCTCTTTCAATTAGCTCTGTTCTCATCACTCCCAACTCCATGGCTGCTATCTCAGCGCCGTCTTCGAGCAATTCCGTCCACAATGCCGTGTAATGAGGCTGCACCGAGTTCCCTGGCTTCAGGTCCCGGTTTGCGCGCATACGTGCCATTCGTCGTGAGGAAGCCCATAATGAGATGAATGTTCCCCGGATATCACCTTCACAGTAGGCAGCTTCTTCATCATGGTACGTGGGCGAGATTTGCTCGACTTGCATCAATGTCTGCGACGATGCAATCTCGAGATCCAGCTGCAGCACATTCGCAGAAAGCTGCTTGAATCGACGTCCATACCCAGCACTCGCTCAACACAGTCGTTGACCTCGCTGTCACAAGGTATATATACTCGTCCTGCAGTACATCCTCGAGCTCGTTTGCTGTTCCCGTGCTGAAGCGCAGCTAAAGTACCAACACGAACCTGTCGTAACGTTGCCGACAGCACCATTAACTCAGCACCTTCGCCAATGTTTCCCTTGTTCTTGCTGACCTACAGCGTCGGCATTAGTGCTCTTCTGGCTTTGCAATTTGTCCTGGGGACAAACTTGCCGCTCGAAGATCTGGAACGACTCGTGCGTTCGAGTGATGCAATCTCGTCTCCCCCTTCCGATGCGATCGAAGCCCTACGCAGAAACAGTGTCCCTCGCAATTCAGGACTGTTCGACGATAGCAACATCGCAAGCGCTCTTATGAATGGGTTGAGGTACGGCAAGGAGCAGTTTGACGCTGATGCTGTAGCCTTGAGGCAATCCACCTCTTCGGCCACTCTGTCCTCTGATACCACTGCTCATACCCCTTTCGCAAGTGTCGTCAGCTCAGACTCGGAGGACACTAGACCGGAGAAGAGGTTGAAAGGGCCGCTGGTCCCTACAAACCCTACGGTCTTCCTGGATATCCCGAAGCTTTCCTTAGCGCAGCGGCGTGTCTCTCTCGAAGAGCTCAGAGAGCACGTATATATTCAGCTAGGCAGCCGACCCAGAGTCGCAAAGTCGACGGATCCGCTTGTCGTACCCTATGATGACCATCTCACAGTCAAAGACTATGGGATCTTCATCGCTGAACTAGCAAACCGCCCGCCCTGGATCTATTCGACCTTACCGCCGGCTCCGAAAACACAGTTCCTCATTCGGCAAGCATCGCATAAACACGACTCGTTTCAGAGCATCAACGGCTTCAAGTCGAGCGGTCGAAACGTCAGGTACTTTGAGGCATGGCAAGGGTTGGGAAAGATAGACTCAGGCCTGCTATTTGACTTTCTTGGTGTTTTCCGAGTCCCCCAAGAGAGTTCAAGCAGGCTCAAAGCAGAAGTTCTGCGTGAGAGCGTCTTCCCGTTAAAGCAGTATGTTGTTCTGAGCCCGTCAGCATTTGCAGCAAGAGAGATACACAAGTTGCGCACACCTATCCGTTAGGCACAGCTTGAGTCTAGGTCGAATTACATTGAAAATGACAACTAGGGACGTATGTGCGTCTGGTACAAGCCCGCCAAATCTAGGAATGAGGCTGGCCTTCAGAAATAAAGGTCTGATCAGGATCAAGGTGAGCTGCATCGTTCAGGAAGACAGTCGGCTTCGACACGCTGAAATATTTGGAAAGCTGGGCCCACGTAAGCGTTTCGAGAGGTCTGCGGCCAGGCACCTTGACAGCACCCAGGTACCTCCATATTCTCATCTGCTCGTAGTACTCGAGCCTCCAGACGGCATAGACGTTTTCATTCCGCAGACCATTCGAGCCATGCATCCTAACGAATCCATCTGAGGCTTCCTTTGGCCTGCTGAGCGAATAAGTTACACCGTCTCTAATCCACAGATACCTGAGGTGCTCCTTACCACGATATCGAGCCCCGGTCAGACTGGTGTAGAGGTTCTGGTAGTCGACAGGACTCATGTTCTCCATCAGTAGAGGCCAGGCAGTTTGTCTGTCATCCCGAAAGCGCCTCCTGGACATCGCAAAATGCAGATCATAAAGGATCTCGGATCGTTCTTGGATCGACAGCGCTTTGACCTCGAGTAGATGCGGCGCATGATTGATTGTACGTGAACGTGTAGGACTGGTGGTCAGAGACATCGGGAACGTGCCACTCGGGTGAGGATCAATGGCTTCTTCATTGACCAATGGCGACGAAGAGGAGCTGGTTGCTGAAGCAAAAGCGTCTCCGGATCCCCTACGGCTTTGCATGATAGCCTCGCCAAGGGGTCCCCCAATCTCTTCGTGTTCCGCAGAGCTATACGAAGGATCATGCTGTGGAAGATTGGCCTCGTCAGGCGCTTCGTGGCCTTCCAGAGCATGTAGTAGAGTCGAGACGGCATCATCCCAAGAATTTGCGCCATGGAAAAGTCGGCTTATGTCGGCGGTTGGAGGACTGCCAGCAGCAATACATGACCCTACTCCAAATATAAAGAAGACCGTGGGGCAGCAAAGAATCCTGTTCGCCCTCATCGCCAATGATAGTGGTCGACAGATCTAAAGACAGAGCGTACAGCTTCAAGAGGGTGTAGTCACGGTTGCGTGCATTCTGATTTACCGCTAAGCGAAGAGGTAAGCTTGGAGATTGTTGCAGAGAAGTGAGCACAGATGTCGCCGAAGCATACGTTTCTAAAAGTCGAGTCTCGGCCTCGGCTGGTCGATTTCTTGGCAACGATACACCCAAGGAGGAAAGGAGGAAGCCGAATTGCCAGGCGAGTGATCGACACATGATTTTTGAGCTCATTCACCAAATGGCCCAAGTGTAGCAGCCCACACAGAAATGCAGACACTGTCTGCCCTCGATGTTGAGCAACATCAACATGTGCGTTTTGATCGGATCATGACAGCGTGACACAGCAAAGATGACTAGACGAATTCGTGCGATACCAAGCGAGATCACAGGCTTCGGCATCTTGTTGATTGAGAACCATTGCTCAGCAAGTGATGAAACGTATATGAATGCTTCACACGGCTTCGAGGTTCGTTCTGAAGGTCAATTGGTCACCGCTCGTTCGGATCGTGTGAAGAGGCAATCAAGTGGCGTTTGCATTTCGCTCGGCCGATCCACAGTTGAATCTGTGTTTCAAAGCTGAACCCCAAGAACGAGATACAGCACTCGTCTCGTCCTGCACCCGCAGACGACAACCTTCATTCCGGACTCCGCCGGCTACAGAAAGTGGTCATAGCCCGCAAGACAAAGGAAAAGGCATTATCATGAGAAGCCGCACAACCCAGAGGTGCTTCTTTGTGTATCTAGTTTGCACCTCCATCGAGCTCGCTGCTGCAGCGTGGCCGGCGATTACCAAAATTGACCTTACAGTCTGTTCAACTTTCGATCATGCGGCTTCGTTATTCTGACCCCTGTTCCTGCTGATGACCATGGCTAGTTGTCATAGTCTCTCTGTCATGTCCGTTGAAACGTTTGATAGTCTGCACGTCTGATCACAGCGGAGCGAGAGCCGGCTGTTGAGCCCGATCGTGGGAAACAACGGGCTCACAGGCTTGCTCAAACAGCGATGATTACCCACTTGACCCATCCATTGAAGCAGGGATGAATAAAGTAGAGGGCCTTCATGAACGTTGTCCGGGCGGACCCAAATTGAGCATGGGGCTCATTTCAGTTTCGAGCCCTGTCCACTGAAAAAAAATTGTCCGACTGGGATGACGAGGGCCTACACAAGTATCTTTGACGGTTGATCGAGGAAACTACAGCCACTAGCCGCTCGCGTGCTCACAGCCGAGCTCCTTCATCTTACGTCTTCGCGACCACACGCTTCGAGGCGAAGTTCAGACGTTCGCCCTCGTGCTGCCTCGAAGGGCGCAAATCCGGGCAATTCTCAATCCGGCAGTGGGATAGTCTATTCATGGTTGACATCGATCGCGGTTCTCCTTCCTCCCACAATTCAGCTTCCACCCAGCTCATTTGTCGTCTCAAAATTGCGTCAATGTCACACAACCAGCGCCACCCATGAGCTTGATGAACACGCGTTTAACAGAGTGGGTTGACATGCCCAGAGCATTGCCATAGTGCAATTCTGCAGTCTCGGCGGACTCGTATGACCTCGGCAATCGGAGCATGCAACACAGATGATGTGTCACGAACGCTTGATAGTGTTCTTGGCAGAATAGGAAGCCGAGTTGAAGCGAGGTCGACACCTGCTGCTAGCCCGAAATGATATAAGGGCAAGTCCAGGACCGAATCTTGCTTAGGAAAGGAGATCAATGCCCGGCAAACGTGGTCCGTCATGCAGATATTCTGCTTGCTCTTTCTAGCAACCTTCGCAGGCTACAGTTTGCAGACCCAGTGGGACCAGCTTCTGAGTCTTTCGGAAGAAGAAGCAAAGGCCTTCCTCGGCGGCACCTTCTCGCCTGCCTCGCAAGGGGAATCAACATCCAAGGCGGCACAATGGCATGATGATGACGGTCGGATGGTCCCTCGGGGGCAGATGCATCGACAGCTCCTTCCCGAAGATGTTCTAGGCCAGTCAAGCCTTGCCTCATTGCTTGGCCCAAGCGTACATGAACATGAACATCCTGACAACGGTCGTGATCCCAGCGACGTTGCCTCCCTTGCAACAACGCGCAGGATCTTAACGACGGCGAGTAGTAGCGTCCAATCTAACCAAGATGTGACGTCCAGCACCCCGTCAGCAGCAGAAGCAAGCCTCACAGAACCGCCGAACGCTCCGGATCCTTCAAAGTCTTCGGCACAAGGTCGAGACGTGCCCCCTCTGTCACTGATCGGATCAGAGCATCTCCACGCACCGCGAGTACTTACAGTTAGACAAAGGAACGATGTGCTTCGAGATGCCGCAAACCATCTCCAACTGTCCAAAGGCAGAAGGGTTCCTATTCTATTCCATCCTTTCATGGAAGAGGCGCTAACTGACAGATTCCTGGATGAGTTCGCCAAGTCGAAGAATTTCCTTCGCGAGTACAAGCCAGGCTTCCTCGTGCAAACGCGATCCCTCACCAGCAAGTTGTGGCAGGGCCAAGGAGGAATTGTTCTACAGAGGGAGCTCATGCACCAGCTGTTTGTTTATCGATACCTGAGAATGCCAGCCACAAGTCGACCTCGAACAGTGTTTCAGTTTGTTGGCATGCTCGAGATCAATCGGCCGAGTCACGAAGCAGTGAGACCGCTCAAGGCGTTCTCGACCACTCGAGTACTTGTCCAAGCCATCGGACCCGATTCATTTGTAGACCACTCTTCACTGGCAATTAAAACGACTCGAAGTTAGACACAGCCATTCATACGATCATCTCGTCTCGTCGGGTGAGAACATATGCTATTGCTCTGGGAACTTCGCAGAGGTGCCCATTAGTTCGGCAGGGGTGACAGCAAACCAGGCAACATGATCTTGTACTAGAGAAGAGCTTACTCGCCGCTCGACGAGTTTGCCTGTGTCTTCGATTAAGGCGACACATGCTCGTCATTATCGCTGTATGTCCTTGGGGCAGGACGCAAGCGACAAGCGTGACATTAGTGTGCGGAACGAGTAGCCTCACGATGACAGCAGGGAAAAAGGAGCTCGAGCCAGTTTCATCAGTACCTACTGTGGCGGAAGCTTCGATGCAACGCACCGGAACTTCCTGTGATGGTAGTGAGGCGCTGCAATGGTGTCTCAGCAGTGATGAAGACGTGCAGAATAAGCTAACGAGGGTTGTAAAAGCGGCGTCAGTCCGAACCCACTTCATTCACATGAATGCAGCACGACGTTGACTCCACAGCGCTATTGTTGGTGTCACTCCTCCGCCCACATGAAGGTACGATAGAGGGAGTGCAGCTTCTCTCACTCTTCTGTCTTTTCGGTGTCTCATGTTTCTTCCAGCGTGTGACAATGTGACGGTATTGTTCGGTGACCTATCGACCTGCTCCAGCCTTGCAAATTTCGGCGTCGACAATTTGTAAGCTTGAGATACCGTTCCTGTTCGCGTTGACATGGCTTTGCGTGACACAGTGGCTGGTTAACCTTGCTCGACACTGGACATGTCCGGACATTGGCGTCTGACACGACGATCCTGCGCTTGAGTGCCGTGTCCGAAAGTATAAAGGATCTCGCGGAAAGCGTCCCTGCATTCGATCATGTGAACAGTCCTGAGGATGGCAGCAACAGCCATCGAGCCTTTCTCCGATGCGATACGACTTCAAGACCATTTTTGTGCACTCGCTAGTGCTCATCCAGCTCGGTGTTTGCCATGCCGGCGATTACTGGAAAGCCGTCGAGGCACTTGTCAATAAAGATGAGAGTTCAGCAATCGCCCATTTTCTCCAGACAGGCGATTTAGGTTCGTCGAGCGCTTCGCCTTCATCGCATCAACCGGAAGCATTGCAAGGCTCGTCGTCCCAACATATCATCGAAGACCCTTGGTTCGGACCCAGACTTGGAACTTTTCTGCAAGACACTCCGTCCAGCGGTGAGACCAGAGTTGCGTCTGGATCAGCTAGCTCGGAATACGTATCCCCGCATATTGATGAGCCGCCCACCAAAATAGATCATATTGGCTCTGTCCTGGCGCCACAGCCCCTCACGGTCGACGAGAGGATGACGATTCTCAAGCCGATCGGCGACGAGTTTGCATCACGTTCTTCCCATAGCGCGGCATCAAACCTCCTCCCTTACACGGGACAGTCATTAACCGCGAAGCTGTTGGACGAGGCTTTTGGGTTCCCAAAGACATCGATGAGACTATTCACCAACGACATCTTCGTGATGCCCAGCACCAGGAGCCAGAAGCCGCCGCTTGCCAGTATCCAAGACGGAGGCATGGCGTTCACGATGCCGAGGACGCATCATCTGTACATCTGGAAGATGATCAAGTCGAGAAATTCGCCGGGATGCATCTACCAGCTTGTGGGCGCGGTGGAGTCGGGAATCAGTACACATCGCATAGCACTTCTGCTGAAAGGTTTTCAGCCCGCGCGCAAAATAAACGTCCTTTCACGGGATTCCATCTATGATGAAAGCCTCCCATCCGTCATCACCGCCAAGTCGCAAGAGCGAAGATTGCGGTCCCAATAAATCAGAAAGCGCGCCAGCAACCGTGCGCCAAGCAGGACGAGCGATCCGGGCCTCAACTTGCAGGCACACACGCTTGGTCAGACACATCATATTGCACAGCAGCATATCTAGAATGACAGGCTTGCCCGATGTGTGGGAGTTCAAGTTTGTGTTGCTCAAGCAGACTTTGGGTTTCTTTGCTCGCCTGGCTGTTGATGAGATAGCGACAGTGAGAGATCGATGCCTTTCTCCTTATACAACGACTGAAGATACGGCAGACTGGGATCCACCTGAGCATCTTGGGGTGTATTCCCTCGATAGATCTCCCACGGATAGCGCGGTCGGGGTCGTACAGGTGATACTGGAACGACTCCTCCGTGTTGATTCAAAAAATCGTGTTCTGTCAGCGGTCCTGGGTGGTACGTAGACCCCGATGGTGTATAGACAGCAGACTCAGCTCCTCTTGTCGATGCTCCGTCCACGTCTTGTTTTGCATAACTCGGGGCGGACGAAAGCTGCGTCCGTTCGTACAGTGTCATCGGAGGGTTGACAAAGTTGCTGTGATACCCGAGATGTGGTGCAGGCTGCTTTCTGTCGTACAGCGATGCGATTCTGTCGTGAAGTGGCATCGGAGGCCACTGTGAAAAGCCCTCATTCTGTGGCTGCATACCGTTGTAAGACACGATTTTGAGCCGATCCTCTAGAGATTTGTGGTACCTGTCTGATTCGTCGTTACCCCCGGAAGGAGGATCGAGTCGATCAACCTGACTCAGGGGATGAACAGTCATGGGCTGCTTGTCGGAAGGGTTGACAGGCTCCGGAGAGGCTTCGACCTCACGTTCCTTTTCGCTCGAAGAGCTGATGTGGATAGTGTCCGGCCTCGGCTGTGACGTTGAAGCCGACAATTTGCCTTCATCTGGAGCTTCGGATTTTTCATTCTTCCAGGCTTGCCTTTCCTCACGAGTGAAGAAAGGCGACTCGATGAGGGCTGAAGGATCATGAACTGCACGTTGCCACATCGCAGCGATAGTTTCGCGGTCACCTAAGACGAGTTTGGAAAGCCAGATCGGCCTCTTCGCTTGCAGAGCTTGCTGAAGGGAAGCTGTCGCTCCCGCTGGGTCGTGCTTGTATCTCTTTCGATACCTTGCCGCCGATGTGGGAAACTCGTTCACCATCTTGAAGCGAAGAGATTCAGGCCGACCCGGGGCGGTAAATGGTCGAACAATGCCGGTCGGCAGCCAGAATCCATTCGTAGTCGCCGTCTTGAACTTGTCGAAACGAATGAGATCGAAGGAACGTAACGCTTCGCCTGAGGGAAGCTCAAAATGGGCGTAGTCAATCTCTTCTGGATTGTACGGATCTGCGACCATCAACGGGAGCGAGAACCACGGCGAAGTGAGAGTTCCGCGGGTGCGGCCCTGCTTCAAACCTTCTGTCACCAGCCTATGTGCAGGCAACAACGAAACCGTTTTCAGCTGCCAGTCCGACGGGCCAACTTTCCAGGCTGCCTGAACGCTTGTTTTCTGCCTGATCATACGAGTAAGATGGAGCAAGGCATTAGCGAGGAATTCATCGGCCACCAGCTCGTCGTAGTGTTGATCGTTGGCCTGGAGGTGGTAGTTCGTGCCGATCTTTTCCGCAGCATCAGCTGGCCAGTCAAAGACGTCCATGCGAGCTGGAAAGGCGGAAAGAGCAGCTCCCGAAAGCAGAAGCAAAGTAAACACAGCATCGAGGTGCACACGCATGGTGATGGTGTCGGAAACGAATCTCGCAAAGGGGCCAAGAACTAGGAGATCGACTACCTTGGTGTCGTGAGGAGTCACTTATAGCTTGCAACCAAAGGTGGGCCCGCCTTCAAGCTCTGTCAATGAGCCGAATGCCGACAAGCGACGATCTGTCAAACACTTGAAACGGTGGGATCGTGGTCTTGTCTCGACCTCGGTGGCCTCCATACTCACGACAAGCTTGTCATTCGTGCCTCAATCGCCGATTACATCATTTCCAGCTCGCCGAGGAGTGAACGGTCCGCCTCCGTTGTGCAGCTCGGCTTGAAACGTGCTCGTTGTGTCTGCTTGGCGTGGGAAACTACCAAGCGAGAGTTCATACGTGATATGATGGTCACCAGGACAAACGGTAGTGGAGTTTCTCGACGGTCGGGCTCAATTTGCGGGTGGAGCTCAACTTTTACTGCACGCTCCTGCATCGCACGTCACTGGACAGCCGAGTCAAAACCCCGCACAGTCGCGATGGTTAGCGGACCCCGAATCTCGCCTAAATCGAACAACATCGTGCATCGACGGCTCCGTGCCTCGTATTGCTGCGTGCCTTCCCGGCAAAGCTCAAAACACACGTGCAAGCTTCCAAACTGATCCTCTTTGATAAGGCAGGTGACGATCGTGGCCACATTTCGCTCGTTCAAGACGAAGTTCTTTCGCTTGTCCGCGTGCCTTTCCGACAGCTCGCTTAACCTGAGAAGGGGTTCCATGTCCTCCAAGCTGTGTCGCAACCTTGTCGTCCCGGCCTTTGAGAAGAACTCTTTCAGAAAAGGGGCGCCTTCCTTCCTTCCCACGACGTCCTCTTCATCACCTGATCTCCATCCTCGCATCGTCTCTGTCAATCTCCCCGCTGACATTCTCAAGTCAAGATGGCTTCCTCCGCCAACAAGCATTCAGACAAGCATGAGCACAACTACACCATGATGCAAGCCTTCGAGTGGTACACTCAGGGTGAGGGCAAGCACTGGCAGTGGCTCGGCGACAATGCCAAACGCTTCGCCGACATGGGTATCACAGCCGTGTGGATCCCGCCTCCCACCAAGGCCGGTTCCGCTTCCAGCACCGGATACGACATCTACGATACCTGGGATCTGGGAGAGTTTGCGCATCCTCGAGACGAGAAGGCTGGCGTCCGACCTCCCAATCGAACAAAGTACGGCACTCGAGAGCAGCTCGAGAAGGCGATGCAAGAGCTTCGCAAGAACGGCATTTCTATCTACGTTGACGCCGTGCTCAACCACCGCATGGGCGCCGACGAGCTCCAGACCTTCAAGGCTCGCATGGTCGACCAGGAAGATCGTACGAAATTCTGCTCGGATGCGTACGACATTGAGGGCTGGACCAGATTCACTTTCCCAGCTCGTGGTGACAAGTACTCTGACTTCAAATGGGGCTTTGAGCATTTCACAGGTGTCGACTGGGACCAAAAGGCCGAGGTCTCGGCGGCCTTCCTAATCCAAGGGGAAGGCAAGCACTGGGCCGAAGACGTCGACAAAGAGAAGGGATCCTACGATCTGTAAGTGTTGAACACTCTATCGCGCATCTGACCGGACACTCTGCTGACTTGAAGCTTCCCTTGATGTAGATTGATGGGCGCTGATGTCGACCATGCTCATCCTGACGTCAAGAAGGATCTCTTGAACTGGGGTGCCTGGATGATGCGCAACTTTCCGATCGCCGGCTTCCGCTTCGATGCGGTCAAGCACATCTCGCGCGAGTTCATTCACGACTTTGTTGCCCACATTCGCGAACAGTCTCGTACGCTCCGCAAAGAGCGTGGTCTCGAGCCCGCAGACGAATCGGAAGGTCCCATCTCGTTTAGCGTCGGAGAGTTCTGGAAGGACAGCCTGGGATCCTGCCTCGAGTACCTCGGCAAATTCGGAGACGAGCAGTTCTCGCTCTTCGATGCACCTCTCCACTACAACTTCAAAGAGGCCGGAGACGGAGCTGAAAACTACGATCTGCGCAAGATCTTTGACGAGACGATCGTGCAGGCTCGACCCATCGATGCTGTCACGCTCGTGGAGAACCACGACACGCAGAAGGGCCAGGCTCTGGAATCGACCGTACCCGCCCAATTCAAACCACTGGCCTACTCTCTCATTCTGATGCGCGTTGACGGCTACCCTTGCGTCTTCCTCGGCGACCTCGACGGTTGCAACCCGACCGGCATCGACAACGGCGAAGGAAAGGCAGATCCGATGGCCGATCTGGAAAAGTTCGTCAAGGCGCGCAAGTACTTTGCCTACGGAGAGCAAAAGGATGTGTGGGATCACCCCAACTGTGTTGCTTGGGTCAGAACCGGCACGAAGGCTGACGACGATTCGGGATACGATGCATCGGCCACCATCATCTGCAACGGCTCCGGACAAGGATCCAAGTGGGTCGAAGTCGGTAAGCGCTACGCAGGCCAGAACTTTGTCGATGTCATCGGCTGGTTCCAAGGCGAGGCAAAGGTCAACGATGACGGCTGGGTCGAAGTGCACTGTCACCCTCGTTCGGCCTCGATCTGGGTCCCCGAGAACTCGAAGCATCGTCAGTTCTTCTAATGACTCCGCCCGGATGCGACCTTGTTCTAGACGCTTGTCCTATTCTGTAGAAACTCCTCAATCATAGAAGACATCTCGAGGGAAGGAACCTGGCATCGAAACGTGGTTGTGTGGCTTGTGTGGTTCGTGCACGCCATCCCCGACGGTGACGTAAATTGCACATCTGCTCACGTCTCGACACTCGAAGCATGCGTTGTATGAAAGCGCCGATGTGATTAGTAAAGCAGATCTTTATTGCGACTATAGGAGAACCGTAACAGATACTAGCAAGACGACATTGAGGAGACAGAAGGAACAAGGCAATGCGATTAGGCGTACAACACGAGAAGAAAAGGGATCAAGCAAACTGCGCCGACAACTGAACGCCGCCATTGGACATTTGCATGTCGGGAGACGAGTTGGCGCTGACGCCACCCGCGGGTTGGAGCACTTGACGAGCAGGCATGGGTTTGCTCAGAGCGATGGGGCCGCCCAGGCAAGCCTGGCTGATGGAACCGCGCTTGCCGCCGATCGAGACGGCTGCCTGAGCCGCGGCGGCGGCAGCTGCTGCAGCAGCTGCGTACGGATCGTGTCGCGGCTCACTGTTCTTGTACTTGTCAGAGCCAGCTGTGAGGGATAGCAGCTCCGAAGAACGACCAACGAGGCCAGCTGGTCGGAAGTGGGTTTTGAGATGCTGTGCGAGGTTGTCGGATCGGCCGAAGTATTTGCCGCAGGTCTCGACAGGGCACTTGTGTGGACGTTCCTGGGTGTGGGTGCGATTGTGACGCTTGAGGTGCTCCATCCTCTTGAAGCGCTTGCCGCAGTGGCAGACGTGCAGCTTATCAGCCGAGCTGACGATGAGAGGCGGAGGACCCGCGTTGCGAGCGCGGCCTCGAGGTGTGGTGCGAGTGACCGAGCCGGAGACGCTGCGACTCCTACCGTCGAGCAACGAAGAGAACGAAGCGTCCTGATCAGGAGAGCTGAGCGTGAACATGCTGTTGCTGCGGTGACCCGACATGGGAGGAGCACTATAGTAGGGGTCGAAGCCGGGCGAGAACAGGTCGTTGGTGGGTGTCGAGGGGTGCATGTAGCTAGCCCTACGACCCTCGACTGCCGAGGCGATCGACGACGAGGGTGTCGAAGGGAAGGATGCAAAGGAAGAGGACTCTGACGATGCCGATGAGCGCGTGAGGGAAGGCATCGCAACCGAGTTGGGTGCCGAGGCTACTCGTGACATTGCCGACGACGACATGCCGGCAGGCGACATGTCTGCCAGGCTGGCTCGGTGTGCCGAGAAGCTGGTGGGGCTTTGAAAGTGGTCACGGAAGGCGAGGTTGGCTTGGAAGCTGGGCTCTTGCTTGGGCACGCCGTTGAGGTCGGCAAGGCTCAGCAGAGGCGTACTGTCCTTGCCATAGGCCGCCATCTCGTGGGGCGCATACGAGTCGGCGTGTACATTGTCGGCGCTAGTGAGCCTCCGGAGAGCGATGGCTGAGGGCGGATAGAATGGCGAGCACGGGTTGGAAAAGTCACCTCGAATCGAGTGCTCTGGGGTGGAGTTGGGGGAGTAGGACTGGCCTGGCGTGAAGGTACACGGACCAGCGCCGATCGAGGCGCGGCCCACGACCGAATGGGGAGTGGCGGGCAGCTGAGCTGCGCGGAACCCTTCGCTGAGGCTGGCCATCGGCTGACCTGCAAAAGTGCCGGTCGACGTGGGCATAGGCGTCGTCTCTTCGGAACCGTCCGATTCGTTGAAGCCGTGGTGATTGCTGAAGCTGTGCGCGTCGCTCCGGTGGCTGGATAGCATCGAGACGTCGAACGACTGAGCAGCTCGACGTTTGAATTGGGAAGGGGGAGGCATCTCGAGGGTCAACTCGTCTTGACCATGGGACAGCGACAGCAGCGCGTTGTGCTGCTCGGGCTGAAAAGCCGACTGTTCGGCGTACGAGGGGAGTTCTGCATGATCAGGGGCATCAGGAGTACTGAGCGCGAGACCAGAGAGCGATGTCAGCGAACCGGGCAGGTTCATGGGCGACTCGACGGGGGTGAAGGAGCGAGGCGAGTAGGATCCATTGTTTTGCGACGAGTGGTCGCCGAGACTGAGATACGACGAGGAACAAGAGGAGCTCACTGAGCCTCTTCTCGGTCCGTAGTCGGATTGCGGCATGCCGGACATCTGAAGCCCGAACGTCGGCATCGAATGGGAATGCGACATGGCAACTGAGTCGGCAGGATGTGTCTCGGGCGACAGGCTTGCCATAAGACCGAGCGAGTTGTACGTGGGTGCGTTCATGCTGCCAGAAGCCTCGTCAGAGGTGGTCAAGTGGCCGTACATGATGTTGAATTCCAGACGTCAAAGATTATGGAGGACGTAGGCAGAACAATTTCAAGGGTAGTGCTGATAATGTAACGAAGCAGTTGTGAAGAAGCAGAAGCGGCAGATGTACTCGAGCAGTACGTTTAGGCTGCAGAACGATGCTGAGTGATGTCGAATGGGGAGGCAGACCAATGAGCTGGCAATGGCGTAAGTATGACAGAGGCTGAGGACAAACGTGGCGAGCAGAGGCGGGTCTTTCGAGGGGAGGAAGTTTGTGTAGCGGACGATAGGACGTAGTGGTATTCAATGCTATGCAGGCAAGAGAGCGACGAGGTCGGGCAGGTGCGAAGCAGCGGAAGGGGCGATGCGGGAAGCAGAAGGGGAATGACCTGACAGGGATGTCCGACTCAAGGGGTGGTGGTTTTGTATGATCCGAGTCGCTCGGGCTCTCCTTGACAGAGTGAAGAAGGGCTCCGACCCGGTTGGTACACTTGGACTGACAGGAAGGGCGCCCGACGGTGCACTGTGAAGCGGTGTCTATGAGGCAGCAGCAAAGTGTGTTACGGGCTGGGAAGGACGGTAGTGCAATGAAAAGAGGAATGCGGCGTGCCTGGCGACTGGCTGTCAACGCGAACCACGCTTGCCAGCCAAGTAAGGCAGTTGCAGAAATGAGATGTGGCTGACGGCCACATTTCTTGGACAGCAACACGCCGAACAAGGTTCCCCACGTCTCCTTTGGAAATGCGACGCATTCAGGCACACGGGAGCACCAGCAAGGAAAACGGGCACAAGATATCCAGGCGGGTCATCGAGCGGATTCGTGATCGCGGCTTGCAGGTTGCAGGCAGGAGGCGGATTGGCGAGAACTAGTGGCCTGCTCAGCTTGAGGGCGGGCGGGAGCAGAAGCAAGACAATTGGAGCGCGTATTCGCTGTGCGAGCACAGAAGCATGACAAGATACGGATGCGATGGACCCAAGTTGGGTGGCAAAAGGCAGACGCAGAGACTTGTGTGTGTGCATGAACACCATCGGCTCGGTTCCAGAGAATGGGGGTCAGGAGGATGGGAAAAAAGTACAAACCATGAGATCGGCCTCGAAACACCTGCAGTGCTGGTCCTCCACAGGAAAGGGGCGAGAGACAGAAGGAAGATCTGAAAGGTCGTGTCATACCGCGACGCATCGCGTCGGATTGCATGGTGGCGCCCTGCGTCGGTGCATCATGCCTGTCTGTCCAAACGAAGGCGGCTACAAGCGGTTGGAACGATTGCTCACGAAGGCATTTTTCAGGTGAGCTACTGTCTTTGGCCAGACAAGATACCAAACATTGACAGCTCATGGACAGCTGGGCCAGATGGACCGGATCTTGCCAAAAGAGGAAGGTGGGATGACTTGCCAGCGGCGCTGCTGCAGGCCGTGGGTGCGAACGCAATGTGGTCGAGCGAGGCGAGAAGGGCCAATGCGATAGGTCTCTTGCGTTTCTGACGAATGGCCCTCGTGGACAGCGGAACAGTCGCGAAGCTGACGCGAAGCTGGCACTGCAGCTAACCCTTCTGACAGGCCAGCGATTCAGCGTTGTACCAGTTGGACGGGCGACGGCGCTGCTTGAAACTCCGTCGGGGCTGTTGTAAAATTGGCGCTTAATGGTTACAGTCTTTCTCGCTTGAGCGATGCAGGCAGCGGACCAGAGCGGAAGGTCTTGTCCAATTC